ACCCAATCATACCCCCCCCCCGACATTGTAAAGCTGGTTTTGACATGACATTTTGTACTTCTCATTGTTGCAACAGGTCCACCTGAATCCTTAAACGACTTGTTTGTCCCCATCTCCTCCACATGTTATACTGACATCAAATATAGTGAAAGCGGGGGTTACACTGTGGGGGAGGGACATACAAAGCAACAAAGAGATAATATTATAAATGCGTTAGAAACACATGCATGAAAGAAACAAAAACATTAAAATACATATTTGAGGTTTCGTTTTCCTAACATCACATTATTTGACTTTTTCCGCTTGACTCATATCTATACTAGATATTGCAAATAAGGGAAACCATGGGACCTATGTTTCTTTGGGCCTGGCTTACTTCACTTAATATAATTTTTTCCAAGCCTTTCCATTTCCTAACAAATGGGGAAATGTCATTCTTTCTGATGGAGGCATAGAATTCCATTGTGTATATATACCACATCTTCTTGATCCATTCATCTACTGAGGGGCATCTGGGTTGGTTCCATGTCTTAGCTATGGTAAATAATGCTGCAATAAACATAGTTGTGCTGGTAGCTTTAGTGTGGCCTTGTTTGTGATCATTTGGGTAAATGCCCAAAAGTGGGATTGCTGGGTCATTGGGGAGCTCTATGTGGAGTCTTTTGAGGAACCTCCATACTGCTTTCCAAAGTGGTTGAACAAGTTTACATTCCCACCAACAATGAAGTAAGGTTCCTTTCTGTCCACATCCCCTCCAGCATCTGTTGTTGTTAGAGTTCTTGATTTTTGCTGTTCTAACTGGAGTGAGGTGATATCTCAATGTTGTTTTGATTTGCATTTCTTTTATGGCTAGGGATGTTGAACATTTCTTCATGTGTCTATTGGCCATCCTTCTTTCTTCTTCAGAGAAGCTTCTCTTTAAGTCTTTCGCCCACTTACTTATTGGGCAGTTGTTTCTTTGAGGATTTGTTGTTGGGTGGTTTAATTTTTTGAGTTCCAAGTATATTTTAGATATGAGACCCTTGTCCGTTGTATGGCTAGTAAAGATCTTCTCCCAATCCGTGGCGATAGGAGTCTCATGGTCTTTCCTGCCAGAGCTGGCTTTGAACTGCAATCTTCAGATCTTAGCCTCCTGAGTAGCTAGGATTACAGGCGTGAGCCACCAGCGCCCGGCTTCTCAGTATATTTTTATTTAACATTTATTCAAACTATTTTCTTCATCATTAGGACATACTGGTACATTCCTAGTCCTAGCTATTTGAAGAGGCTAAGGTGGAAGGATCACTTGAATCCATGAGTTCAAGCAACATATCAAGACTCCAATACAAGGGCTGGGAAGGTGGCTAATTGGTAGAGCGCTTGCCTTGCATGCCTGAGGCCCTGGGTTCGATTCCTCAGCACCACATAAGCAAAAAGAAAAGGCTGGAAGTGGCTCAAGTGGTAGAGCACTAGCCTTGAGCTGAAGAGCTGAGGGACAGCGCCCAGAGTTCAGGCCCCATGACCAGACCCCCCTCCCCAAAAAAAAAGTAAGGCTCCATCACAAAACAAAGCAAGCTGGGAGTGGCAGTGCAAGCCTAAATACTTGGGAGTAGAGATGGGAGTATCAGGGTTCAGATCCAGCATGGGGCAAAAAAAAATGTTCACTAGACTCCATTTCAAACAATGGCTAGGTTCTGTGGTATACCCAATCATACCAGCAATGTTGGGAAGCACAAATAGGATGATCACAATCCAGGCCAGTCTGGCATAAATTAAACCCTATCTTTAAAAATAACCAACACACACACAAAGACAAAATTATAAAATCACACACACACACACACACACACACACTCTTTCTCTCTCTCTCTCTCTTTCTCTCTCTCTCTCTCTCTCTCTCTCTCTCTCTCTCTCTCTCACACACACACACACACACACACACACACACACACACACACACAGCTGGGGATGTGGCTCAGTAGTAGAGTGGTACAGCCCTAGGTTCAAATCCCAGTAACATCAAAAAAATGTTTCCATATTTAAAACCATAATTAACCAAGCCTCATCTTTATTGTCATTTCTGTCCTTAAGTTTTGTTATTTCTCAGACAAGCAAATGATGGCTCATGCCTGTACTCCTAGCTACTCAAGAGCCTGATATCTGAATATCAAGGTTTGAAGCCAGCTCTGGAAAAAATTTCGTAAGACTCATATTTTAATAGACCACCAAACAACTAAAGTAGGGATGTGGCTCAAGGGGTAGAATGCCAGCCCTGAGTTGAAAGTGCTAAGAGACAGATCCCAGACCTTGAATTCAATCCCCAGGATGGGCACAAACACCAAAAAAAAAATCTTTCATTGTGAATTTATGAGTTCTTTCCTTTTAAATATTAATATCTAATATCTGTAAATGAGGTTTACTTGTAAACCTCATTATACTTTGTAGAAGGGAAGTACTGAGGGTTTGAACATGCTAGGCAGGAAGTCTACCACACAAATTATAATCCATGCCTTTTTTTCTTTAGTTGCTTTTCAGTTAGATCTCACATTTTTTTTTATTGAATTAGCCTGGACCACAATCCTCCTATTTATGTCTTCTGCATAGCTTGGATGACAGATGTATGCCATCATGTCAGCTATTGGCTGACATGAAGTCAGCCCCACATTGCAATCTTCCCAAGCTTCACCTGGGAGTAACTGGAATTACAGCATGAGCCACTACCCTCAGCAAAAATGAGCTGTTTAAAAACAGCAACACTACCGGGCACCAGTGGCTCATACTTATAATCCTCACTACTCAGGATGCTGAGATCTGAGGATTATGGTTCAAAACTGCCCTGGGTAGGAAAGTCTGCAAAGCTCTTATCTCCAATTAACCACCAGAAAGCTGAAATAGAGCTGTGGATCAAGTTGTAGAGTGCTAGCCTTGAGCAAAATAAAGTTCAGGGACAACACTCAGCCCCTGGGTACAAGTCTCAGAACTGGCACACAAACGAAAACAGCAAGACTGGCCTTCCTTACTATCTGACTTCTTGTCTCAATATATGATATCTCCCTTTTGCATGTGCCCCTGCCATATCGCCACTCACCATGATAGGACATGATAGAGAGAAAGATGTTTACCAAAGCCAATCCCATACTTTCAGGCATTCAGTCTCTAAAACTGTGAGCTAACTAAACCTCTCTTCTTTATAAGTTACCCAGCCTCAAGTGTTTTTTAAATAGCAATTGAAAATGTATGCACTCAACAAAACAAAAAAAAAAAAAAAAGAAAATGTATGCACTCACTATTGCTAGAACAAAATACCTGGCAACGAATAAGTCAAAAAGTTTACTGGGCTCATAGTGCTTGAAGGACTGGAAGTCCAAAGAGAATAAACCAGCATCTGGTACATTAGCTTTGTCATAATATGATGAAAGATAAAACAGAAAGAAAAAGATAGTGGGAGAGGCCAGGTATGAGAATAGGCTGCTCTTCAACCCCAGTTTGAGAACTAGTCCATTCCCATAATACTAATTGCTTAAGAGAGCTCCATCTTCATGGGCCCACCTACCTTCTATTTAGCTACCCAGTGGGGATAAATGTTCTAACACTTGAATTTGTGAAACACATTCAAACCATAGCTTCCCACTCCTGGCCCATGCCTTCAATACAAAATACATTCATTCCATCCCAATAATTCCATATATCTTAAATTATTCTGATATCAACTTCTCCCAAAAAATCCAAAATTTCATCTGAATCAGATTGGGTTCATCCCAAGGCATGATTACATTCCTGTCTAAACTCCTCTCCAGCTGTGAGCCTATGAAATCAAAAGAAGGGCTGGGCACTGGTGGTTCACACCTGTGATCCTAGCTACTCAGGAGGCTGAGATCTGAGGATCACGGTTCAAAGCCAGCCCAGTCAGGAACTGCCGTGAGACTATCTCCAATTAACCACCAGAAAACCGGAAGTGATGCTAAAACTATTCAAAATCTCTTTTTCAAAAAAGAGCTAGAAAATAACAAATATACTTGAATATATCCATGAATCCAACATAGTTCTAAATCAAAGGAGAAGAACCTTATTAATGGCTTTGACTTTTTAAAAAAGCACTAACAAAATTTACAGAATTTTGCATTAACAAAACTTACAGAATTACGCCACCTTAATCCAGTCAGTATTGTTTTTATTTAGCTAACAAAAAAGGAAGTATATTCATCCTCCAGATATATGTAACAAATCATTCTTTTCACTATGTACAATCTGTAGCTTTCCTTTTTTTTTTTGGTTGGTTGTGGGGCTTGAACTCTGGGCCTGAGCTGAAGAGCTCAGGAAGGCAAGCGCTCTACCACTTGAGCCACAGCTCCACATCTGTTTTCTAGTGGTTTACTGAGGATAAGAGTCTCATGGACTTTCCTGCCAGGGCTGTCTTTGAGCCATGATCCTTAGAACTCAGCCTCCTGAGTAGCTAGGATTACAGGTGTAAGCCACCAGCGCCCGGCTAGCTTTCAATTATTTTAAGTATTCATAACAAGCCGGGCACAAATGGCACATATCTGTAATCCTAGCTACTCAGGAGGCTGAGATCTGAGGATCAAGGTTTGAAGCCAAAATACAGGAAGTGGAGCTGTGGCTCAAGTGGTAAAGAAAAGAAAAAAAAAAGGTTAGGGACAGCACCCCGGCCCTGAGTTCAAGACCCAGGACAGCTCAAATATAAAAGTAAAAAGAGTATTAATAACATTTGCATACCAGTTTTCATAGTTGTTAAAATGACAATGATCATTATCGTGTTCCTTGTATTGGGAAAGAACCTAATGGAGGATTTGCCCACCCACCCCACCCCCGGACTACAAACTACAAAGGGGAAGGTCGGGAAGAACTGACCCCTGCAGATCCAGGCAGATCGCTGCAGATCGCGGCAGATCGCATTCCCACGGCAGTCCTGAACACGGAACGCGCCAGTCGCGGAACTCGCGGACACTGACATCGGAGGACATCGGAGGACTATAGCCGCGGGACTCCAGAAGCGACCGGATCCGGAAGTAGGGGTTCCAGAAAGCCTCCCGGAGCCGAGCCGCTTTAAAGGAGGGACGTTCCGCGTCTGCGGGTGAGCGGCGGGCGGCGGGCGGCGGGCGGCGGGCGGCGGGCGGCGGGCGGCGGGCGGCGGGCGGCGGGCGGCGGGCGGCGGGCGGCGGGCGGCGGCCTTACGCGGGCTGCTCCGGGACGCGGGAAGCGCGGCTTTACTCAGGCGTGCTACGGTCAGAACTAGTCATCGGACCTTCCCATGCCGCCTCGCTCTCACTTGAGCGAGGTCTGCTCTCCCAGGCTCACAGGGTAGGAAAACAGGCTCGAGGATGGGGGGGGGGTCGCGGATGACGGGAGGAAGCCTGTGCAGCTGCCCGAAAAAGTCGATGAAGTCTCTTAAGTCTGCAGTCTACCCCAGCGCGTTCTACTTGCTTCCTCCTGGCCTGCGGCTTGGTTCTCTTGATGCCGTTTCCAAGGAGGAAGGCAAAAACTTTTCCAAATAAAGCAGATAGATCCCAGAGACAGTCGCTTCTCGCAAAGATGAAAGGGAAGGTGATGGGCTGCCTCCCTACCTTTTCGTACCCCCTGCTTTTGGAAATGGGACTGACAGGATAGCCCAACTTGAGCCTGCTGGCCAGGGAGCCCTGGGGGTTCCTTTGTCCAGGGCTCTGAATTGTTTTGAACCTCATTTTACTCTTGGTTTTTAATGTTTACATCCCCACAGAGCTGCTGGTAGATGAAAGAAAAAGGTGTTTATAGCTATAGTATGCCTAGTAAAGTGAAAAGGCCTGAGAAATTATTTTCCTGCTTCTGTGAGTGTTTTTGGTAAAGTTCCTGCAGATCCCCTTGTAGGCCTTCACTTTATGCTAAGCCCTCTTGTTCAAAAGACACTGAATGAGGCCCCGCACTGGTGGATCACATCTGTAATCCTAGCTACTCAGGAGGCTGGATCCCAGGATCATGGTTTGAAGCCAGCCCCGTCAGAAAAGTCCCTTTTAGACTCTTATTTCCAAATAACCACTCAAAAACTAGAAGTGGAGCTGTGGCTTAAAGTGGTAGGGCAAAAGAGTTCAGGGACAGGCCCAGGGCCTGACTCCAGGCCCAGCTCCACGACTGATGACCAAAAAAAAGAATGAAAATACATCTCTCTACATAATGTCTTCCAAAGAATGAATACCTGATTGTGGACTTGATGATGAGAGTTAGTAGTGTACGAATCAGGCATACAATGTATCTTATACGGACACCTGATCTGTCACTCCCTCATCTCCTGCCCTTCCCAAACTTCATGGTTCCATTTCACAGGAGAACCTATTTTGACCACATTCACTTTCCTTCATTCTCTGTTTGCCTTCTCCCCATCCACTAGTATGCACATCCAATAGGAGTATGTGTTACTTGTTCAGAGTGGTTTCACTGGTGTTTTATACATATGCATATACAGTACTTAGTTCAGATTTACCTCCTGGGCTCTTCTCATTTTCCCTATTCCCCATCTCCATATTATTCAACAGCTTTCGCTGAATTTTGTTGCACTATCTGCTTTCACTCATCCAATGTATTCTATATTGTTCACCCTCTAACATTCTCTTTTTCTCCACGCCCCCATCTAATCCTCTCAAACAATCCCACAATTACCTACATGTTTATCTGTTAAGACTAGCATCCACATATGAGAGAAAGTATGCAGTCTTTGTCCTTCTGAACCTAACTTAACATGATGATCCCAATTCTGTTCATTTCCCTGCAAATCACATAATCTCATTATTCATGGCTGAATAATACTCTATTGTGTATAGATAGCATATTTTCATGTTCCATTCATTGTAGAGCATCGAGGCTATTTCTATAGCTTGACTCGTGAAAAGTAGCAGCAAACATGAGTGTGCAAGTACTCTATTGTGTTCTTTCATTCCTTCAGATATATACCCAAGAAAGGCATCACTATCTTATGTTCTATTTTTAGTTTATTGAGAAACCTTCATACTGACTTCCATACTGGTTGCACTATTTTACTTTCCCACCAACAATTTATAAAGATTCCTTTTCTCCTACAACCTCACCAGCATTTGTTGTCATTTGCTTGATGCCCATTCTGACTGGAGTGAGATAAAATCTTAATGCCATGATCTTCTCTCCCCGCCCCCCCCTTCGTTTGGTGCTGGTGGAGCTTGAACTGAGGCCCTGGGTGTTGTCATTGAGCTTTTTCTGCTCTATCACTCTACCATTTTGAGCCACAATGCCACTTACAGTTTTCTGGTAGTTAATTGTAGATAAAAGTCTCATGGACTTGTTGGGAGATGAGAAGGGATGGGAAGGGGAAACAAGGAAGCAACAATGCTTGATAAGAAATGTACTCATTATCTTGCTCATGTAATTGTAACCCTTCTGTACGGTATTTTCACAATAAAACAATAAATAAAATAGTTTTTTTTAAAAAGTCTCATGGACTTTTCCTGCCCAGTCTGGCTCTGAACCGTAATCCTTAGATGTCAGCCTCCTGAGTAGCTAGCATTACAAGTATGAGCAACTGGCATCCAGCTCTTTATGTATTTATTGGCCATTTGTACTCCTTTTGCTAATTTGTTGAGTTCATTTATTAATTGGATTGTTGATTCTTAGAGCGTTTAGTGTTTTGAGCTCCCTATATGTTTTGGTTATTAATCCCTTGCCAGATGTATATTTGGCAAAGATTTTTCTCCTGGTGGCCGTCTCTTTAGTCTAGTGATTGTTTCCTTTGATAGGCAGAAGCTGTTTAGTTTGATGCATTCCTATTCATCACCCTTACTCTTATTTGCTGAGCTATTGGAGTTCTGTCAGAAAATCATTTCCTATGCCAGTATGATCCAGGTTGTCTTTTTTTGTTCCTTATTCTTTTCTATAGTGGTCTCAAAGTTTCACATCTTACATTAAGATCCTTGATCTTTTTTGAATTGATACGGGACAGGAGATAGTATGTGGATATCTAGAAGTAAACAACTGTGTGTGTGTGTGTGTGCATGCGTGTGTGCGCTTGCGCGCATGCACACTCTCAAATGTGCCAGTCCTGGGGCTTCACCTCAAGGCCTGGGTGCTGTCCCTGAACTTTTTGTTCAGTGTTAGCACTCTGCCACTTAAGTCACAGCTCTATTTCCAGCTTTCTTTTTGTTTGTTTTTGTTTATGTAGTTAATTGGAGATAAAGCCCTGAGTTCCATCCTTAGCAACACAAAAATAAATTGAAGAATTCAAGAACTGGGGGTCTAGCTCAGTAGTACAATGTTTGCCTAGTATCCTTGATATCCTGGGTTTAATCCCCAAACTCAAAAATAAACTAACAAATAGTTCACTGTGAGTCTATGGATTATCAAGCTTTATTCTCCAGGATCGGCAAAATTTTCCAGACAAGGACAAAGGAGCATAGAGGCTCCAAATGGATTTGTTTTAGATTATAGTGCCTAAGTTGACTAAAGCATGTTTGAGTGATAAAGATGGGAAGGCAAGGGGCTGGGAAGGTGGCTCAGTGGTAGAGCACTTGCCTTGCATGCATGAGGCCCTGGGTTCGATTCCTCAGCACCACATAAGAAAAAAGCCGGAAGTAGCGCTGTGGCTCAAGTGGTAGAGCACTCGCCTTGAGCTGAAGAGCTGAGGGACAGTGCCCAGGCCCAGAGTTCAGGCCCCATGACCGGACCCAAAAAAAAAAGATGGGAAGGCAAATGTGAAGAGGCTCCTGAGCTCCACTGGTGGCTGGAGCTGCCAGCTAGTGTGTCTCAGACCCAGTCATAAGTCAGTAGGACCTGAAGGCCTACACTGAGAATCTGCCTGTGTTCTACACAGGAGAGGCCATGATTGTTCTTCTCCCCTCTAAGAAATGAATCCACCAATATGGAGGAGCCAACCCAAGGGGAAGGCCAGGTATCCACACTATCTCAGTCTGTAAGTTCAAGTCCATTGGCCCCAGGATCTTCCAAAGTGTAAATTTAGGGACAGAATTAACCTGAAGTCATAGACGTCACAACATGAATCCAAATTTCCACTTCCCAGGCAGATGTTCACGCACCAGTTTCCCTAATTCTCTGTTTCTCACCTCAGATTGTTTGGTTTGGTTAGTTTGTCTTGTTTTAGTGTGGGTACTAGGGCTTGAACTCAGGGCCTAGATACTGTCCCTTGGCTTTTTGTTTGTTTGTTGCTCAAGGCTGGTTCTCTACCACTTGAACTACACCTCCACTTCTGGCTTTTTTTTTTTTTTTTTTTTTTTTTTTTGGAGGTTAGTTGGAAATAAGAGTCTTGTGTACTTTCCTATCTAGTCTGGCTTCAAACTGCTGTCCGTACATCTTAGCCTTTTGAGTAGCTAGGAAAGAAAGCGTGAACCATCAGCACCTGGCTGACTCAGGTTTTTGTTTTGTTTTATTTTGATTTTTCTAAAATGAGTTTCCTGGAACTGAGAGTATGTCTTTCCTGGGTTTGCATAAACAAATTGATATGTTGAGTTGAAATTATTTTATACACCTATTTCAGAATAATTTTTTAGCCAGGTACTGGTGGCTTATGCCTATAATCCTAGCTACTCAGGAGGCTCTGAGGATCACAGTTCAAGCTAGCCTGGGCAAGAAAGTCTATGAGACTCATCTTCAATTAACCACCAGAAAAATGAAAGTGGCCTTGTGGCTCAAAGTGGTAGAGTACTAGCATTGAGCAGAAAAACTGAGGGATAGCGCCTAGACCCTGAAATCAAGCCTCATGACCTACAAAAGAATAATAGTAGTAATTTAAATTAATTAAAAAAAATAAAAACCAGGTGCTGGTGGCTCATGCCTGTAATTCTAGCTGTTCGAGAAGCTGAGATCTGAGGGTCGTGTTTCAAAGCCAGCCAGAACAGGAAAGTCTCACAGACTATCACCAGTTAGCCACCAGAAAATTGGAAGTGGAGCTGTGGTTCAAAGTGGTATTGTGCTAACCTTGAGCAAAAGAGCTCAGGGACAGTGCCCAGGCTCTGAGTTCAAATCCCAAGACTGACAATAAAGGATCCTGGGTTCCATCCTAGTACCAAAAAAATCAAGTTTCCTTGTTAGTGAAATAGGCTTGTTAAAAGTATTTCTATTCTCAGTACTGTACTTTGCTTCAGGAGACAGCACTGGCCACAGAAGAATAGTTTGTGAACTGCTTCATTGTCACCCTTCTGCATCTGGATGTGAAGGACTAAAACTCCTGACAACCTCGAGCCATGAAGACGGTGCTCATGGTGGCAGAAAAGCCATCCCTGGCGCAGTCCATCGCCAAGATCCTCTCCCGAGGTAGGCAGACACACCAGCACTAAGCTTCTTTACTGCTTTGGACTAAAAGCATAGTTGTCTTTACTTTTTTAGGATGATTTCTTTTTCCAAAGAGATTCTACCTCAGTATGGGTCCACTGAGGCAGTTAAGTAGTAGTTACCCTGGATGCTTCCACACCTGGTATGTGCCAGTTTGTGCCTGTCAGGATTAGTAAGATGTGGTTCACTGTGAGGTGAAAGATGCAGTGGTTAGAGGCCTGAGCCAGTTTGGGGCATTTAGTCACAAGCCACAGAACTAAGCCTGGAAGGATTTAGACACAGCCAGGACCCACCTCAGTCTTAAGTCTTTTTTGACAAGTCAGTGTTATGAACATTGTCATTGCTGGGTGCCCACCATTCCCAGCTGAGCCCTTGACTTGACTTCAGGCACAGCCTCTGCACCTCGTGTGCTTCAAGAGTGGCCAATAAGCCTACTGTTAGCCATAGAGTCCTCGCAAGACACTGAAGAAGGAGGGAGACTCTCCGTCCCTTGTGCCCTGTACTGGCCAGTGGGCTGGTTGGTAGTGTGCTGTTTACTCTTTGTCTTTGAATTCCATCAAAATAGGAAGAATGCTTACATCTTGGATTCCTAGAAGTTTGGCAGGCATCCACCTTGACCTAGAAAGAGCCCCTAGTATATCTGAGAAAGCATCCATCAAAGGTTCAGAGGGGTCTGAGAGGAAGCCTCTCATCCCTAGAAGCTGTAAAAGTTTGGTGCAAAGGCCATCAGTGGACAGAATGAAAAGATACCCCAGGAGTTGATCGTTAGGAGGTCTCTGGTGATGTTAAAAGTTTGAATAAAATGATTCAGAAGTTGAAGTGGAAAAGACAGAGAAAGAGACAAAAGTGCCTGCCTCTGGCTTCCAGCAGCCTGGAACTCTACATCATGAGTCACTGTGGTTGGTGTTCACGGATGCTTTTGTCCCTGGGCAACATCAAATCTCTTAGGACCCAGTGACCTGTAGCAGCCTGAGGAATGTTATTGCCTGCTCTGTAGAAAAATGACTCAGGCCCTCGGGTCTCCACAACATCTGCAGCTCAGCCAACAGCAGCCATCTCTATACTTCTCCTCCCTAGGGAGCATGTCCTCACACAAAGGTCTGAATGGAGCTTGCTCAGTCCATGAGTACACGGGCACCTTCGCCGGCCAGCCTGTCCACTTCAAGATGACGTCTGTCTGTGGTCATGTGATGACCTTGGATTTCCTGGGTGAGAACTCCACTCTGCCTGCCTCTCCCCTGCCAAGGGGAGCCCTCCATAGTACTGTTCCCACCCAGTTGTGGCCATGATGAAGCAGGGACTGGGCATTCCTAGATGAAGTGTTCCACCATCCTTCCAGGGTCATAACAGTCTCAGAGGTGATGGAACTGTGAAGCATGACTTAATGTCACATAGTTGTGGTGTGATAGAAAGTATAAGTGTGGGGCTGGGAAGGTGGCTCAGTGGTAGAGTACTTGCCTTGCATGCCTGAGGCCCTGTGTTCGATTCCTCAGCACCACATAAGCAAAAAGAAAAAAAAAAGCCGGAAGTGGCGCTGTGGCTCAAGTGGTAGAGCGCTAGCCTTGAGCTGAAGAGCTGAGGGACAGCGCCCAGGCCCAGAGTTCAGGCCCCACGACCAGACCCAAAAGAAAGTATAAGTGTGGCAGGGTGAACCTTGCATGCTCTGGAGCTCAGCACCCTTGAGTCTATTCCCAGCAGTTTCCATCCTGTGTGGACAAGGTGGTAGCATCTGTCTCAGGAGGAGCCTGACCTGTACAGGTGTTCTAGAGAAGGCTACTGCTCCTGCTGAGTTGACTGTTAGCCATTGGCCATTAGGTAGCTGTCCTTGTCATCTTTGAAAGTATCATTATTTGTTATCCATTTCCTTCAAAGGGCTAGCAGAGCTCTGTGTCTGACAAGAGTCCAGCTGGGTTGGAGGTGTGACTCAGTTGGTAGAGCTCTAGCCAATGAGCAAAAGCATCAGATACCAAGTTTGATTCCCAGTCTTAGGACTAAAAAAAAAGAAAAAGCCCAACTGCTAGAATAGTCTTGTTTTACAAAATACCTGGGACAGACTAACTATTGAACTCACAGTGTTAGGGGCTGAAGTCCATAGTGCAGGCTCTGGTGAGGACGTGATGGCAGATGATCGTGACAGGACACTTGCAGAAAGGAGGAATATCATGTGATAGAGGTGAGGAGCAGAAAGAGATTCAGGGATAGGGCCTGGTCTTATAACAACTTAGTCTCACAAAAAATTATCTTAATCCCTTTCAAGGGCAATGTCTTCAGTGACATAAGGACTCTAGCCTCTGCCTCTCCACCCCAGTGTGGAGCTTCCAGCATAGGATCGCTTGGAAGGCTCTCAGACTACAGAAATCATGACTATAGCATCTCAGTCTGCCAGCTCACTTTCTTCCTAGAGACTAGAGCAGAGACCAGGCTTCTGAATTGTCATTTCTCTTTTTCTTTTTTTCCAGTCAGCCATGGTACTTGAACTCAGGGCCTGGGCTCTTTTGCTCAAGGCTAGAGCTCTACCACTTTGAGTCATAGCACCAATTCAGTTTTCTGGTGGTTAATTGGAGATAAGTCTCATGGGCTTTCCTGCCTGAGCTGGCTTTGAAGCATGAACCACCAGTGCCACCTGTCATTTCTTATATGTAAACAGAACAATAATGTCACTCACTTCCCAACACTGCTGAATACAAAAAAAGGTAGAACACTTAGCACAGGGCCTAGTACACGTCTTGGCAGTTATTCTTACTGTTTATTACCACAACAGTGATAACAGGAGTGACTGAGTTGTGCAGTCAAGCATTTGGACCCCAAGCTTGGGGTATCCTGGGAAGCCAGGCTTTGAACTTCGCTCTTTCTGACCCCCTTCTCCCAGGCTGCAAAAAATACAATCTAAAAGCCAAGGAATAGATCATTCAGAGCTGGGCCTTAAGTGGGTGGAGGTACTGTATAGGAGGCCTAGAGAGACCAACCCTCTCCGGGGAACAACCAGGCACCTCTTCTATGCCCCATGGAATGCTGGGTGAAGGCAAAGGGTTATAGTAGTCAAGGATAGAAGAGGTGATAGCATGAGTGGTATGGTTCGGGGCCTTTGCAAAGCCATCTTTTCAGAAACAGTGCTTCTGGAAAAACTTCAAAAACAAGGCAAAGAATGGAAACCCTGCTAAGAATTTGCTTGGTTCCTGTGGGTAGCTGGAACTTTAGCATCAGCTTAGCGGCCCAAAGGAAGGAAGGACAGGTGGGTAGAGGCCACCCTAACAAAACCCCATATTCCAGCTCTCCCCTCTAACTGTTGGGTGACCCCGGGTCAATTGTTTTCCAAGCCTCTTTGTCCTCTCTTGTGAGATCCAAGATCACTGTCTTTCTGGAAGCCAAGCCTTTATAAGCTGTTAAATGAGACTCTTGTCACTGTGGCTGTGATTGGCAGGAAAGTACAATAAGTGGGACAAGGTGGACCCTGCAGAGCTGTTCAGCCAAGCCCCCACAGAGAAGAAGGAAGCCAACCCCAAGTTGAACATGGTGAAGTTCTTGCAGGTATGTGAGGGGCAGGAAGTCCCTCCCCTGGCTCCCTTCCTGCAAGTGGCCACTGCTGTCTTTGCCCACTTTGATTTGAGCCCTCAACCTCATCTCAGACAGAAGCCCTCATTTCACCTTTTAGAGCACTTCCTGCTGTCCCAGCAGACATTTTCAGGCCTAGGACACACACCCACACCCATATCCTTGCCCCCCTTGTCACTCAGTCCCCGAGGGCACACATTCTATATTTATAACAGTGTGGTTGAGGGGGGTTTTTTATCAGTATTAAAATCAGTGCATATGTATTATAAAAATTGGAAAATAGAGTTAAGGATAATAGAGGAAAAAAATATTCAAACTCCATGATGCAAGACAACCACTTTGACATTTAGGGTTATTTATTTCAGCTCTCTTATTGTTTAGCTTTTAGCATTAAGAACACATTGTGGGCTGGGCATCAGCGGCTCATACCTGTAATCCTAACCACTCAGAAGGCTGAAATCTGAGAATCATAGTCCAAAGCCAACCAGGGCCAGAAAGTTCATGAGACTCTTCAGTTAGCCACCAAAAAGCCATAAATGAGCTGTGGTAAAGTGCTAGCCTTGAGCACAAAAGCTCAAGGGCAGGACCTGAGTTCAAGCCCTAAGACCAGCACCCAAAAAAAATAAAATAAAAAGTATATTCCAGGAAAAGGAAGCCAGGCATAATGGTTCATACCTATGTATGCAGCAACCCAGGTGGTGGAGATCAGGAAGATTGTGGCTAAGCCAGCAAGGGAAAAAAGTTTATGAGATCTCATTTCAACCAACAAGCCAGGCATTGGTGATATAGTTCTGTTATCCCACTTACATGAAGGCATTGGTAGGAGGACTGTGGTCCAAGTTAGACAAAAATGCAAGACGTTATCCAAAAAAAAAGTGAAAATTAAAAGTTTGTGGGGGAAAGAGAGACACTGGCTCAAGTGGTAGAATACCTAGAAAGAAAAACTTCAGTAAATCCTCTTCAGTCTTTTATTGCTCTCTGAAAATTGTAGAACATGGCACGTGCATGCCCTGTTCTGTGACCATGGAATAAACGCTGAAACAAATAACCAAAAAAAATCATATTGCAAGTTTAATTTTTTTTGATCCAATGAAACCAGCCTTTCTGAACCAGATTCTTTTCAGAATGGCCAAGCCAGTCTTCATGTAACAAACTCCTTGCTCAGCTCTGGCATCAGTCCTTCTGTAGGAAGCTCAAACCTCCGGGACCTGCTTTCTACTCCTGAGGAATTTCAGGGCTGGACCTCTGGCAGGTGGATATTAATGTGTGTTGCATGGCAGGTAGAAGGCAGAGGCTGTGACTACATCGTGCTGTGGCTGGACTGTGACAAAGAAGGGGAGAACATTTGCTTTGAGGTGAGCTAAGAGCCACTTAGGTTTGCTTTTGGTCTTTCTGCCACCCTCCCTGCCCCTCACTATCACATCATTTCTGCTGCTAAAGTTGGAATTTAGTGGCTTAAAAATGCCAATCCTCACACCCTTTATTTTAGAAGTTCTATAGTTTTAAATACATAGGCTCTACAAAGGGTGATTGTGCTTCTTTTTAATGGAGACACATGATATGAGTGAGCATCAGGTGGCAGAATTTTCTAGGTGGATTTGAGTTTCAGATGGACTGTGTTAATTTTCAGTATCATGGGCCTAACTAGTTCCTTTCAGCCTTTCAGCTAATGTGCTTGACCATTTTGGCACCACACTCCTTTACCAGGCTTTATTTTTCTCATCTCCTGCCATCACATATTATCTCCACTTAGAACACCCTCCACCTCTCCCATCTTGTCCCAGGAGCCCTCCCTGAAGGTAGGCAAATGCCCCCTTGTGCTGACCTTGCTCCTGGCAAACTCATGCTGTTATTTGTAGCTGCTGGGCTTCACTGGGACCTCTCAGGGTGTGGTTCCTACCAGGACACCTCCATGTCCCTGTACCTCAGCTGCCTCCTGGGCCTGACCCACCTCAAGTAGGTCACAAAAACTCAGAATCCTAACTGGACACTGGTGGCTATGCCTGTAATCCTAGCCTCACAGGAGGCTGAGATCTGAAGATCTCAGTTCAAAACCAGCCCAGGCAGGAAAGTCGATGAGACTCTTATCTCTAGTTAACCCCCAGAAAACCAGAAGTGGCACTGTGGGGTAGACTACTAGCTCTGAGCAAAAAAAGCCCAGCCCCTGAGTTGAAGCCCACCATCACCCAAAAAAAAAAAAAAAAAGAATCCTGCATTCCATGCAGCACTCTCAGCAAACCCCATTTCAACATCCTTCCTCATGTCCTTCCTTGCCCTCTCCAAAGAGCCAGGTTGTGACTCAATGCCAGCTAGGGCTTTGCTTGCATCTGTGTTGGAAAATGCTGGCAGCTCATAGCCTTACTCTCTTCCCGATAAGGATGCTACATGGCCAGCCTCTGGTGGGATTCCTTTCACCCTGCACAGTCTTCTTAATGAGCCTCAATGTTGGGATTCTGCTAGCCTACTCATCCTTGCCCCTTGGCCTTCCCATCCTTGCCCACTTCCTCATCCTCTTTGTTCCTTTCCTGTCTTTCCTCCAGTCAGTTAAATGTTCCACACACCCCTCCAAGCATTCCCTGAAGTAGGATGGTTTGGGAGGCCATGCAGTAGCATTTCCTGATTGGGTGGGGAAGAAAGCAGAAAATTCTGACAGGACAGTAGTAATAAGGGAGTATGGGGAGACATTTATAGCCAAAAGGTGAAAGAATCATGTGGAAAGGGTTTTGTGGGGAGACTAAGGCCTCTAGAAAGGCAGTAAGATGGAAGAGAGTCTAGCAAGAGTAGGAAGTATGACACTTTATCCTAGAAGGAGCAGTGCCTCAAAGATGGAGATGTAGAGCAGGACGCAGAGACCTTGAGGTCAGTCTCAGCCAGGCCACCTTCTTCTCAGGTCCTCGATGTCATTCTGCCTGTCATGAACAAAACCCAGAGTGGTGAGAAGACAGTGTTCCGGGCCAAGTTTAGCTCCATCACAGACACAGATATCTGCAGTGCCATGGCCCGCCTGGGTGAACCGGACCATAACGAAGCGCTCTCAGTGGATGCCCGCCAGGAGCTGGACCTCCGTATCGGCTGTGCTTTCACCAGGTGCTGGGTGACTTCCACATACCTACACCCTTCCTGTCGCCAGAACACCTTCCTTTATCACCCCTGGGCCTCTGAAAGCCAGATGTACACCTAGTAATGTTTTTAAATCTGGAAGAGACTCCTATGTTTAATGGACATAGATCTCATAGGTACCACTGAGAAGACAGTGTGCCATGGGTGGGATGTAAAAGATGTGAAAGCCGCTCTCCTGCTCACTTCTCCAACACACACACACACACCACACCACCCGCCCCCCCCCTCCACTCCTTTTGACTGCAACTATGACTTCTAAAGCAGGAGTCATTCCTTGGACCATCTCCCTACTTACTGCTCGGTCCCCAGGTGTGACTCATATGGAATGGAATGATAGTGGCTGAAGTGAATTCTTGACCAGTTGTCTTTTTGTCTCCAACCCCACTACTCGCTCTAGGTTTCAGACAAAATATTTCCAGGGGAAATACGGTGATTTAGACAGCTCTCTCATCTCCTTTGGACCATGTCAGACTCCTACCCTGGGATTCTGTGTGGAGAGACATGATAAAATCCAGTCCTTCAAACCAGAGACCTACTGGGTGCTACAGGCCAAGGTTCTTTTCCCTTCTGTCTTACTGGCATGTGGCCAAGGTTCTTTTCCCTTCTGTCTTACTGGCATGTGGATTCTGAGTCTTCCTCCATCATTCTCCTACAGGCCTCTGCTGAGGACACCCAGTACAACGTGAATAACTATACAAGAGGGACTTTGAGCTGGGTGCAGATGGCTCAAACCTGTTAACATAGTTACTCAAGTGACTGAGATCTAAGGATCAAAGTTTGAAGCCAGTCTGGGCAGTACAGTTTGTGAGACTCCAGTTAACCACCCAAAAGCTGGAAGTAGAAATGTGGCTCCAGTGGTAGAGAGCTAGACTTTTGGAAAGAAAATTAAGGGACAGTACCCAAGCTCTGAGTTCAAGCTCCAGAACTGGCACCTGAAGAAAGGGAGAAAAAAAAAAAGGATCTTGGTACCTAAGGAAAGGGACTGCAACCTTTGTGGCAGCAGCCATGCTCAGCCAGGCCTGGATGTATAATGGAGAAGTGGCATGAGTAAAGTAGGATGAGGGCATCCCTGGGAGGCTATGGGCTTTTGAATTTCTTGGAAGTCTTTAAACCTAAAGCCTCCTAAAGTATGTCATAAGATTTAAAATATACCTGCATTGCTATGGTTGGCCCAGCACTGAGGACCTCAGTGGGGAACACCTGGCTTAGCCAGGCACTGGAGATGAGCAGGGACATAGTAAGGGGTGGAGACCCAAATGTTTCTTAAGGATACAGCCTCAATGCAGGCTACCCTCCTGAAGCCACTGCCTGTTTGCTTGCAGGGGTGTGGGAGGACTGGGTGTCAGCTTGAGTAGCAAAGGTATAGCTATGAGATGTTAACCCTGAAACTACTGTCCTAGGCAATAAAAACCAGTTTCCTCTGCCTAGATTCTCTTGCATGGCAGTGAGCTCTCCTTCTGTCCTTCCTGCAGGTTAATGCCGATAAAGACAAATCTCTCCTTTTGGACTGGGACCGAGTGAGAGTGTTTGACCGGGAGATTGCTCAGATGTTTTTAAACACGACAAAACTGGAGAAGGAAGCCCAGGTGACCCTGCTCTGCTCACACCTATCACAATTGCCTTGGGTGGGAGTGGCCCTGAAAGCCTCTAGGAGAAATAGCTAGGACCCCAGGCCACAACTTTCTCCCCCTTTCTGAAACAGGCCTCTTTTTTGCAAAGTTCTGCATGCCTGCTCTATACCTATAACCCTGCCAGGCTTCTTCCACCAAACCCTGTGGACAGTATCTTGTATGGCAAGAGTGAGTTTCACAGATACCCCTTTTTGTTTTGTTTTGTTTTGTTTTTGTGCCAGTCCTGGGGCTTGAAGTTGGGGCCTGGGAGCTTGTCCTTGAGCTTTTTGGCTCAAGGTAGTGCTCTGCCAAATAAGCTACAGCTCCATTTCCACTTTTTTGGTGGTGAATTGGAGGCAAGAATCTCACGAACTTTCCTGCCCAGGCTGGCTTCAAACCGCAATCCTCAGATCTCAGCCTCCTGAGTAGATAGGATTACAGGCATGAGCCACGGGGCACTCCCCTGCACAGATGTCCTATTAAAGCTAACAATTGTATATAAGGACCTGTGTGTACATGGGTGAACCTGTTCGAAGTCACGCAGCCAGCAGGGAAAAGGATCCCAGCCCCAGTCAGCTTTCACACTTCCTCTTGTGCCATTTTGCCCCTTTTGCTTCTGGAACTTCTTGTGAAACTTCCATGCTGTTTCCACAGAGCCCCCGTCTCCACCTCCAAATCCCAACCTAAATGACCTCCACTGCCAAACATAGACAGTTGTCCTCAGCATTAACACCCCCATTTGTCAATCTAGAATCCAAAATGTACCGCTCTGGCCAGTCTACATGCAATTGGCAAAGGCAAGAGCTGTAGAAAGTGATAAGCTTGCCCAGCAAGCATAGCCCACAAATGTCTTCTCTTTAACCAGCCCAAGATCTATAAGTTTCAGTAATTACCAACTTAAAATTTGTGAGCTTTCCCATAAAAATCCTGACTTGCAGCATCTCTTGAAAAATCAGAAGCCATAGCAATTCCAGTTGCCCAGTCAGCACTCAGCAGTGAACAGCAGCCACATACTCCATTCCTGATTGACAAATGGCATTTACATCTGTAGCTGCTTCCCTGACTCATTTCCTTTCCTCCAGATTTTCTCTCCTTCAAAAAAAATCTTAGTTCCTTTTTCTTTCCTGGTCCTGAATAAATAATTAAGTCCAGTCTTCAGATTGCTAGGAAGAATATATTTCAGAAGCAGGGAGACCAAATGAATGCATCTAGATGCTTTACTCACACATCTTGATTCCCTTTATTATGCCCTCTCTCCACCACAGAATCACTCTGTCCTGTCTTCCAGGTGGAGGCTACAAGCAGGAAAGAAAAAGCCAAGCAGAGGCCCCTGGCCCTGAACACTGTAGAGATGCTGCGTGTGGCTAGCTCTGCACTGGGTATGTAGGGCATTTCTATAAAGTCTCCAAAGATGTCTTGCAGGCCATTGCAGATCTGACTAGCCCCAGTGCAGGTGTTGTCAACACTCTCAGAGGCGCTGAGTACTTTTCAAGCTATAATGTCTGAGGCTTTGAGTCTGAGCCTCATCTCTCTTAAGATCTTGAGTACAAACAAATCATTCCTTAGGATTGTTACTTAAGACTCCATAGTGTCTTTGAATTTATGTGGGGGAAAAGAAAACAGACTATTTCCTAATATTCAGTAGCCAGTGCCAGCACTAAATATGTGGAGGCCACTTCAAGACAGGGCCCTCACGTAATCACTGGACCAACAGAAAGCTTCCTAAAGGCATTATACCCTGGAGGTCCAGCTGCAGAGATAAACTCTGATCCACTGTCCTCCTCACTGGCCACTTTGTTCCTGTTCCTGAGTCTTGGTTTCCCCCTGAGAAAATGGGAATGATATTACCCATCTCTTTGCTGTAGAGATTATATATGAAATGGTGTGTCTTAACAATAGCAGTGGTGATACTGGCCACTACCAGAAAGGGATATAATATTAGAGTCCCCAAGCAGCTTTAGCTAGTGCATGGGAGAGCCTTGGCCAGCTAGAAACAATGTGAGCATTGTCTTCCTGAATCTGATTCCCTCGGTTATGAGAAGATTGGGCTGAGTGCAGCCTCTAGGCACTGTGGAAAGGCGTGAGTACTGTCTCCTCAGACAAATGTCTCCAAGGTCTTTCCAGGGCAGTGACTCCATCCAAGGGGTCACTAGCCTCCTGTGGTTAGAGCAGCAGGGCTCACCCTCCCTCAGCCCAGATCCATGAAGATGGACTGATCACTTTGTCATCATCCTGATGGGCTTAACAACCCCAAGGCCTGGGGAACAGTATTCCAATGCCATAGCTTCCTCTCTACCATGAGCACTTTGAGGGTGGTGCTATGGAGGAAACCCTCATAGGTTTAGAACTTAAGCCTTTTGACAGGCTACCTGGCATGGACATCTGGCTACCTTGTGGGGTGGGCAGCAAGAGTGCCTAGGGTTGAGGGCAGGCACCTGACCATCACCACATTCCAAGCCAGCTGAGTCTTCTGCTTTTCACAGGCATGGGACCCCAGCATGCCATGCAAACGGCTGAGCGGTTGTACACCCAGGGTTACATCAGCTATCCACGGACAGAGACCACCCACTACCCTGAGAACTTTGACCTGAAGGGCTCTCTGCGGCAACAGGCCAACCACCCCTACTGGGCAGACACAGTGAGTGAAATGCACCCTGCCCCTGCACAAACCTATAGCTACGGGAGGCTTGGGACAGATTCAAGCACTTTGGCCACCCAGGACTGCTGGGAAGTGGCCAAGTCCAGACTCAGCTCTGCCCTCTCTTCCTCAGGTGAAGCAGTTGTTAGCAGAAGGTATCAACCGCCCTCGGAAAGGCCATGATGCTGGTGACCACCCCCCCATAACCCCTATGAGGTCTGCCACAGAAGCTGAATTAGGTATTCGATATTCCCTTTTCCTGTGCACACACTCACCTCACACTTGTCAAACTCCCAGGATGGGAAGACCAAAGCCCTGCAGCCTCATTGGACAGGGTCAGGTTCTGTCAGCAGTATGGGGGCTGGGCGGGGAAGCATAGCGGGGTGAGGGGTTGTTCCTTCTGTGCCCATTTGTCCCCAGCTTGATGAGAAGTTTGCCTGAAAGTTTAAGTTGTTTTTGTTTGTTTGTCGTGAGCAGTTTGGAGGGTTTTCTCTTCTTCTCCTCCTCCTTTTTCTACTCCTCCTCTTCCTCCGCCTCCTCCTCCTCCTCCTCCTGCTGCTGCTGCTTCTGCTGCTTCTTTTTTGCCAGTCCTGGGGACTGAACCCTGAGGTTCTTTTGCTCAAGGCTAGCACTCTACCCACATGAGCCACAGCACCAATTCTGGCTTTTTCTGTTTATGTGATACTGAGGAGTGGAACCCAGGACTTCATGCATGCTAGGCAAGCACTCTACCACTAAGCCAACATTCCCAGCCCTTTTTAAAAAATTTTTATGGTGTACAGAGGGATTACAGTTACACAAGTCAGGTAATGAGTACATTTCTCTTTGGACAGTGACACCCCTTCCCTTGTTCTTTCTCGTTTTTTCCCTCTTATTCCCACCCTCAAATTGTGTAGTTCATTTTCAATATAGTGTCTAGTGTGTACCACTGCTACATTTGTTCACCTTTTTGTCCCTTCATTTCTGCCCCTCCCTTATCTTCCCAAAGACAGATTAACAAGATAAAAAGAACAGCAAACAAAAATAACAGAGAAAAAAAAAGCCTCTTGTTTCTATTTCCTGGCACATTTTGATAAATATGATTTTATATGATCAAAGGCACATAGGCATTGCGCCTTTGTGTTCCTCCCCTAAGAATATCCTCCTTTGGTCTCACTGTGTGTAAATGGCTAGAGTCCTATATAATTTATCATGTCCCCATGTATTTTAGATCTAGCTTCTGCATACAAGAGTAAATAAGACATTTACCTGAAAGTTTTGCTTCCACACCACAGATCTAATGGTGAAGCACTGATAGCTGGTCAGAGAAGGGCCAGTGTGCCAACATCCTGGGAAAGGGCATGAGGTACAGAAGGACAGGGCTTAGTGTTGGGGCTATACCTGCCTTCCACCAGTGCAAGGCCATACTAATGACCTGTGGGCCAGAAGGTTGGGCAGGAAAGGGAAAGCAGTACAAGTGGAGCCTCTGTGCCTGAGTATGAAGGATGGGCACCCTGTCACTAGATGGGGCAAGGACAGGCTGGGTCCAACAGGGCAGCCCCACTGGAAAAAGATGAAGGAGGTGAGAGCTGTAGCTGTGAAGGGACTACCCAGTCATGAGGCAGGTTTCCCTACTGTGCTTTTTTTTTTTTTCAGTCATGGGGCTTGAACTCTGGGCTTGAGCGCTGTCCCTCAGCTCTTCAGCTCAAGGCAAGCACTCTGTCACTTGAGCCACAGTGCCGCTTCCAGTTTTCTGAGTGGTTTATTGGCGATAAGAGTCTCACAGACTTTTCCTGCCCACACTGGCTTTGAACCTCGATCATCAGATCTCAGCCATCTAGGATGCTAGGATTACAGGCATGAGCCACCAGTGCCCAGCTCCTGCTATGCATTTTTCTTCTCTCTGGTATCTGTACCAAGACCCTGTTTCTGGAGGGAGGATATTGGAGGTCTGACCAGCCAAGGTGATTGGCTGTGGGTCTTCTACAGGGGGTGATGCATGGAGGCTATACGAGTACATCACCAGGCACTTCATCGCCACAGTCAGCCACGACTGCAGGTATCTCCAGAGCACCATCTCCTTCAGAGTCGGGCCTGAACTCTTTACTTGCTCAGGGAAGACTGTCATCTCCCCAGGTAAAGCTGCCTTTCCTAGAGAGCTTCCTTTTCTCATCCATGGGCACACATCCATTCTGAGGTTAGTAGGCCCAGGGAAGCTGAGTGGTGGTGCTGTCTCCTTAGGGTTCACAGAGATCATGCCCTGGCAGAGCGTGCCACTGGAGGAGAGCCTGCCCACCTGCCAGCGAGGAGATACCTTCTCTGTGGCAGAGGTGAAGATGCTGGAAAAGCAGACAAGCCCACCTGACTACCTGACCGAGGCTGAACTCATCACACTCATGGAGAAGCATGGCATCGGTGGGTTACCAGCCTACACCCCAGATCCGGGCCCCCAGTTCCAGACAGGCCTGCTGTGTAAAGCCATACACAAGGCCTTCCTTTTGCATCCTGGCTCTCGTGCTAAGGCCAAAAGTATATGTACTGTGAGACCAGTACATGCTGCCTAGCGCCCACAGAGTTTAAGGATTTCCCTGGTACCCAATGAGTCACAGGTTTTACCAGCAGCCTCCTCCGTCCTCTTAGCATTTGGATGTGCTCTGGAAAAGGCTATGAGCCTGCTTCTTTCCACTTGGGGCAATGTGCTATACACGGACCGAGCAATCCTCAGCCTGCTGTGGTGTGTGGGTGCTGCTCCCCCCAGTATCCACTCCTTCCTGATAACAGAACAGGCCTGTTCTTTCTTACAAATCCTTCCCTATATCATGTCTTCTGGCAGCCATACACAAGACTGCGGTCTAGACAAAACAAGCTACAGTTGGTGACAGCGAAGGGGTCTTTGACTTTCTAAATAGGAAAGTGGGTAAAGATGGCTCTTTTGACTAAGGCCCTCAGGGCTACAGAGAAAAGGCCTGATAACAGCCACCACCCATGGCTGTGATGAAAACACATTGGGCACTCAGGCCTCACATGCTCATAGTGCCACATGCAGCTCCAGCCTTTGTGGACTGTGGGACATCAGCAGGCTTCTTAGCCTTCAGATGCCAATTTTTTCACCTGTGGAAGGCTCAAAGCGTTACCTTAAGAAGATGCATGTCCCCCCAGCACTGGCAAGTATGCAGCCAGTGTGAGTTCCCTTTCTGCCTTTCTGACTAACAAATGCAGCTCAACCTTACCATCATCACCTTCTCTGCAAAGAATAGTCTTCAAGGCAGGAGGAATTGCATCCCTGGAAGTTGTGGTCTGCTTTGGGGATCATGAAGGGACCTAGCAAAAGAGAGGAAATGGGGGAAGCCAGCCTGGTACAGCAGTAGGCTTGTGAGTTCCTTTGGAGGGGGTATGCCCTGCTCTTAAGAGAGGTGAGCACTAGTTCTAAGTGGTAAAGGCCAAAAAGGGCACATTGAATAGTTGCAGAAAAGCTGTGTGACCTTGGCAGAGTTCATTGACCCCTCTGAGCCTCTGTCCATAGCTGTCAGGCTAGAATAAACATCCCATAATAATGATTCCTGAGTTCATAAGGCAGTACGGGCAAGGTGTGTCACCTAGCTCAGAACCAAAGACACCCAGGTCTCCCCCTATGAATCATAGGGAGATACTGAGAAGTATGGACCCTGTGACCAGCAGAGATGAAGTGTAAGTGCACAGTCCAGTGGGTTGTGTTCAGGCTAGCTCAGGAATACTTAGGGCATTGCTGTGTGTTCCAGGGACGGATGCTAGTATCCCTGTGCACATCAACAATATCTGCCAGCGCAACTACGTCACCGTGGAGAGTGGCCGCCGGCTCAAGCCCACCAACCTTGGCATCGTCCTGGTGCATGGCTACTATAAGATTGGTGAGTCCCTCAGTCACACATCCAAGATGCTGCAGGAACACGCCAGCTTCTCCCTAGGCAGCATTGGGCTACCTCCTCCCTGAACTGACAGTGAGCCCCAGCCCTGACTCCCACTATGGAGTACTGCCCAGGAGCCCAGATCAGGGATTTGAGATAATGTGTGATAAACATGATGGTGAATAAAAAGTCCAAAAGGGAAAGACAAGAGACTCCTTCCTGGGGCTGGGAAGGTAGCTCAGTGGTAAAGCGCTTGCCTTGCAATGCATGAGGCCCTGGGTTCGATTCCTCAGCACCATATAAGAAAAAAGCTGGAAGTGGCGCTGTGGCTCAAGTGGTAGAGTGCTAGCTGAAGAGCTGAGGGACAGCGCCCAGGCCCAGAGTTCAGGCCCCACAACCGGACCCAAAAAAAAAAAAAGAGACTCCTTCCTGTAGACCAGTCCTCTGCTGAGCCTGCAGCCCTCACTAAGCTGCCCATCAGCTCTGTCTCTAGGAGGTGCTCCTGGGCCTGGGAGATTGAGAAGCACACAACAAATCTGGCCCAAGAATATGACTACATCTGTGACATGATACTAGACAAAGATGTCTCTGGCACCTCTCCATAAGATTTCCTGCTCCTAGGAAAGGCCTAGGAGCAGTAGAAATCTGCCATCCATATCTGTGGATGGATGACTTAGGGAGAGACTAGGAGGACCAGCAGGAGCTGGAGGGGGAGCTGGCAGCAGCACTTGCCCCGCCTGATGGCAGTGCCTGGACCCTGGGTTCCAGCACTCACTGTGGTATCTGCCTGCTCATAGACGCAGAACTAGTGCTCCCCACCATCCGCAGTGCAGTGGAGAAGCAGCTGAACCTGATTGCCCAGGGCAAGGCTGACTACCGCCAAGTCCTGGGCCACACTCTGGACATCTTCAAGAGGAAGTTCCACTACTTCGTAGACTCCATTGCTGGTAATTCTGCCTCTTCCCCACCCCTCACCAGAGGCTGGTCCCTCAAGGAATCCAGACAAGGCTCTCTCCCAGATCTGGATTCTAGGCCTCCACAGGCCCTGACAATGATGCCAGCTGTCTAGTTACCATTGAGTCAACTCCACACACAGCACCAGCAGCACACTTCATACCTGACAAGTGGTGCTGAGCTCTCCTGCTCCCACCACTCAGATTCTCAGTCCTGACTGTGTGTGGTGGCCTCTTACTTCTAGCCCACAATTTCCCCTTAGCCTCCTGTGAAAGGGTAGGCTGCCAGAGCAGGGGAGATAGGACTCCCTTATAATCTGCTTGCTTGCAGGAATGGACGAGTTGATGGAGGTATCTTTCTCACCCCTGGCAGCCACAGGCAAGCCCCTCTCACGCTGTGGGAAGTGCCATCGGTTCATGAAGTACATCCAGGTAAGGAGGCAATGCGCTGGGACCACCCCTCATGGCCACAGTGCTCTTGTGCATTGACTCAGGAAGTCCTGTCACCTCCTAAGCCTCTGCTTTGTTAAGTCACCCATAATAACAGAATGATCAAAAGGCCTAAATCAGCAACCAACAATCTCCCACAGTGTGTCCATGACCTAGAGCACACATAAGCCATTAAGCCACACAGACACACACTGTCCATTTCTTTCTACCACCACATTTCTTCCAGGGCTTCTGGTCTTCCTGTCATAATGTATAGAGCAGATTGTCCAGAGGCTCAAGTGGAAAGTTGAGAGATCCTTGCCTGTTAGTGCAGTCCATGTTCTGACACAGATTAGATAGTCTGTGATGTGAGGGGAAGGAAGGTAGAACAGGGCCCCAGCAACCCTTGTGTCGCTCCTGCTGCCATCGTAGGCCAAGCCCAGCCGCCTGCACTGCTCCCACTGCGATGAGACCTACACCCTCCCCCAGAATGGTACCATCAAGCTCTACAAGGAGTTGCGGTGCCCATTAGATGACTTTGAGCTGGTCCTGTGGTCCTCTGGCTCCCGGGGCAAGAGTTACCCACTGTGCCCCTACTGCTACAACCACCCACCCTTCCGAGACATGAAGAAAGGTGAGTATGGCACCTGGTCCTGTGTCATCTCCCCCAGCATGGCCAACCCTCACCCCTGGTGAGGGATCTGCCCTCTGTGTTCAGCTCCAGTGTCACACCAAGTCAGAGTCTGAGGATCCCTCACCATGGCTCTGTCTAAGTCTTCCCTGACAGAAACCCAGGGAATGTGTGTGATGCTGCCAGCCTGACTGATTCTGCCTGTGTCCTAATTGGGCAGGAAACTCTAGACAGCTGCTTCCTCAGGATCTAGGCCAGGAGGAAGCTGTAGCCCCTCATTAATTGGGATGAGTGAGAGGCAGCAGCAGGTTGGGCCACTCAGCCCTATCTGTCCTTGCATTGTGTCCAGGGCACCCTGGACCCAGCACGGGCAGCACACTGCAAACTCTCAGGGGTAACCATCTCCTACCACAGATTAGGGACCAGCAGCAGTGAAGCATTTGCCCACTTTACCAGAGATCTGGAGGGGACCCTTGAGATCTCGGTCTTCATCCAGTCTGCCTGGGTAATTGAGGGCCTGTCCCTGTGCCCCAGAAGCTTCCAGAGCATGCAGACCAGTGACATGAGGGCAGTAATTAGCTACAGAGAAAATAGGATAGACCTGGCTAGAATCTGCTAAAAAGGCATTAGCCTGGGGCCCCTTGAAGATCAAGGAGACTAGATAAGTAGAGAACGGGGTGATGGGAGTTGGGGACTTAGGATCACAGAGCCAATATAAGCAAAGAAACTCCAGGAGCAAAGCCAAGAAGAGCACAAGATACTGGGACAGGGATCCAGAGTTTGAGACGCTGAGAAAAGGCTGAGGGGGGATCTGGGATCTGTGGGGAGGGCAAGGAGAGGCAGTTGAGCATTGCATGATTCCGTTCTCCCTCAGGCATGGGCTGCAATGAGTGTACACACCCCACCTGCCAACACTCGCTGAGCATGCTGGGCATCGGTCAGTGCGTGGAGTGTGAGAGTGGGGTCTTGGTGCTGGATCCCACCTCCGGCCCCAAGTGGAAAGTAGCTTGCAACAAATGCAACGTGGTGGCACACTGCTTTGAGAACGCCCACCGTGTGCGAGTGTCTGCTGAGACCTGCAACACCTGTGAGGCTGCCCTGCTGGACGTGGACTTCAACAAAGCCAAATCCCCCCTCCCCGGAGATGAGACACAACACACAGGCTGTGTCTTCTGTGACCCCATCTTCCAGGAACTGGTGGAGCTGAAGCATGCAGCCTCCTGCCACCCCATGCACCGGGGTGGGCCTGGGAGGAGGCAGGGCAGAGGGCGGGCCAGGGGCCGACGCCCCCCAGGGAAGCCCAACCCGAGGCGTCCAAAGGACAAGATGTCAGCCCTGGCTGCCTATTTTGTATAACTCCCATCCTCCCTTGCTCTGACTCCAGCTTGATGCAGACACGGCATCATGGTTGTTTCTGAGCCCCTGAGACCATTAAAACTGTTCTGTCTTCTCTAGAAAAAAGCTTGGGGACTTTTGCTGGTGAAGTGAAATCAGAGGTTCTGATGTCCCCTTCAGGGAATTCTGTGTACATCTAGAGCACTCTTTATACTGCCCAGGCCCTACGAGCCTGCCATCTTAGCAACTAGAGAATACAGCCAGTCCAGTCTGCAGCTACTAGTCCACCTCAGGACAGGAACAGTAGCAGGGCCGTGTATAGAAGCAAAGAAGCAGCCTGAGGCCTTGAGGAAGTGAACATCAACAGTCCAGCAGGTGTCCTAAGATGAGGCCAGCTGTAGCAAGCAGGGTTGAGCAATGTCTTCTTGGCCCTAGCTCATGAATCTCCTTGGCCTGGGTCCCACCATTCTGACCCTACTCTTGTATGCTTGAGGCTCCCGACTCCGCAGTTCCAAGCAAACTCAGCATGTGGTGCTTGTGTGCATAATAAACCTGGACTGTCTCAGAGACAGCTGGAAGCCACATTGAAGATGATCACATGACTGGTTTAGAAACTATTCTCTAGGCCAGACTGCCTGATGGCAGCTGATTATGGTCTCTGAGCCACCCCCAATAGTAGCTACTTTCTGTGCCCCCTCTCCAGCAGTCCGACAAAAAGTCCTGTTAGGTCTGTTGCATGTTGGAGAGTCCCTCCATGCCTGACCATATCTCACCATGTGGCAAAAATTCAGCAAAGGGGTTGGAGGTATGGCTCAGCTGGTAGAGCACTAGCCAATGAGCAAAAGTGGCAGGTACTGAGTTCAAGTTCTAGTCTCAGAACTTAAAAAAAGTCAGCCAAGCAGCTTTGCTGGAGCTTTGTGGGATTCTTGTTTAAGGGCCAAGTTCCTACTCTCCATTCATACCAGGACAGATAGGACTTTAGAAGCTGTAGAGAAACCCAGAGCCTCTGCAGCACAGGCAACCTTGACATCCCACTTCAGACCCCACAAGCCAACCCTGCTATGTCCTTTGAACACAGCTAGGAAGCCCCTCTAAAAGTTGCAAGAAAATACACAGAGAGGTGCTCTTTTGTGTGTGCCAGTCCCAGGTCTTGAACTCGGGACATAGGCACTGTCCCTGAGTATTTCTGCTCAAGGCTCGTACTCTACCACTTAGGCCACAACTCCACTTTTTGCTTTTTTTTGGTGGTTCATTGAAGGTACGAGTCTCATGGTTAGGTGCTGGTGGCTTACATCTGTAATCCTAGCAACTCGGGAAGCTGAGAGCTGAGGATCCCAGTTCAAAGCTAGCTTGGGTAGAACAGTCTATCGAGAATTGTACCCCCAACCACCAGAAAACTGAAAGTAGAGCTGTGGATCAAAGTGATAGAATGCTAGCCTTGATCACAAAAGCTCCAAGACAGCACCCTAGCCCTGAGTTCAAGCCCTAGGATTGACAAAAATAGTAAGAGTCTCAGATTTTCCTGCTTGGGCTAGCTTTAAACCTAGATCCTCGTATCTCAGCCTCTGAAGTAGCCACCAGCACCCAATAAGATATTCCTTTTGGAAAGCTGTTGCCAAAGCCATCTGCCTGGGAAGCTGTACAACTGTTCCTGAGTCAGTATGTCTCAGGAAGAAAGCCTCTATCCCATTCCCAGCTACTCCAGCCAGATTCTGGAGCCCTGAAAAGGGTTCATCTCTTGGTATATAGGATCTCTGACAAAGATATATGACTGTTCTTCCACCCATATGGTCAGTCACGTACAGCGTGGATCTGGGGCCTTCTGTCCACAAGAAAGCAGCCTGTCCTCCCTGATGCCCCTGGACCCTTCCAGACAGGCAGCTCTGTTACAGTTTAGTTGGTCCTAGAGAATAGACTTTCCCCTCAGCCTGAATCCCAGACCACACACTGTCATGATTCTGCACTGAAACTTCTACCACAAGCAGAACTAATTGAGAGTTCCTTTACCTTTCTCTGTGGTTGGACCTTTGCGTGACATTCCCTAGAAGGAGACCCATGGGCTAGTGAAGCCACATTCTGCACCCTAGTCTTTTATCCTGCCATCCTGTGCATCCAACCCCATTAGCTAGTAACCAGGTCCTGGAAACAATGAGGACAAAGAAGAAGGAGGCCTATCTTAAACCATACCTGTCTTCAAATGAACCATGTGCTTAGGACCAGTCTCTGTGCCCTGGAAAAGTCTATGGCTTCAGGGCTGCTACTCTGGGAAGGCAGGATCTCAGAAGCCAGCCCTCAGTCTTGCACATGACTCTCAGTGGCAGGGTCTAAGTGTCTTATCCTACAAGCTAGGCTGGACACAGACCATTCCCTTTTGCAGACCCCATTTCTGTTATCTTGAGATGCTGATACACGTTGACACTGGAGCTTTTGGGAGAGGGGAGAATTACAGTAGTGTGGCTCCCTTCCATGGCTGCTGCTAGAAATCCTGTTTTCCATTCCCATAAAGAATTTAATAGGCACAAAATACCCAAGGAAGAAGTAGTACTATGGCTCAAGTAGTAGAGTGTTTGCATTGAGTTGAAGAGCTCAGGGACAGAGCCCAGGCCCAGAGTTTAAGCCCCATAACAACAACAACAACAAAAAAAAAACTTGGTCTATGTCACCCTTCCACTTCTTTGTTCTCCCCTTCTCTCCCAGCCCCACCTACCCAGGCACCCGTGGCTCACACCTGTGATCCTAGCTACTCAGGAGGCTGAGATCTGAGGCTCATGGTTCAAAGCCAGCCCAGGCAGGAAAATCCATGAGACTCTTCAGTAAACCATCAGAAAACCAGAAGTGATGTGGCTCAAGTGGTAGAGTGATAGCCTTGAGCTGAAGAGCTCAGGGACAGTGCCCAGGCCCAGAGTTCAAGACCCACAACCGACAAAAAAAAAAAAGACCCAAGGACCCCTGTGTTAATTTATTCTCATCACATGTGTCAAAATACCTGAGCAAATCTACTTAAAGGAAGAAAGATTGATCTCTCAAGGTTTCAAAGTTTCAGCCCATAGGCTTCCATTGCTTTTTAGGCCTGTGGCAAGACTTAAACATCATGGTGGAAAAAAGCTTCCTAACAGCCAGGAAGCAGCGAGGAAGGGAGAGTCCTGGAACAAGATACACTCAAAGGATACCCAATGACTTGCTTCCTCTACCTAGACCCTGCCTTGTTTCTATCACCTCCCACTCACATCACCAAATTATGAATCCAGCAGTGGGTGGAGTCAGAATTCTCATGATCCTTAACGGGATCTCATCTGTTTCCCAGAAGCTCATCAGCTGGCAAGCCAACCTCCAGGGATCATTTCCTAATAATCCTATTTGTAGGAAGGTAGCCATGCCAGGTGAGCAGAGTAGCCAGGAAACTCAGGAGTGAGGGATATGTAAAACTTTGTCTCAGGTATCACTGATGCTCTGAAGCCCAAGAATGATGGATTACTGTGTCTATCCTGAGTTCAGAGATGTTGGGTGGGTGTGGGAAGATGAAAGACAGTGTTCCTCCTGCAGATTTAGGTAAAGTCCTCATGGGGCAGGAGCAGTGGGCTAGAGGAGGCTTCTGGAACAGAGTATTTGAAGGCTGCAAGAAAGTTCAGCCAGGGGCTGGGAAGGTGGCTCAGTGGTAGAGCACTTGCCTTGCATGCATGAGGCCCTGGGTTCAATTCCCCAGCACCACATAAGCAAAAAGAAAAAAGCCAGAAGTGGCGCTGTGGCTCAAGTGGTAGAGCACTAGCCTTGAGCTGAAGAACTGAGGGACAGCGCCCAGGCCCAGAGTTCAGGCCCCACAACTGGACCAAAAAAAAAAAAAAAAGTTCAGCCAGAGAGAACAAAGGAGGGAATGCCAGGACTAGCACACCCTGCCTCTGCTCTGCCCACCTACACCGCCTTACTAGAGAAGCAAAGAACCATGAACTTGGTGGTTGATTGGGGAAGATGATACTGAGATTGCTTTCACAAGAGCAAAAGGCAAGAGTTAGAGCTGAGGCATGGAATGCGGGCAGGGAGGCATTGACAGACCACAGCACATAAGTAATCTCTAAGCACATCCTTGGGTAGGGCCTAGCAAGAGCAAGTTCCTGACTCCTGACTTTGCCATCACCTCCAACTCAATAACCTCATAGAGAATTCAATCCTTAAGAATCTAATAAGGGGGGCTGGGAAGGTGGCTCAGTGGTAGAGCGCTTGCCTTGCATGCATGAGGCCCTGGGTTCGATTCCTCAGCACCACATAAGCAAAAAGAAAAAAGCCGGAAGTGGCGCTGTGGCTCAAGTGGTAGAGCGCTAGCCTTGAGCTGAAGAACTAAGGGACAGAGCCCAGGCCCAGAGTTCAGGCCCCACGACCGGACCAAAAAAAAAAAAAAAAAAAGAAGAATCTAATAAGGCCCCATTGAGGCAGCTGAAGCTCTATCCACTTTCATCATATGTTATAGCCTAGGCTATGGTTCTCAAACTTCACCCCTCTCAAACTGTCACCCCCTGTCAGCCAACCTATGACAGGTTGGTTTCAACTGTCTCTTAGCAAAGGAATCAGGCTCTGCTGAGCGAAGGAATATGCCCAAAGTTATAAGTAGCCTCAAGCCTTGCTTAGGCCCACTGCTTTGACAGAAATCTAAGAAGGAGTGAGTCAGAACCCCACTTTTAACCCCTATCCCAAGTGGCTTCCTAAATCAGCCACTTGCCAGTTCTCCAGTTTCCTGGCTTCAATGAAGCCCACCAGTCAATGAAGAATCCTGGAGTTCTTAGCTCCTGGGAAGCAAACAGGCTAGTGTATAGATATTAAAGTCACGTGAGCAGAGACACCCAAGCTTTTGAGGGCTTGTTCATCATTTTTTTAAAAAATCTAATTGGTGCTGGGAAGGTGGCTCAGTGGTAAAGCGCTTGCCTTGCATGCCTGAGGCCCTGGGTTCGATTCCTCAGCACCACATAAGCAAAAAGAAAAAAGCCGGAAGTGGCGCTGTGGCTCAAGTGGTAGAGCGCTAGCCTTGAGCTGAAGAGCTGAGGGACAGCGCCCAGGCCCAGAGTTCAGGCCCCACGACTGGACCCAAAAAAAAAAAACAAAACAAAAACAAAAAAAAAAAAAAATCTAATTGGTGCCACATGCCTATAATCATTGCTACCAGGATGCTAAGATCTGAGGACTTAGGTTCGAAGTTAGCCAGGGGAAGACAAGTCCAAAAGACTATCTCCAGTCAACAAGCAAGAAGCCAGAAGTGGAAGTGTGGTTCAAGTGGTAGGACACCAACCATGAGCTAGACTGAGAGACCCTGAGTTCAAACCCCAATGCCCCCACAATCTAACATCCAGAAGAAATAAAAGCAAACACACTAACAATCCAACCAATAAATATGCAAAAGAACTGACACCTTTCAAATTAAGAAGTACAAATGGCCAATAAATACATTTTTTAATCTTCGATATCCTTTGCCAGCAAGGAAATGAAAATCAAAACTATTGAGAGTCCATCTCACCCCAGTCAGAATAATCATAAGAAAACAAGCTAGACACTTGTGGCTCATGCATGTAATCCTAGCTACTCAAGAGGCTAAGATCTGAGGATCACAGTTCAAAGCTGGCCCAGTCAGGAAAGTCTGTGGGATTCTTTTTTTTTTTTTTTCAAGTAGTAAACTTTATTCTCACACACACATGAGCAAACAATTCTGTAATAACTTTATATACTATCTAGGACTGAAAATGTTTTAAAAGTTCATTGTAGATGACAGATGACAGTCAGTTACAAATAAGGGAGATTACACTGAATCTACAGTGTTGGATCTGAGTCAGAGGTACCAGTCTGCTTCGTTTTTAACACATACAAAAATGGATAGGTTATAGAGGTAGGGACATGTACGTAAGTAAGTATTAGTATACACACACACATTTCCTAAATCTGTCCACTGGGACCCTACTATCCATACATTATTTTATTTTCTAATAAAAGAGACTAGGGCTCTTTGAAGAAATGGTTGATTCCTAGTTATTACAGGGAGAACCACAGATGACTTATCACATCTGATGGCTCCAGGAAGTACTGGAACAATAATGCAGGCATGTGGAAAGAACACAGACGTTGACTTGCAGACTCTCGATGTGTTCAGAGCTGAGACAGCCTGAGCAATAGAAAGTCAGGACTAGATTATAACCAAGAAAATTAAATAAACATTCATGGCCCAAATTGATAGAAGTATAGGATAAATGAGAGGAAAGAACAGGCCCTTCTTATCACAGAAGGTGTGATGGAAACAAAGGTAGCAGTACATTACACTAAGAACCAGCACAGTGAGACTGTTGATGTGCAGTAAAGTCAATGGGGAAATTATGATTTCTTTCAAAGGATCCCCATAGACACATAATAACTGCAAAAGGAAAAACAATTACTTTACAATAAAGAAAGCTGGAAGATTGCACCTTCACCAGTTGAACCAATTTTTAACTCTATTTAACAGAAATAAAATACACCCATATTCCCAATATGAATCAGTAAAAACGGCACGAAAATTGCTTCTGTGGTATTTTGGGCTCAAATGCATAATAATCATGAGTAAACATCAAGTACACTCAAACTGAAGGACCTTCCAAAAACACTGACCAAACTCTTCAAAACTGTCAAAAGTCATGAACATCAGTGGAGACCAACCATCAACAGACTAAGGACACTAGGAAGCCAGAAGGACATCACATATTTCTCATTCAGTATGAGAAACAGGACGCTGGTGGGAAAATACGAAGGCAGGTTGATAGACTAGCTAATAGCATGGCATCACTGCTAACTTTCTGATTAGAGAAGGGGAGGGGAGGGGAAAGACAGGGCAGATAAAGGAAGGGGGAAGGGAAGAGAAGGAGGGGAGAGGCAGAAGCATAGCAGGGTCGTTGGCTTCTGACTTTAAGTACCACATTGGGTCAGCATCACTTGTAACCTTTTCGTTGGCTTTCATTATCTTCTTTATCTGCACATTAATAAAATAGTTGAATGAGTCTATATGCTGCTTCACAAGGCCTTTAACCTTTAAAAATGCGGGAAGCAGCCTCCATTTTTCCTCCACCGTTGGGATCGGCGCCGCCAGGGGCTCCGGGGTCAGGCTCCCAAACTCTTCCGCCAGGACGTCCATGTGGACGCTTCGTCGTTCCGCGTCACTGCAGCGGGAGAAAGGCCGGCCTTCTTTCGAAGCTCGCCTTCACTTTCCCAAGCAAGCTAACTGCAGCGCGCGCCGGAGAAGCCATGCGCCGCGGCCTTAAGTGTCCCCGCCGCACTTCTCTGTGGGATTCTTAACTCCAGCTTATTATCAAAAAGCTGGAAGTGGTAGTGTAGCTCAAGTGGGACAGCACAGCCTTGAGCAAAAAAGCTCAAGGACAGTGCCCAGACTCTGAGTTCAAGCCACAGGACCTGCACAAAATAAAAGAAAAAGAAAACACGTAAATACCAAGACACAGGGAGAATATAACTTTAATTCACTGTTAGTGGGAAGACCCAGCCACTATGAAAATCAGCATGGAATTTCCTCAAAAATTAAAAACAAGCTGGGCACCAGCGGCTCATGCCTATAATCCTAGCTACTCAGGAGGCTGAGAGTTGAGGATCTTAGTTCAAAGCCAGCCCAGGCAGGAAAGTCTGTGAGACTCTTATCTCCAATTAACCACCAGAAAACTGGAAGTGGTGCTGTGTCTCAAGTGGTAAAGAGTTTGCCTTGAGCTGAAGAGCTGAGCAACAGGGCCCAGGCCCAGAGTTCAAGCCCACAACCGCCAAAAATAAAAATAAAAACAACTGTCATATATCCTCCTCTACCCCTCGGGTATATAGCTGAAGGAATACAATAGAGATACCTGCATACCCATACTTGTTACAACACTATTCAGCCTAGGTGATGGAAAGTCCATGAGACTCATCTCCAATTAACCACCAGAAAACGGGAAGTGGTGCTGTGGGTCAAAGTGGTAGAGCACTAAGGAAAAAAATGCTCAGGGACAGGGCCCAGGCCCAGTTCAAGCCCCACAAACGACAAATAAAGAGGGGGGGGGCAGGGGAAAGAATAAGAAAGAGTTATGTATATGAAAATGTCATGATGAAACCCTTTACTGTGTTCAGGTTAATTAAAGCCAATTTAACAATGAAAAAAGGCCCAGCTCACACCTGTAATACTAGCTACTCAGGATACTGAGATCTGAGGATCCTGGTTCAAATTGGGGCAGGAAAGTCCATGAGATTCTTATCTCCAATTAATCACACACACACACACAAAAACGAAAATGGATCTGTGGCTCAATTGGTAGATCACTTGCCTTGAGCACAAAAGCTCAGGGACAGTGCCCAGGCCCTGAGTTCAAACCCTGGGACAGGCAGAAGAAGAAGAAGAAAAAAAAAAGATGTCCTGGGTTATCTGAATGGGCCCAATGCCATCACCAAGTCTTTAGAAGTAACAGAGGGAATCAGAGGGACTAAACTAGGTGACAGGGAGAGAAGAGCTAGACTGACCTTCGCTGGCAAAGACGACGAAGGAAAAGGACATCAAGCCAAAGAATGTGGACAGTCTCAACAGCCAGGAAAGACAAGGGAGTGGACTCTCCCTTAGGGTCCCTAAAAAGGACAAGCCTGTTGATACCTAGAGGTCGTGGCCCATTTTGACCCTGAGAACTTCGGATCTCCGGAGATAATAAGGCTGTGTTATTTCAATAGAACAATGTTGATGAAAAATAACAGTACCCTGGCCTCTGTCTCCTGCCCCTGATGGATGAGCCAACCTTGGGAAGTCAGGGTATGCATCCCAACTCTGTCACTACCTATGGACGGCTCAAGTTAGTGGATTTCTGGTGGCTGTCAAATAAGGATTGCTTTCAGCCACCTCGCCTCCCACGCCAGAGGTGGAGCAAATTGCTAGCGCCTGGGGCGCAGGTGTCGCCTGAAAGCAAAGAGCCGCGAGGCCGCCAGAGGGCAGCAGAGGCCCGAACCGCCCCCCACCGCCCGCCCTGAGGTCCGACTACGCCTGCGCAGCACTCGCGGCAGCCCCGGACGGGAAGTGGGCGGGGCCGTCGGGGAGCATTTTGCGGGGCGCGGAGCGGCGGGGTGGCAGGTGAGGCCCGCGGGGAACCGGGAGCGACGAAATCCGGGTTGGGAGCGAGCCGCGGAGGCTGGCAGGACTGGAGTGAGGGTCAGGTGCGCGGAGGTGGGGTCCAAGGTTCACAGCGGTGAAATGGGGCTGAGGAACCCGGGAGACGGAATAGGGGGGCTGAGGAAGTAAGAAGGCCCGGGCGAGGCTCGTCTGCAGGGACCTGAGGAGCATGTGGGGTGGAAAGAGGACTGAAGAGCAGGGGGAGCAAGGGGGGCTTGGGGAACCCGAGAATCGGGGCTGGCGTGCTACGGCGTGGGGCTGGGGTGGGGCGGAGGGGAGAGGGAGCCGAAGGGCCCAGGTGGGACCCCCGGCTTGGTGGGCAGACTGGAGTAGCATGGGGTGACACTCCCCATTCTTCAAGGATCCAGCCTCTCCCACCCCCTCAGGAGCACGTGGCCAGCCCGCTGCCCTGCCTCCTACCCCAGCAGTGCAAGCACCTCGTGGGACCGCTACTCCGCCGAGCACCCCGTATTGCCAGGGCTCCCCCCAGGCTTCTGAAGGTGAGTGTTTAAGTGAAAGCAGTGCGTGGGCCGCAGCGCCTTCCGCTGAACTGTGTCAGATAGTGCCTCAAGTGTGGAGACCTTGGGCTCCCACTGCAGTGTGATTTCAGACAAGCCCATTCACCTGTTTGTTCGTGCAAGCCAAAGGTTTTCTGCCCCGAGGTCCCCTGTGTGACTTATGTCCTCGTGACATTTCCAGGGACAAGTTCTATCTGCCAAACTGCATCCACCTGGGGGATGGAATGTGGTACTGGCAGGCAGTCAGATCATCACTGGCTTATTGCTGGCTTTCATGTCCCTGTCTCTCAGTCAGATTTCACGCTTTTCCTCCAGAACCGAGGTGTGAGTGACAAAGTCACTGGGCACCGAAACTCCTGATCAAGCCCTACTTTTTCATTCCCAGCCGGTGAGAGCTTTAATAGAGAGCTTCCCCTCCTGAAGTCCATTCTTCATGTGCAGTGTAACCTGATAATATGAATTATCAACACAGTTGTGAGAGATAAAATAAATACCATATCTGTTTGGTGTGGGTGTGTGCATGTGTGTGCCAGCACTTGGGCCTGTGCAGTGTCTTTTAGCTTTTTCACTCAAGGTTGGCACTCTACCACTTGAACTACAGCTCCACTTCCAGCTTTTTGGTGGTTAATTGAAGATAAGAGTCTAGCAAACTTTCCTGTCCAGCTTCAATCCTCAGATTGAATCCTCAGATCTCAGCCTCTTAAGTGGCTAGGACTACAGGCCCAGCTGTGAATACTATCAGTTCACTTGGAGAATTCCTTTGAGATGTCACTTAATGCCAACTCTGTCTTTAAGGCCCATCTCTGCTACTTAGCCATCCTAGATAGTGTGTTTTGGTTTCCTCTTTGAAAGTGTACATTGTCAGGTTGCATATCTCAGCATACAGTGGCCACTTTACCTTCATTCTGCCACCACAGTTGCCACTTGCTAAGCACAGAGGGCCACCAGAGTGGGCACCAATCATAGGGAACATATGATTCATCAAGAAAGTCCAGCCTTGAAAAGTGTATTTTCAGCAATATAGATGTGTTTAAGGCCATAGAACTGTACATTAAATATGCTTAGGGGTTGTCAGATACAGAGCTTGAGTCTCCTATCTCAGACAAAAAAGGAAAATGGTTAAAGTAGGCACAGAGGAGCTTAGGGGTCCAGAGGTATGACTTAGGGGTCCAGCCTGTGCTTAGCATACATGAGGCCCTGGGTTTAATCCCCAGCACCCCCAAAATGGTTTAAGTGGTACATTTTAGGTTATATTTTACCACATTATATAATCAGATAAACATAAACCTATAAGAATATTTACCTATGTGTAGAAAAACGCCTTGTTAAGATCTGGTAGAACTGATACCAAAACTCCTTTCAATAAATATTAATAAAGAAGATTCTCCATTGGTTAATTTAAAAATTAACATGAGGTTAGGAGTATGGCTTAAGTGGTAGAGTGCTAGCCTAGGAGGAAAAAAGTAACAGTTCAGTACTTTTATAACCATAGTCATGCAGTTTTCTCATAAATATTCCTATTTGCCAGGTACCAAGTGGCCCATGCCTATAATCCTAACTACTTAGGAGGCTGAGATCTGAGTATTGGTTCAAAGTCAGCCCAGGCAAGAAAATCCCTGCGACTCTATCTCCAATTAAGCAACCAAAGAAGTGAAGCTGTGGCTCAAGTGGCAGAGTGCTAGCCTTGAACAGAAAAACTAAGGGACAACACCCAACCCAAGTTCAAACCCCAGTATAAACATACACACACACACACGATTACTACTTTGTCATTACCCAGATTCTGAAATTAAACAAGACTTGACAAGTATTTTGTCTGTAACAGCTAGAAAAAATAATGCAGTTGTACAATTATATGGTAGTTTAATTTGTAGGTCCAAACCAGTAAACTAAAAGAATATAGATCCTTCAGATTTTAAAAGGAAAAGAATATCTATTGTGTCAAGTACCAGGAAAAGGGTTATACAACTGTGGAAAACAGCATGCTGGGCTGTTTTCCTCAAAGGTCGAAAAGATGGCAACGGAGCTTTGTATAGCCAAAGATTTTAGTGGGAGGCAAAAAAAAAAAAAAAAAAAAATCATAGGAGCAGAGAGACTTCAGGATTACTTCAGTTCATTCAGAAGAAAGAGGTGGGAGCCTATCCTGGCAATAAAAGAGCCAAAGCCCAGGCTTGGTGACCAATGAGAGGAAGGAATCAGAAAAACTGTGCAGTCTGGGACCAGTTCCCCAGTGTGAGCCCCACCCAGAAACTTTGGGCAAGTTACTTGGCCTTTACACCACAGCTGCATTTGTAAAGTAGAAAGAATCACAGGATGGTTGTCAGAGGTTAGAATGGGAAAAGCAATGATGGCACCCAGGGCCCTAACAGCAGGACGTACCCTTAATAGCATCACTGCTATGGTCAGCTGATTGAAGTGCAGAGACCTCATTCCAGAAGCCAACAGGAATCTGTTGAGGGTCATGCTTGGCCTGAACAGGTCAAAGCAGGCAGCACTCCCTCCAGGTTTTTGGTGTCTTACACACATCCCTCCCACTCAGCCTTTCACTGTGCACCAGACAAGTCAACAACTCTACACCAGACCAGCACCTGTTAGTTTTTTCACAGCACTGCCATCTCCCTAAACTCCCTTATCCATATGCTGCCTACTGATTGGCCACCACCTCCCTCTTAAGACTCTTTAAATGATCCCAAAAAAACTTAGAATCCTGTCACTATCCCTTGCCTGTCCCTAGCTCCTACTCTAGGTTAGGAATTTCCCTCCCACCACTCTGTAGGTTGTGGGCTGCCCAGGGCAAGGATTATTCTACTCCTATCCCTAAAGCCTGCATCAGATTCAGGAGCTTATTGGATAAAGGCAGAACAAGAAAGGATATTATTTGTTTCCTTTATTCCAGCTCGGATCCAGGGAAGGAAAACTGTGGCCTGTTCTTTTTTGTTTTTTGTTTGTTTGGGTCCGGTCGTGGGGCCTTAACTCTGTCTGGGCCTGGGCACTGTCCCTCAGCTCTTCAGCTCAAGGCTAACGCTCTACCACTTGAGCCACAGCGCCACTTCTGGCTTTTTTCTTTTTGCTTCTGTGGTGCTAGGAATCAAACCCAGGGCCTCATGCATGCAAGGCAAGCGCTCTACCACTGAGCCACCTTCCCAACTCCTGTGGCCTGCTTGTTTTTTTTTCCTTACCTCTGATGCCAGCTGGACAATGAAGAAAATAGTCCAGGCAGCAGAGTATTGGTGGCTTTTTTTTTTGTAGGTCGTGGGGCTTGAACTCTGGGCCTGAGCGCTGTCCCTCAGCTCTTCAGCTCAAGGCAGGAGCTCTACCACTTGAGCTACAGTGCTACTTCTGGTTTTCTGTTGGTTTATTGGAAATTAAGAGTTTCACAGAGTTTCCTGCCCGGGCTGGCTTTGAACAGAAATCCTCAGATCTCAGCTTCCTGAGTAGCTAGGATTACAGGCATGAGCCACCACCGCCCGGCGATATTGGTGGCTTTATGCCTGTAATCCTAGCTGAGATATGAGGACTGTAGTTTGAAGCCAGCCCAGGCAGGAAAGTCTGTGAGATACTTTTCCCTCTCACCCCCCCAGTCCTGAGGCTCAATCTCTGGGTTTGTATGCTGTCTCTGAGCTCCTTTTTGCACAAGGCTAGTGCTCTACCACTTGAGCCACAGAGCCCCTTCCAGTTCTTTCTGTGAATAATTGGAGAAAAGAGTCTCACAGACTTTCCTATCCAGGCTGGTTTTGAACCATGATCCTCAGATCTCAGCCTCCTGAGTAGCTAGGATTACAGGCATGAACTACCAATGTTGGGCAGTCTATAAGACTCTTACCTCCAAATAACCACCAAAAAGAGCCAAAGTAAAAATGTGGTTCAGGTGGTGGAGTGTTATCCTTGAGCTAAAAGTTCAGGGATAGCACCTACAGAGTTCAAGCCCCAGGACTTGGACCAAAAGAGTCTTAAGTAGTAGTCCCCAGCAAACAAAATGGCTTTGAGCCCTCTACCTGTCTAGCAAAAGTTGGCAGTTTGGTATAGACCCTGAGAGTGAGCCAGCCTGTCCTCTCTGCACCTGCTGGGGGAGTTTTGCAGATGAGCATTGATTGCCATGTCACACTGTGCAGCCCCACCTGTCCAGACTCCACTCTGTGTACATGGTACAAATTGTCATTGGGACCCAAGCCAGGTCCTGGGTTCAGGGCAGTGGGCATAGGGCACAGAGAACAAACAGGTGGTCGGGTGCACGCTGGGCTTCCAGCCTGTGCAGACTGTATTGCTACAATGCAGAGAGCCCTGAGGGGCTGCAGACTGTGGGGAGGGGCTCAAGGCACAGGAAACACCCAAAGGGTGGAGATGAGGAAGAGGTACCAATGTTGCAAAATGCCCAGCATACAAGTCACCAGCCATTGTGGTCAAAGATGAAAGGGCTTGAATTCTGTACTTGAATGTGAGGTTTCTTGCTGTAGACCAGCAACTGGAGCTCTCTTTGTACCTTTGAAGGTATAAATTTGCCATCTTTTCATTTGACCCTAACCATAACTTTCTCTGAGCAATTTAGTTCACTAGAGGTTTCAGTGTCTCTTGGTCATTTAATTGCATGGGAGCTAAGTGTAGTCCAAACACTGATAGTTGCTTGGGAGATAGCACCCCATTCATTATTTACATTTCTCCGTCAAATGCACCAGCAAGCCAGAGCTATTCATAGCAGACAGGAGGCCTAGGCCTCTTCCTCCACTTGAGGATGCTGAGTTTTCAGGGAAATTCCCACCGTCTTGTTGTCTTCTGATGGGTCTAGTCTTTATGCTTAACGCTCTGCTGGGCTGTGCAGGCAGGCCCTGAGACCCTGTCGGACTCTCTGCTGATCATCCTCCACCGTCCACTCCCAAGGTTTCTTGCCTGCTGTCATTTTACCAAGTTTTATCTTTGGTTAGAATATATCCATTCTGCTCCCATCCTGATTTTTCCTTCTTTGCTTTATACTCTGTTTGTCTGCTTGTCATTTGTAATGACTACATTGCATTTACTTGTAAGTAAATGAGAAGATTGACAATGAATTTTAAATCGTGCCTCATAAATAGAATATTTCTATGTTCTTCTAATGTATCTGCCTACAACAAATTAACTTTCGATTCTTATCCCTGAACAGAGTATTTTTTTTTAGTTTACCACCCTTCATCCTATTTTTTTTTCTTTTGAGATGGTACCAGAGCTTGAACTCAAGGCCTGAAGCTCTCACTTGGCTTTTTCACTCAGGGCTGGCATGCCACAGTTCCACTTTTGGCTTCTTGGTGGCTAATTGGAGATAAAAGTCTCAGGAACTTTTCTGCCCACGCTGGCTTCAAATCGTGATCCTCAGATCTTTTAGCCTCCTAAGTAGGAGTATAGGCATAAGCCATCTATGCCCAGCTATTCTTTACCCTTTGCAACCCCAATTTTGCATTGATTGGCATTGAGACTCTCCAGTCCATCTAGTTCTGTGTGCGTGTTTTATCCTTATGCTTCCACACTTGTGCTAAGCTAATAATCATTATCTCTTCTTGCTTTCAGCTCTTAATCCTTCAGCTCCAGGCCTTTGCCATCAACCTCCCTTATGGCAAGGTTTAGAGGCACTCACTGTCTATAGGGATTCTAAGACTGATATTTCTGGAATATTCTTGCCTGGGGTTCTACCATTTAGAACCTACGCTTAGAACCAGGAATGGGCTAGGAAAAGGATGAGCTAGAAAGCTGCTCCTCCGATTTTACCACCTAGAACTTGTGGTGGCCCTCACAATTATGTCATCTTAAAGCACCTCTTTCTGTTTCCTCTAGCAGTAAACACAGTGCTCTTTCCTGAGCAAAGTTCCAGAGCCTGGATATAAAATAGAGCCCTCCGAGGTGCCATAGCCATGGGAGGGCTGGAAAGAACTATTGCTAGCACCAGTCCCAGGGTGCACCTACCTAGAAGGGGCAAGAGAAATAGGTCCTATGCTGAGCGCATGCTCACAGGGAGGCAAGGTGCCTAGCTGTACGTGGTGTCAAGCAAGGCCTGGAAAGGCCAGGCTGCTGCAACAGGAAGAGCCAAATGGGGAAGGTAGAGCAAATCATAAGGCCATAGAAGAAAGATAGAAGGAGCCACAAATGTGGTCCAATTGTTGAGTATTTATACCTAGCATATACAGGACTTTGATTTTAATCTCCAATACTGGAAAGGGGGAGGGGGAAGATGGAGAGACACGCTAGTGCTGGCTATGAATCAGAGGCAGAAATCTAGGTAGGACCCCAGGTGTCCAATGAGGTGACAGAACTAGTCTGCTGGCTGTGAGTGTGGAGAGGGCTGGTTAGCCAGGGCCATGGCTAGGTGGATCTGAGCAAGAGTGAAGAGCTACAATCCCACCACAGAGAGGAAGCCAGAGTGAGCTTTGGCAGTCAAGGCCCGTGGGCACTGATGGTCCTCCCTTGGATGTGTGTGCATTGTAGGATGGTGACAAGTTCAGATTATGGATCCCTCCTGGGTCCCATTCTCCATCCTTAGACCTCAAGTGAAAGGCTGCCTCACTGCCCAGCCTCAGTGCTCAACGTGTGTGACACTGGAACTTGGCTCTTAATGTGTCTGGAACACACACAGCCTGGCTGCTACCAAGCCCTCAGCATTCCTAAGGATTCAGGAAGGAAAACACTGGACCCTGCACCCCTAGTGGATCAGAAACCTTGGGCCAGCCATAGTGCCTCTTCTCCAGCCAGGGGTTAAGAGGCTTGAGCCATCCTAAATACATGACCTACTCCTGTTAAGAGGACGCTGACTAAACAGGCTGGACAGCATCCCAGTTACACCCTTTAGCACAAGTAAACCTGCTTCTCTCTTGCCTAGCCCTCAGGTTGACCCTTCTTGTTCTCACTTTGGTCCATCTCCCAAATTGCCCTGGACTCACTGCCCTACTCATTCGCTGTTCCTCCAAACTATCTCTGCAGGCTAGCACAAGTCCCTTCTCCAGGCACATAAACCCAGAGCCCTCCTGGTTGCTGACATCCCCAGGATTATATTGAGGACTAGGCTCTGATGTTCTTTTTCTGTCCCTCTGGCCATACCAGCCATGCTGTGCTGGGAACAAGCCTTCTTTCTGTCATTTCTCTGAGATGTTCATGTGACCTATGTTGCTGGCATAATCCCAGAGGCTGCTTTTGAGTAGCCACGTGTCCCCACTTGGATCCCTGTGAGGATGCTGGCTGGGATGTTGATCTACTTCCCTTGTGCTCCCTGGATTAAAGGCCTGGGGCTCAGTACTGTGTCTATTGTACGCTGCTTGCAGATGGAGAAACAAAGCAGGACATGTGTATTCTACATTGTGGGGCACTTGTCATACTGTGATGCTGCTGACTCTAGTGTGTCTCTTCCCCAGAGTAAAGACTGACTAGAGACTGCCTCACTCCATACTCGACTGCACCACACTCCCTCCCCGGGATGCTCTGGGCATGGCTTCTGGAGCTCCACAGAACAGCCGCCGGATGGCCTGTGGCGCAGAAATCACAGGCTTCCTGGATGCATTCCTCCAAGACTTTACAGCCCCGCTGAGCCCAGAGAGCCCTTTGCCGTGGAAGGCCCCAGGGACAGTGCTGAGCCAAGAAGAGGTGGAGGGGGAGCTGGCTGAGCTGGCAATGACCTTCCTGGGCAGCAGGTAGGCTTGTGCCACACCAGAGGGGAGTGGCTGCACTGGGTGAGGAGCAAGGAGTGATATGTCTGCCATATGCTGACTTTGACACCATGTCAGCAGTATGTATGTGTTCCCCCTATCCACATTGCAAACCCCCAGTGAAGTCCTTGAAATCACGAGTGGTACCAAATCCTATCATTTAATGTCTTTCCCTCTTAGCTAAGCACTTACCACACATTGTAGCTCTAACTCTTGCAATTTGAAGTGCCCAAAAAAAAAAAAAAAAAAGTAGCACGGATTTCTCCTCTTTCATGATTACAGATTTTCTTCTTACAGTAAACCTTAGCAATTTTAGCACAGGGTTTTGTTTCTTTTTTCTTTTCCCTTATTAAGTTCAAAAGCATTTGCCTTCTCACTTCAAGTACATTATAGCTTCTCTTCAGCATATCTGAATTGTTGGTATCACTATTCATGGATTAAGGCCATTGCTAAGTAAAATCCAGTTTCTTTGAGTGCTAGGATATTAAGATGTTTCATCTAGTAACCAAGACAACTACTAAGTGACTAATGAGCAGGTAGCACAGACAGCACATGTACATTGGAAAAATGGATGATTTATACCCATGGTAGGATAGAACAGAATGATGTAAGTTTCTTTCCCACTACTCAGAACAACACACAAAAGCTGCAGATTGTAGCTAGGTACTGGTGGTTTACACCTGTGATCCTAGCTGCTCAGTAGGCTGAGATTGCAATTTGAAGCCAGCCCTGGCAGCAAAGTTGATAAGATTCTTAGTTAACCATCAAAAGGCTGAAAGTGGAGTTATGGCTCAAGTGGTAAGGTACTAGCTTTGAGAAGAAAAAAAAAAGCTCACTGACAGTGTCCATACCCTGAGTTAAAGCCCCAGAACTAGCACAGAAAAAAAAAAACAAAAAACACAGACTATTGTTGACTGCAAGTAATTGAAATGACACAGAGTAAAACTGTGATTTAGAAGGATTGCTTTATTGCCTTCCTATGGCTGCCATAACAAAGTAACACAAAACTTGATGGCTTTGTACAAAAGAAATTTGTCCTCCATTTCTAAGGGCCAGAAGTGCAGGATCAAGGTGTGTATGTAGAACCTAGTTCTCTCTGAAGAGCCATAGGGGTGAATCATTCCAGGTCTTTGTCTTAGCATCAAGTGGCAACTGGTTAGTGTTCCTTGGCTTATAGACTTAGCTCTCTCATCTCACCTTTGTTGTCACCTTTGTTCTCCTTGGCTGTGTGTCTGTAGCTTTGCTGCTTCTGAAGACACTAGTCATATGGGCTTTGAAGCCCCTTCTCTCCTCTCCTGCAATAGGACCAAATCTGCAAATCTATAAACTACATTTGCAAAGGCTATAATTCTAGATAAGGTCCCACTCTGAGCAACTGTAGACTAGGACTTTGACATATGGGGCAGGGGAAGGAAAGGGGCACAGTGGAATGCTTAATGCTAAGTCCTATTTCTGTCCATTCTGTAGGCAGAGGTAAGTGGGTGAAGAGACTGGATGGAGGCTTCATGGGCGGAGCTGGGCCACACAACCCTCTAACTACCACAAGCTGAGAAGTAGTTGGTGTTGTCCCCATTGGACCCGTGAGGAAGCCCAGGCATAGAGAAGTGACAGCCAGGTCCACAGTCTTCAAGGACAGCAGTGGGCCTGCAGCCTTTGAAGCATCTCCTAGGCTGACCTCAGGCCCCTGCCTCAGAAGAGCTGTGATCCCCTCCCCTTTCACTTACTCATTCATTCTGAAAGTATTTGTCCCATGAAAGACAGAAGGACAAGGTCTTTTTTTATCCTCTCCTTCAGTTCAGACAGCTGCAGATGTTTGGAATCAGGCTAATTTATAATATACAAGGGGTATTCCAGGGGCTGGGAAGTTGGCTCAGTGGTAGAGCGCTTGCCTTGCATGCCTGAGGCCCTGGGTTCGATTCCTCAGGACCACATAAGCAAAAAGAAAAAAACCGGAAGTAGTACTGTGGTTCAAGTGGTAGAGCACTAGCCTTGAGCTGAAGAGCTCAGGGACAGTGCCCAGGCCCAGAGTTCAGGCCCCACGACCAGACCCCCCAAAAAAAAACAAAAAAACAAGGGGTATTCCATGCATGTTACAGAAGAAGGCTATTGTATCCATGTGAACCTAGCTCCTCAAGAGGATGAGCCTAGTCTCTAGCCCCAGCATTATTCATGAGTCTTTTTTTTAAAGCTTACATTAGTTATTCAAAATACTAATCTTCTGAAAATCCCCTAAAGCCATCCTCTGCCCCTATGGCTTCCCCTAACAGCCTCTTGGCCTTGACTTGTCATCTTTGTATCCCCTGAGCCTGGTTTTTGCCCCCTCCTGCCCAGCAGAGTGGAAAACTCAAGCCTGCCTGCTACAACATGGAAGCCGGTCTTTGCTGAGCATGTGGGCAGGTCTGCTCCACAGCCATGTCTACACTGCAGTCCTGCACTTGCTCAGGTCAATAGACAGTGCTCTTCTTGGTGCTAATGGCTTGTGCTTATAATCCTAACTACTCAGGAGGCTGAGATCTGAGGATCACAGTTCAAAGCCAGCCTTAGCAGGAAAGTCTGTGAGAGTCTTATCTCCATCTACCAAAAAAGCTGGAAGCAGAGCTACAGCTCAAGTGGTAGAGTGTTCACTTAAAGAAAAACAAAATCTAGGGGGCTGGGAAGTTGGCTCAGTGGTAGAGTGCTTGTCTTGCATGCCTGAGGCCCTGGGTTCGATTCCTCAGCACCACATAAGCAAAAAGAAAAAAGCCTGAAGTGGCGCTGTGACTCAAGTGGTAGAGCACAAGCCTTGAGCTGAAAAGCTGAGGGATAGCACTCAGGCCCAGAGTTCAGGCCCCACGACTGGACCAAAAAAAAAAAAAAGGAAAGAAAAACAAAATAAAAAAAAAAAAAAATCCCTCAGGAACAGCACTCAGGCCCTGAGTTCAAGCTCAAAGACTGATACACAACAAAAGAGCAGTATAGCCAGGCGCTGCTGGCACACATCTGTAATCTTAGCTACTCAGGATAGCAGCTCAAATCCAGCCCAACCAGGAAAGTCCAAGAAACTTTTATCTCCAATTAACGCACCAGAAAACCAGAAGTAGCACTGTGGCTCAAGTGGTAGAGCACTTGCCTTGAGTTGAAGAGCTCAGGGACAGTACCCAGGCCCAGAGTTCAAGCCCCACAACTGACAACACACACACACACACACACACCACCAAAAAAATACTAGCTTCTGAGGACACTGAGATCTGAGAATTGCAGTTCAAAGCCAGCCTGAGCAAGAAAGTCTGTGAGACTCTTATCTCCAATTAACCACCAGAAAACTGGAAATAGCACTATGACTCACCTTGAACTGAAGAGCTCAGGGACAGTTCTCAGGCCAGAGTTCAAGCCCTCCGACTGACCAAAAAAAAAAAGGACAGTGTTCCATGACCATGTGCCCTGGGAGTGAAGCATATGCAAAAGGGTGTTGTTGACTTGTTTCAGGGAAGTATTTTAGAGACAGGTGGAATCAAGCAGACTGTTTCCTAGGGATGCACAGAACTGGCCTGTCAGGATTGGTGTCACTAGGCGCAGGTGGTAGGGGAAAGGCCCTTGAATAGTTCCTTCTCAAGGTGAGATAGCAGTAGTGCCTGGGAACAGATGAGCAGAGGCAGTTCTGGACAGACAGCAACCACCAGGCCTACCGTGGAATGATGACAAGGAGCAGCATTGTCTTGAGGGAGTCAGACTGGAAAGAAAGCGAGGCCCACAAGGACTGCAGAGAAGGAGGAAGAACAGATGGTATCTGCCTGCTGGGATAGCAAGGAAACATAGGCTGAGCAAAAAATCAGACTGGAACTAGGCACTGGTGGCCCACACCTGTAATCACAGTTAAAAGCCAGCCCAGGCAGGAAAAAGTCCATGAGACTCTTACTTCTAGTTAACCACCAAAAAGCCCAGAAGTTGAGCTGTAGCTTAAGCAGTAGAACCTCAATCTTGAGCATAAAAGCTAAGAGATAGCACCCAGGCCCTGTGTTCAAAGCTGGCACAAATAATAATAATTAATCAGGCTGGATCTCAGGGGAGTTCACAGGATATCTCAACCTGGGCACAAGTACAAGAAAGCTACTTTGGTAGGGCCTTGAAGGGGCTCTAGTGTGAGTCTTCACTTCCTAAGTCCCTGGGCATAGGGATTCAGAAAGACTTTTGAGGGTGCCTGAGGAGAAGGGGCTGGGGTTACTTTACAACAGTGACACGAGAAAAGGTTATATGAAGGCATCTGCAGTGGCTGACTGCAATAAGGAAGGGCTGAGCAGGGGATAGGGCTTAGGAACAGAGATGCAGTAGAGTTTAGATGGAATGAGGGAGGAGATGAATTTGTTTGAAAATATTAGTGGTTAGTGATGAGAGAGGAACCAAAGCCTCCTCAGTTCTGAAGTCCCACCCCCCACCCCCAGGACTGCTTAGTCTCTCCTATGTATCTATCTTAACAAACTTGAAATGTGTATTTAAAGTCTTTTTTTTTTTTTTTTTTTGTCAGTCATTGGGCTTGAATTCAGGGCCTGGGGCCTGTCTCTGAGCTGTTTTTGCTCAAGGCTAGCACTCAACCACTTCAAGCCACAAGCACCACTTCCAATTTTCTCCTGGTTAACTAGTTAACTGCTCAGACTGGTTTTGAACTGTGATTCTCAGATCTCAGCCTCCTGAGTGGCTAGGATTATAGTCATGAGCCACCAGCACACAGCTAAAGTCTAGTTTTATAATCCTAGTTCAAAGCCAACCCAGTCCTTTAGACTCCTATCTCTAATTAACCACCAGAAAACTGGAACTGGAGCTGTGGCTCAAAGTGTTAGAGCACTAGCCTTAAGCATAAACAGTTCCCAGGCTGAGTTCAAGCCCCAGAACTTAGGGGGAAAAAGCTTATTTTTAGTCATCATAATAGATTTAAGTTGTTGTCTCCCTTCATGCAGACATGGGTGTTCATTCATAAGTGCACTCACCACCTGGAGTGTGAACTTTATGTGCAGTCTGTACAGTGTGCCACTGGCCATGGGTTACCCACATGCATACATACCTCTGTTCATTGGTGCCTACCAACCCACTTTAGCCTCTTGGGATTGGTGTTCTAAGACCCTACAGAGGTTAAACCCTGAAAGCTCTGGTCTCTGCTGATTTGAGGTCCTGTCTCCCCTGTTATTGATGGCAGTTTCCTGGTCACATGTTTAGTTCCGTGCAGCAGCTACATGCCTTAACAGAGTGGTTATTCAGATGTAGTTTTTAGTTTTCATCTCTCCTGCTAAATTCCCCTACCCCAGGTAGCTGGTATTACTTGGGTACCTAGGCCATTCCCTAGAACTTTTCTGTCTGGCCTTCATGGTATAGTGACCTAGGACTCAGGGCCTCCACAGTGTAGCCATGGGGTGGGGCCTTGGATGTTGTGTCCAGGAAAAGGATGCTGGTGGCCCAAGGCCAAGCATTGTCTGGGTCCACATGGCCGGAAGCTGCCTCCCTGCCCCTACTAGCAACTGCGGCAGGGAGGGAGTGGGCAGGAAGCTGAAGCATGACCTCACAGGGCCAAGGAGAACAGAGCCCTTCTTACTGTGTGGAAAGGAAAACCCAGTGGTTGGCAGGAAATGTCAGAATGGAGGAACTCATTTCTCAAGTCTTGGCTTGTTTACCTACTTTTGGGGGGGAGGGGATGGAAGTTGGAGGAATCAAATCTATGGCCTTGTGCATGCTACGCAAGTGCTCTACAACTGAGCCACACCCTATCCAGGGTGGTTGTTTGTCAGAAGTTTCTACCTTAAATCACTCATTTAAAGTATTAGTTCATCCAGTAGATTCCAGACACCAACTGCAGAGCCTTCACACACCCAGCCCCCCTCCCTGCCACAGGACATGACCCGTCAGCCAGGCTACTATAAGGTTCTTGTTCTCTGGTTAAAGACAGAATATCATCCCTGCAGTGAATCACCTGGCTGTCCCCAGGCTTGTCCTTCACCCCCAGTAACAGGCAAAAGGCAGTAAGATCACATCACACAGCCTTTGAGCCCTCCACGCCACCCCCACCCCCTCACCCCCACCCAAAGGAGGCAGACGCAGGATTGTAAGGTCCCCTAGAGTCTAAAGGAGCTGAAAGAGGGCTGGTCCATTCTGCCCAGAAAAGCCAGAGAGGCCATCTATGCAAGTGGAGTTTGAGTGGAGCCCCAAGGGTGGGAGCAGAATGGACATGGAAAGTTGTACTTCTCACAGCCTCAGGCCATCCTCCCAGCTGCCCTCCTCCTTGGCCACAGCAGGCTTCTGTCTTCCCTCCATCTATCTCTCCCGCCTCTCTGGCCCAGTCTGCCAAAGGTGCCTGATAACAAGGTTGGCATTTCTTTCCCACCACTTGCCTTCAGGCTAGAGTGACTTTCCAGTCTATCCCACCTGCTTCTACTCAGTTCTTCAGCTCTGTTGACCTTCAAACCAGTCACCAAGTTTTCGTCAGAATTGCTCCCAGTGAAAGACAGTGATCCAACGATCCCATTGGATCAGTCTCCACTTCACCGGCTCCTCCCTGGATGGGCCAAATCCTTCATTCAATCATAGCTCCATCTCTTGCTAGATCATGTTCCTTTAGCTCCCTAGACCCCTTGAACTCAGCAGAACCTAAAAACCCATGGAAAGAACCCATTACCCTAACCCAGGCAGGTTAATTAATGGTGCTATCATTCCAGTTGCTCAGTGGAGAGACTTTGGCTCTGTCCCTGTTCTTTCCTCTGTTCAGCCCCTGAGCAGTTTCCCTAGATATTGCTCTTCTCTGCTCCCTCCATCCATTGCCTGGCCCTTACTCAGCTTATACCTTGACCTCCTTACTCTAGGCTCTGTACTAAAGTCAAACATGCCAGTGGCTCCCCATGGTCATAAGTCTGGCCTACCCTCTTACTCCTTCCTGCTGTTCCATTGGCCCATCTGCCCAGGGATCCTGTGCACCACTCAGTTACTATCTCCACTAGACTTGCATGGTTTATCTAAAAATATAGCACCTGAATCCCATGTCCTCAGATCTACTTTCTGGGGCATTATACCAAGTTACCACAGACTAATTAATTGAAAAACAGAAATCTATTGTCTCATATTTCTGGAGGCTAGATGTCTGAGATGAACATAATGGCAGGTCTGGTTCCTTGTTCCCTGATAATTCTTGGCATTCTTTAGTGTATAAATTAATCTGCTATATGGCTCATGTTCATGTGTGTCTGTGTCTCTGTGTCTCTATGTGTCTAAATTTTCCCTTAAAAAGGTATCAGTCATACTGACATAGGCCTATCCTACTCCAATATAACTTCATATTAGTTAATTATATCTGCATTGGCCATATTTCCAAGTGAGGTCCCATTCCATGTGTTAAAGAGTCTCAACATGTGAATTTGGAAGGGGTACAGTTCAGCTCATAATATGCCCTTATTCCTAAGTCTTCCAGCTGGCACTGTTGATCCTCTTCTCTCCTGTGACACATGGGCCAGGAACCATTTATCAGCTTGAAAATGAAGCAAATTTGCCCAACACCAAGGCTCACATGCCCCTGTGACACCTTCTAAGCGGGTTCCTTTGGGTGATGTGTGTCTGCCTCTGGATGTTTTGTGAACATCCATCCCAGCTCCCTGAGGACAGCTGTTATACTGCTCATTATGACCCAGAGCAGGATATGAGCCACCAGCACCACCTCCGGAGGGTCCTCTGGGTGGGAGGGTGCCAGGCATGGGCTTCCGCTGTGAGTCGCCCCAACCCCACTTCTCATTTCTTGTCCCTAGGAATGCTCCACCATCAGTTGCTGAAGCTCTGACCCATGAAGCCATTTCCCAGCTGCTACACACAGACCTTTCTGAATTTAGGAAGTTGCCCAGGCAAGAGGAGGAGGAAGAAGAGGAAGAAGAGAAGCCTCCTGTGACCTGTGAGTTGCTTTCTTCTCGGGTGGTGCTGGGCTGCATAGCACATCACTAGGGTAACGTTATGAGCAGTATGTTGCGCAAAGCCAGTCAGAGGGGCAGAATCAAGAGGCAGAAAAAAGGCACCTGGCTTTCCATGCCAGTCACCCAACAAGACAGGGCCTCCATGCGTGCCATATTCCCTTTTAGGTCCTATTTCACATATACCTTGGGACTGGTCTGAATCGAGCCTGTCCTCTTTTACATGTGAGGAATCCAAGGTGATAATTCTCAGTCAGGTGGCCAGATTAAGTGCACTCACTGTTTTCCCTCAGTTAACTGGAGGTCAGTCAGCAGAGTGATGTGTGAGCCATCCACAGGGGCAGCATCATGGTCCAGGTGATAGAAAATGCCACAGAGGGGACACCTTGGTCTCAGCTCACTTTTTTGGAGGCAAGATAATTAGATGGAGACCTTCAATGGTATCTGTGACCCTCATGCTGAGGTGGTGATAGAGGCTCACCTGTCACCTGTCTGCCATCAGTGGGGCCTGGCCCTGGCACCAGAAACACCACAGAACAACCAGAAGCCTGCAAAGCCATTTGACAGATAATCTGCTTGTTAAAATGCAAGGCTCTTGTACTGCATGACTTTTTTATTTCCTAGTAATTGCTTTTTATTGCATTTGACCAAGGCGTTAGTTCATGTTGGACCAAAGCTACAGGAAGAGAAAGTGACAGGCTGCAGGGCAGATCCAGAAGGAATGTGTGTGGCTTTTTTTCCAGCTGGAAATTCACCTCTGCAACAGTCATCCAGGCAGTAGGAAGCACATCTTCCCTTTCTTTCCATTTCCTGTCTGTGTTCCTTTAAACTCGGCATTATCCCATGCATAAAGGGAAAAGCAAAAGACAAAGTGGAGGAAAAGAGAAAAGAAAAAACACTCAAGGCATTTAGCATCCTGTGTGCCAGGCCACTTCCCTCCTCCTCCTGGTCCCTTTTTCCTTGGCTCCCATCCCACCTTCCATCTGAGCACAGCCTTGTCTCCCTGCCTGGGAGACAGCTGTCCTCAATGACAGGCAGCCATTGTTCTTCACAAAGCGGACAGATTTCTGGCAGTGGCAGCTGCCACCAAGTGGACCCACAAAGGGAACTCTCCCACCCCAGCCAACCCTGGCTAGTTCCTTTGTCTCTCCAGGCAGGAAACAGCATCACCTGCTGGTGGGAAAGAGAACTGCCCTGACTTGCACAGCCAAGCCCTACACCTGGGACCTGTAAGAAGGGAAGACCTAGGAAATCACAGCTTGCTCTGCCCTGCCCTCCCTGTTGGCCCCACAGCAGTATCATGCAGGCCTGGGCTAGTGGCCTTGATTACTCACAGAACCTAGCACAATATGTTATCTCCAAGCCATTCTTGCACAAACTGTATCAGGGCAGGCATCGTGAGATTTAGCACCCAAAGTGCAGATACACTTGAAGCCTCTGTGCCTACCACTTCTCCCTGGTCATAGATTTTTGTTATTGTTTTTTGTTGTTAGTTTGGTTTTGTTGTTGTTGTTGTTGTTTTGTGCCAGTACAAGGGCTTGAGCTCAGGACCAGAGCAGTCTTTTTCTTTTTCATTCAAGGCTAGCACTCTACCACTTGAGCTACAGCTCCGATTCCAGCTTTTTGTTTTGAATTGTTATTGTTATTAGAAATGTGATATTCAGAGGGGTTACAGTTACGTAAGTCAGGTAAGAAATACAGTTCTTGCCAGGCGCTGGTGGCTCACGCCTGTCATCCTAGCCACTCAGGAGGCTGAGATCAGAGAGTCACAGTTCAAAGCCAGCCTGGGCAGGAAAGTCTGTGAGACTCTTTTCTCCACTTAACCATCAGAAAACTGGAAGTGGTGCTGTGGCTCAAAGTGGTAGAGAACTAGCCTTAAGTAAGAGTTTAGGATCAGTGCCCAGGCCCTGAGTTCAAGCCCCTTGACACCACTACCACCACCACAACAACAGAAGAGTACCTTTCTTTTTGGACAACATTGTATCTTCCCTCCACTGCCAGTTTTTTTGGTGATCAGTTGGAGATTACCCAGGCTGGCTTTGAACTGGGATCCTTAGCTCTCAGCCTCTCTAGTAGCTGGGATTTCAAGCTTGAGCAAACAGGCCTCCTAATAAGGAAGTTATAAAGCTCCAGGTCCATAGCTCTTGGCCAGAGGAGCAGGTCAAGGATCCAGTAACCTGAGGACCAGGAATCACCTGAGGACCAAGAATCACTGTTCAAGCTTATCATCCTTGTTTGTAACTGCTCTTTGCTTGGGCAAGATTCAAGTTCAAGCTGGGTGCCCAGTGGCTCATACCTATAATCCTAGCTACTCAGGAGGCTGAGAGCTAAGGATTGCAGTTCAAAGCCAACCTGGACAGGAAAGTCTGTGAGACTTTTATTTTTCTGTTAATGCGTTTTTATTTTCTTTTTTAATATATTTTTTATTGTAAAGATACTATACAGAGGGGCTGGGAAAGTGGCTCAGTGGTAGAGCGCTTGCCTTGCATGCATGAGGCCCTGGGTTTGATTCCTCAGCACCACATAAGCAGAAAAAAAAAGCCGGAAGTGGTGCTGTGGCTCAAGTGGTAGAGTGCTAGCCTTGAGCTGAAGAGTTGAGGGACAACACCCAGGCCCAGAGTTCAGGCCCCATGACTGGACCCAAAAAAAAAAAGAAAGAAAAGAAAAAAGATACTGTACAGAGGAGTTACAGTTATATGATCTCCAATTAACCACCAGAAAACCACACGTGGCACTGTGGCTCAAGTAAGTGGTAGAATACTCGCCTTGAGCTGAAGAGCTCAGGCCCAGAATTCAAGCCACATGACTGACAAAAAAAAAGTCCAAACCCATAAGTGGAAGTAGTAATGGAAAGGAAAGAGGCAGCTCAGGGCTATGTGCTCCCTGTGTACTTTGAGCCTGATAAGCACCAGCAATTTTCAGCAAGAGTGAGAAGGAGCCCACAGCAGTTTTCCAGGTGGTTTTCTGAACAGAGGAGAGGGAGAGGAGGGCCTGGGAGTCAGCACCATGAGGACCGGCTGTATGATGGAGTCTCTGATGCCAGCAGGGGATCTGTTAGGCCAAAGATCTATGTAGCCGCTGGCTCTAAGCTAGGCCCACCAAGTTGGTCCTTTATCCTCTTTTGCACCCATACTCTCAGTCTGGCCCTGCCAGTCCCACAGTTCTTGTCAGTGCTTAAAACAAGGCCCTATCCTGGATATGGGATAGTAGTCAGTACTAGACCTTACCCCAAACTTAATGCAGCATTCCCCTCAAATTCATCCTTCTGTGGCCTCCTGTGTTCCAAGATCCCAGCTCATAGGCTCTTCTGTGACTTTCTCTAGCCTCAGAGCTCTTTTTTATTCCACAGCCACAACCCTGTCTGAGAACACTTACTCTCCCAGTTCCTCATGTCCTATGGCTATGGTCTGCCGTACTCAGGCTCTGCCCTTTTTCCTCTGACTTGACCTTGAATTCCATTCTTAAGTGACTGGTTCTGACTCACTTGTACCTGCCATGTATACCTGGACTGGCCAGAACTGGAGTCCCATGAGAGATTTGTTCATTGAAATGAAGTGAATCCCTGAAGGCAGAGCCCTGGGCATTTCCTTTGGACCTGGTCCAAAGATCAAGAAGATCTTTTTGTGTGTGTGCCTGTACTGTGGCCTGAACTCTAGGCCTGGGCACTGTTCCTTAGCCTTTAAGGCTCAAGGATAGTACTCTACCACAAACCATAGTTCCAATTCCAGCTTTTTGGTGGTTAATTGGAGATAAGAGTCTCACTTTCCTGCCTAGGCTGGCTTTGAACAGAGATCCTCAGATTTTAGCCACCTGAGTAGCTAAGATTACAGGCATGAGCCACTGGTGCCTGGCTACATGTTTTGTAGGGTACTGAGATTTTGTAGGGTATAGCATTTGTTGTCACATTATCAACTATCCCCAAAATTACAAGCTTAAAGTGACAGTTTTTCCCTTCTGTGGTCCATATGTCTGCAATTTGGGAGCAGCTTAGGTAGGTGATTTTGTCCAGGTACTCATGAAGTTGTGGTCAGATGGTTGGCACTGCCTGGGGGATCTGCTCCTAAGACAGTTCAATCACAGAGCAGAGAGCATGAGTGCAAGTAGTCCCCCCAACCACACATGGTCACTTCCATTTTATTGCATTTGGTAGAAGCAAAGTTCACAAAGTCATGCATTCAGGGGGAAGGACCTAAGCTGTGCCTAAGGAAAGGAAAAAGGCAAAGCATTCACAGACTTACTTTAAAGCCATGATGTGATGAAAAATTAAGAACGTATTTTAAAAACACACATAAGAGCCAGGTGCCAGTGGCTCACACCTGTCATCATAGCTAATCAGGAGGCTGAGATCTGAGGATTGCAGTTTGAAGCCAGCCCAGGCAAGAAAGTCCATGAGACTCATCTCCAGTTAACCACAAAATAGCCAGAAGTAGAGGTGTGGCTCAAATGAGTACTAGCTCTGAACAAAAGAAGCTAGTGCCCAGGCCCTGAGTTCAAGCCCTAGAAGTGACACACAAAAAGGAAAGAAAAGACAAGACACATAAAGGGAATACTCACCCATAGAACCAGCCCCTGTAGGTACTCACTACTGACCATCTTAGTTGTGTGTGGTTTCTGCTTTTTTTTTTTTTTTCTGTCCTGGGTTTAAGTGGTTTTTCACATACTTGTAATAGAAGTATACATGTCATATTTTCTTTTTCTCAGTCAAAAATCATGGCATAAAAGTTTTACATGCTTGTAAACTATGTAAGAGTCCATTTTTTACCCTTGTTTTGAAATATCATAGTGGCACATTCATTTGAAAAACTAATTCAGAATCCATGAACATATTATCCCGTTTCCTCAAGGATAACCTCTTTAAGGTCAGTACTGGGATTTTGAACTCAAGGTTTTACACTTAGTAAGCAAAAAGCACCACTTGAGCCATAACTCTAGCCATATTTTTTCCTTTTGTTATTTTTCCAATAAGGCCTATTGGTTTTTGCTCAGACCTGCTTCTGAGTGAGATCTCTCTCTCTTCCTATCTCTACATCCTCCATAGCTGGGGTTACAAACACACACACTATGCCCCCCACTTTTTTTTCCTTTTCTTTCCTTTTTTTTTTTTTTTTTTTGTGGGTCATGAGGCTTGAACTCAGTCCCTGAGCTTTTCTGCTCAAGTCTAACATTCTACCACTGTGAGCCACAGTGCCACTTCCAGTTTTCTGGAAGTAAACTGAAGATTGGAGTCTCACAGACTTTCCTGCTTGGCTGGCTTTGAACCGCAATCCTCAGATCTTAGCCCCCTGAGAAGCTAGGATTACAGGCCATCAGCCACCAGCACCTAGCTTCCTTTTCTTTTTTAATTCCAATACCAGAACTTGACCTCAGAGTCTCACATTTTGCTTAGCTTTTTCACTTAAGACTAGAGCTCTACCACTTGAGCCACAACTCTAGTCTATTTTTTTTGTTGGCTACTTAGAGGTAGAGAGTCTTCTGGACTCTTCTACCCAGGCAGACTTCAAACCTCGTTCCTCAGATCTCAGCCTTCTGAGTAGTTAGGATTACAGGTGTCAGCTGCCACTACTACCTAGCTGAAATAAGAGTCTTGCTCTAGCTAGCCTTGACCCGCCTATCTCCACCTCCCAACTAGCTAGGATTATAGATATGAATCACAGTGCCCAGCAGAGGTAACATCCAGCAAAATTATAATAAAACACCACAAATGGGATCATAACATAAACACAAAGATACCTTTATTATCCACTAATAGCCAATCAGATGCTATCTCTACCTACATACCCAGTTCTCTAAGCATTGGCAATTGCTACTCTTCATTTCTGTCAGTTTGTCATTTCAAGATGTGTCAATACCAGCTCACCATTAGTCCTAGCCACATGGAAGGCTGGAATAGGAAAGATCATAGCTTAAGGCCCACTCAGGCTGAAAAGTTCACAAGACCCCTTATAAACCAATAGCTGGGTGTGGGGCACACACCTGTCATCCTAGCCATATGAGGAGCTGTGATCTGGAGGATTGCATTTCCAAGCTAGCCTGTACAAAAAAGTTTCCAAGACTCCCATCTCTAAAGAAGAGGGGTGGGCTGGGAAGGTGGCTCAGTGGTAGAGTGCTTGCCTTGCATGCTTGAGGCCCTGGGTTCAATTCCTCAGCACCACATAAGCAAAAAGGAAAAAGCCGGAAGTGGTGCTGTGGCTCAAGTGGTAGAGCGCTAGCCTTGAGCTGAAGAGCTGAGGGACAGCGCCCAGGCCCAGAGTTCAGGCCCACAACTGGACCCAAAAAAAAAAAAAAGAAGAAGAAGAAGGGTGTGATATTATGTGCCTGTCATCCCAGCTACAGCGGGAAGCAAAAAGTAAGAGGGTTAAGGTCCAATAAAGCAAGATCTTATGTCAGCAATAACAAATACAGAAAAGAGCTAGAGGCATGACTTGATGGTAGAGTACCAACCTACTCAACACAAGGTCCTGAGTTTAAACCCCAGTATTGCCAAAAGAAAAAAAAATGCTTATAATGGAATCATATAATATGCAACTTTTGAGGCTTGCCTTTAACAGTCAGCAGAATTCTATGCAGATGAACCCCATTTTTCCATGTCAATGCTTCACTCTGTTCTGTTGCCATCTCCCAGGAGATGGGAGGACCACTGGTTTTTGTTTAACACTTACAGAAGGACATAAGGGCAGATTCCAGATTTTGGCTGTTACTAATAACACCACTGTGAACATTCACATTCAGGTTTTTGTGAAGTCTTTATTTCTCTGGAACTAGTGCCTAGCATTGCAATTACTGGGTCAAATTGCAGTTAGATGTACTGTTCTGAATTTTGGTAGTTTTGGTGTTTGGGGAAGGAAGGAGTGTGCGCACGAACGCGCGTGCTTCCATGCTACTAAGGTTTAAACTCAGGACTTAGGGGGCTGGGAAGGTGGCTCAGTGGTAGAGCGCTTGCCTTGCATGCCTGAGGCCCTGGGTTCGATTCCTCAGCACCACATAAGCAAAAAGAAAAAAGCCAGAAGTGGCACTGTGGCTCAAGTGGTAGAGCGCTAGCCTTGAGCTGAAGAGCTGAGGGACAGTGCCCAAGCCCAGAGTTCAGGCCCCACGACTGGACCCAAAAAAAGAAAAAAACTCAGGACTTAGTACTTGCTAGGCAGGTATTCTACCACTGAGTCATGCCTTTAGCCCTTGCAAAAATCTTTTTAATAATAACTTAATTCGTCATCAAGAGAATAGACCAGAGTTTAATTATTCTTCTGTCATTAAATATATAGCATTTTTTGTTAATGGGCAATTTTAAATGGGTCTGTATTTTATCCTTAATTTTATTTTTGCAAACCATGTGGCAAACCATGATGGAACTACTCCATTGTGGGCCAGGAGACTTCTGAGTACATATTGTCAAAACCAGCAACATCTATCTAGCTGACAACATGTTGTGGTGCGTAGTGTAGTATGTTGGCACACTCAGAAGGTCCTGGAAGATGATTGATTGGTAGGATCCATCTGGAAAACTGGAGAAGGCAGTAAAAGAGTTTGTTCAAGGGGTCCATAAAGCTTCAGTTGGCCTGGTCTGTACATCTCTAACCATTCTTCTCTCCTGCCCATCAGTACTAGATGCCAAAGGCCTGGCACGGAGTTTCTTTAACCAGCTCTGGGAAGTATGTGGCCAGTGGCAGAAGCAGTTGCCATTGACTGCCCAGACCCCACCACGGCAGTGGCTGGTCTCTATCCATGCCATCCGGAACACTCGCCGCAAGATGGAGGATCGGCATGTGTCCCTTCCTTTCTTCAATCATCTCTTCGGCTTCTCAGTGAGTTTTCTGCCTGCATAGCCCAGTATCCAGCACCAGGATAGCACAGAGGGAGCCTAAGCAGGAGGTTGGAACCCTGGGTGCCGAGAAATGCGGCCAGCTAAAGCTGAGCCAGAAGAACTGCTTCTCAGTTGCTGTTTCAAGGCCAAAGTATTTGGTGGCTGGCTCCTTGAGAAACCTGGGGGGGGGGGGGGGGGGTGTTAATTCACAGCACTAGCACCTTTGAGCCAGGCTACCAGTCACCTTGAATCCAAAGCAAAGTTTGAAAATTAAAGCAAGAGTTGAGCCTGGCACCAATGGCTCACGCCTAGCTACTTAGGATGCTGAGATCTGAGGATCAGGTTTCAAAGCCAACCTTGGCAAGAAAGTCCATGTGACTCTTTTTTTTTTCTTTTTTGGTCAGTCATGGTGCTGGAACTCAGGGCCTGGGCACTGCCCCTGAGTTCATTTTGCTCAAGGCTAGTACTCTACCACTTTGAGCCACAGTGCCACTACTGGTCATTGAGTGGTTAACTGGAGATTAGAGTCTCACATACATTCCTGCCCAGGCTGACTTTGAACCACGATTCTTAGATCTCAGCCTCCTGAGTAGCTAGGATGAGCCACCAGCACTGGACTTTCCATGAGACTCTTATCTCCAATAAATTACCAAAATAGCTAGATGTGTGGCTATGGCTCAAGTGCTAGAACACTAACTAGCCCTGAGCAAAAGCTCAGGGATAGAGCCCAGGTCCTGAGTTCAAGCCCAGGACAAGAAAGGAAGGAAGGAAGGAAAAAAGGAAGGAGGGAGGGAGGAAGGAAGGAAGAAAGCAAGGAAGGCAGGAAGGGAAGAAGGAAGGCAGGCAGGCAGGCAACAGTTGCCCCATATCTGATAGAAGACAAGGCTTAGTACCAAGTTCAGACTTGTATTGCTGAGCCTTGCTCAGCCTCTAGCACCAGAAGCCATCTGCAGCATCTCAGCTCATTTTATGTTTGCAGCCACCTTATATAGCTGGCAGGGCCCAGAACCTCTGAGACCTAACAGGCATACTTAGCCAAGTTGACTGGTGTAACGGTGAAGGCCATGTTGATTCTTTCAGACTTAACCTGTCTCTGCTTGTTTTCTGTTGCCTATACCAGAAAACCTGAGACTGGGTAATTTGTAAAGGGAAAACAATGATGTGTTCTTACAATTCTAGATACTGGGAGGGCTAAGGTCAAGGGGCTCCCATCTGTTGAAGGGATTTTTATTGGTGGGGACTCTGTGCAGAGTCCTAAAGCAATGCTTTGTATCACACTCTTGAAACAGAACAAGTTGCCAAAGAGAGCTCTCTCTTTTCTAACAAAACCACTCTCTTGATAATGCATTCATCCATAAGTAGATCACATGATTTTAGTTGGTGCCAAGGCTGTGTTCCCCTCCTCTCCCCTCCCCCTCCCCACCAGGTGAGTGCAACTGGCTAGGGTCCCCGCCTCACCAGGTACAAGGCCAGAGATATGTGACTCCCACCGCCTTCCCATCAGGACCCTGTGGATCGTGCCTACTTTGCTGTGTTTGATGGTCATGGAGGCGTGGATGCTGCAAGGTATGCCGCTGTTCATGTGCACGTCAATGCTGCCCACCGGCCACAGCTGCCCACAGACCCTGCTGGAGCCCTCAAGGAAGCTTTCCAGCTCACTGATGACATGTTTCTCTGGAAAGCCAAGAGAGAGGTAAGAACTAGCAACCAGATCTCAAGTGCATTGAGGGACTAATAGCCATTAAATGCATCAGAGAGTCATGGCTTCTCCAGAGGGAAAAAAAGTGAAGTGGTTGGTGACCTGGGGTGGTCCTTACGGAATACTGTTGGGGCCATGTCATTTCATTCTTACTAGAGGGAGGGACTCATTTTTTTTTACTTAGAATGGAAACAGCACAAAGATTTCCCCTTTATTACTGTGGGAACTTTTTTGTGTGGTGGTGGTGGTGGTTCTTACTATAATAAAATATCTGAGGCTGGGAAATGTTGAATAGAAGAAGATTGTTTTAGCTCATGGTTCTGGAGGTGTCGAGGTCAAAGAGCTCACCAGGTAATGTCTTGCTGGCAGAATCCCCAAGTGGCTCAGAGCATCACATGACAAGAGACAGAGAGTACATGTTTGTGTGTTGTGGTATAGGTGGTGGTGGTTGTAGTGGTAGAAGTGGTGTGGGTGTTAGTGTCTGCCTGTCTTTCTTTTTACCTCCTTCCCTCTCCTTATAAAGCACCAGGATTCCACCCTAATGACCTTATCCAACCCCAGTCCCCTCCCAAAGACATTCCCTCTAAATTTCATACTTGGATTGAGTTTTCACCCTCACGATATCTTACCATGGGAATTAAATTTCAACACACAAAGCCTATCTCTAGACTATCTCTAGACTATCTCAAAGACTATCTCTAGACCTTAGCACCCCTGAAACAGCATGCCAGGCCCCCAGCAATATAGACTTGAAGATGGTCTGTAGGCCACAGAAGGAAGGAGCACCTGCTTTATACATGGCTCATGCTTACAATCCTAGCTACTCAGGAGGCTGAGATCTGAGGATCCTGGTTCAAAGCCAGTCCAGGCAGGAAAGTCCTTGAGACTCTTATCTTCAATTTAACCACTCAAAAGCCAGAAGTGGAGCTGTGGTTCAAGTGATAGAGCGCTAGCCTTTTGCAAAAAAAGGCCAAGGACAGCACCTAGGCCCTGAGTTCAAACCCTAGGATCAGCACCAAAATAAACAAATATATATATATGGAAAGGTGACAGACAAGTCAGACAAATGCTTAGAAAGATTTTATTGCCACACAGGACCACCCAGGGAAGTACCACAGTTGGTTAGGAGGCGAGGGAGACAGGCAAGCATAGCCCACTAAATAGGCCTAGTTAAGCCTCAGCAAGATCAGATTTGGGGAGTTTGAATAACTTCAGTTGATTTTGAACTACCAGAATGACTCCTAGCCTGCTCTCACTACCTGAAGCCACCAGAGCAGGGGACACTTTGCCTACTATATAAAGTGAGGACATGTTTGGGGCATGAGCTCCAAACCAGCTAGCTTACCTATGAAAGGTGCACTCACAGCAGACATGCTGACTCTAGGACTTAGCTAGCCATGGGGCAGTCTCCAGGATCATCAATGCTCCAGATATCAGCATATCATAAAATACACAAAAATGCAAACTATAGTCAGGTGCTGGTGACTCACATTTGTAATCCTAGGTACTCAGGAGGCTGAGGTCTGGGGATCATAATTTCAGGCCAGCACAGGCAGGAAAGTTCATGAGACTCTCCTCTCCAATAAACTACTCAGAAAAAGTCAGAAATGGTACTGTGGTTTAAGGCTAGAATATTAGCCTTAAGCAAAAAGATGCTCAGGGACAGAGCTCAAGGTACTGTGGTTTAAGTGCTAGAACATTAGCCTTAAGCAAAAAGATGCTCAGGGACAGAGCTCAAGCCCTGAGTTCAAGCCCCAGGGCTGGCACAAAAAAAAAAAAAGCCAACTATGGTCATATAGCAGCTCACATGGATCATGTATAGTGGAATCAACAAACAAGCTTGGCATGGCTCTACCTTCCTGTAATCTCAGTTACTCAGGAGGTATAGGTCAGAGGAACATAATCTAAGGCCATCTCCAGGCAAAAACACCAAGTCTTCCCCCCTCCCCGCCAAAAATATAGAATCATAAAAGCAAAAATGTCTAGTGGCATCACTGTAGTGATAGATCATCTACCTAGCAAATATGAGACTGAGCTCAGACTCCAGTACCACCAAAAATTTTAAATATGCAGATTGTGATCAACACATAGTTCCACTGCTCTAGCTCAGCCCGGTCTCCCTAAGTTGCTAGTGTTCCTCAGGAACATTCTGGAGTCATTTGTAGAAATGAGTCACTAGGTTAAGAAAGAAGAACTCAGAACTGAAGGAGTGCCTTGCTAGGAAGGCATAAGGAACCGAGTTCAAACTCCAGTGCTGTTAAATAGGAAGCTATAGTTCTAATCCTAGTCAGGAGTCTGAAATCTGAGAATCATGATTCAGAACCAGCCCAGGCACATAAGTCCTCCACATTCCTATCTCCAGCTTACCAGCAAAAAGCCAAAAGTGGAAGCTTGGCTCAAATGTAAGAGCACCAGTCGTGCTACATCTCATCCCATCTGGGCTCTCCTTGCAGCGGCTGCAGAGTGGCACCACAGGAGTATGTGCTCTCATTGCCGGAAAGAGCCTGCACATCGCCTGGCTCGGGGACTCCCAGGTTATCCTGGTGCAGCAGGGACAGGTGGTAAAGCTGATGGAGCCACACAAACCTGAGCGACAGGTAAAGAATTCCCTCTGCTCAAGCCCAGGATGTGCTGTATTGGGAACCTAAGTCTGGGGACCTCATCGAGAAAACAGAATGTCAAGGAACCCCAACTGGGTATTGTCAGGGAAAGTTAGGCAGCACAAAGGGCCTTGGAAACTTTCTTGCGTGACCAAATAGACAGAGTTTTGCAAATGAGCCCTTCCTGATAGTCCTTTGGGTCACAGTGATATGGAGCCCAGGGTTCCAGATGAGAATTGGGCCTTCTGACCCAACAGATGGCCCAGGCAGTGGGGCCAGCTCAGCCTAACACATAGGCCTATAATGTGTGCCAGCATGGAATGGCCAACCACAGAGCAAGAACAAGGAGGTGACCTTGCACTGGGGCAGAAGGGCACAAGTCTTGGAACTTCAGTAGACAGACACTACTCTGGGATCCTGGGTTCCTGGTGTCTCACTTGTTTGGGCCTCGGATCCTTACCTGGATGTGAGAGTGACATTGCTGCTTGGACCATGTCTCACAAATGGGATCAGATAGAGAAGCCATGGGCTGGTAGCTCATGCTTGAAATCCTAGCTACTTCAAAAGTCAGTCAGGATAAGAAAGTCCCTGAGACTCTTATCTCCAATTAAACTACTAGAAAACTGGAAGTAGAGCTGTGGCTCAAAAGTGTTGGAGCACTAATCTTGAGTGAAAAAGCTCAGAGACAGAGCTGAAGCCCTTAGTTCAAACCCCACAACCAACAACAACAACAAAAAAAAAATATTAATTTCTCCACAAGCTGAGACAAGGGATCAATTCTAGTGGGAAGGATGTCCAACCTGCCAGAGGGGAGCTTGTCATTCCTACCATGATGTGGGAACCCCACAAGGATGCCCAGTCCTTAGTGCCAGAATCTGGAGAGAGGCTTTGGTTCCCCACAGCCTCTAGTTATTCTGCTCCCGCGTAGGGATGGAAAGGAAGAAGGAGGACTAATGTCTCTGTGTTTCTGGCCAACACTGTCTCCTAGCGTACCAATGTTCTCATAAGCAACTAGTATGGTGCCCCAAGCCCACTCTGAGCATGCAGTGAGTCAGGAAGTTAACTTAAAAAATAGACATGCATGAGCCTCACTCCCATGCCATGTGGGGTACACTCAACTACTGTCACCAGCCTTCAGCTGACAGGTTCCTGTGTGCAAAGCCTTCTTCCATGAGAGAACTCGTAGGACCAATGAGGTTTTCCACAAGATTTTTGTGGCTAGACTGAGACTCTATTGTTGTCTTCTGAGAAGCAGTTAAGGCTGGAGCACTGTGGTCCTCTGGCAAGCAAAGACAGTGCCTGGGGCGAAGCTTGGGAGAAGGAAGAAAGGAATAGGCAGAGGTTTGCCCCTTAGGGCTAGCTAAGGCTTTGTGAGACCTGTGTCATGTGCCATACTTAATTGCCACATGAGCCAGGCACCATTGGTCCATGCCTGTAATCCTAGCTACTCAGAAAGCTAAGTTTGAGGATCAAAGTTTGAAGCTAGCTTGGGCAGGAAAGTCTGTGAGACTCATGTCCATTTAACCACCCCCCCCAAAAAAAAAAAAAAATGGAAGTGGAGGGGCTAGGAAGGTGGCTTAGTGGTAGAATGCTTGCCTTGCATGCATGAGGTCCTGAGTTTGATTCCTCAGCACCATATAAGCAGAAAAAGCCAGAAGTGGCGCTGTGGCTCAAATTGTAGAGCACTAGCCTTGAGCTGAAGAGCTGAGGGACAGCGCCGAGGCCCAGAGTTCAGGCCCCACAGCCAACAGAAAAAAAAAAAAGGAAGTGAAGCTGTGACTCAAGTGGTAGAAAATGAACCTTGAACAAAAAAGGTAGAGACTAGGCCCTGAAGGTTCTGAGTTCAAGCCCCAGTATAGGCACACATTAGAAGGAGAGAGAGGGAAAGGGAGGGAGGGAGGAAAGGAAAAGAAGCTAGCTCAATGTCTTGGTTTATGCAGAGGTATTGGGGCCCCCATCCCATGAAGTCACCCAGGGCCCCTTCACTTATCACTGTCTCCCCACAGGATGAAAAGGCACGAATTGAAGCACTGGGTGGCTTCGTGTCCTTCATGGACTGCTGGAGAGTCAACAGGACCCTGGCTGTGTCTAGAGCTATTGGTAAGGCGGTTACAGACCCTAACCCAGATGCAACCACAGACGCATCCTGTAGTTTAGGAAAGTGTAATGTGCCAAAAAGAATTTGTAGTTTAAGCTGGTCACTGGTAGCTCATGTCTGTAATCCTAGCCATTTTGGAGGCTGTGATCTGAGGATCTCAGTTTGAGATCTCTGAGGATCTCAGCCCAGGCAAAAAAAAAAAAAAATCTGTAAGACTCTTAGCTAAAAAAATGCTGGAAGTGGAGCTGTGGCTCAAGTGGTAGAGCTCTAGCCTTGCATGCAAAGGCTCAGGGACAGTGCCCAAGTCTTGAGTTCAAGCCCCAGGACTGGGACCAAAAAGATAAATAAAAAGAATGTGCAATTGATAGCTGCTCCTGGACTCAATAAAGGTGTGGCCTCCCAATAAACCTCTGATAAATTGAAAATATTGTAAGTACAAAAAGTGTTTAGACCACCTAACCAAGCAAGCGTCAGTCTACAATAGAGTCTTAGAGCCCCTTTCTCTCAAGAGCGTGGGCTGGTGGGAGCTGCATTTTGCAGTCACTTCCCAGGACAGTGACAGAGTTTGTGTCTGTAGCTCAAGAAAGGATCAAAAAGGTTCACCTGCACCAGTGTCCCCCCCATCCTGCTGAGTGTCCAGTCCTCGGCTCCCTCCTCACAGCCTCCCCCAGCCCCCACCCCCAAGCAGGGGAGGACATGGAGAGCTGGAGTGAGAGGCCTCCTCCATGTAGAGACCAGGGGCTGGGCTCACAGCCGTCGTGCTCTACTCTGAGGGAGGTGGGAAGCAGTAAGCAGGGTTGAATAGGAGGATGGTAGATAGCAGATTGGGCTGCATGCCTGCTGTGGTGACAGACATTGAGGTTGGGACCTGGGTGGATGGGAAGAAGCATCTGACACAAGCTCTTCCATCTCCTGCCCAGGGGACGCCTTCCAGAAGCCATATGTGTCTGGGGAGGCAGACGCAGCCTCCCGGGAGTTGACGGGCTCTGAGGACTACCTGCTGCTTGCCTGTGATGGCTTCTTTGATGTGGTCCCCCACCAGGAAGTCGCTGGTCTTGTCCACAGTCACCTGATCAAGCAGAAGGGCAACGGGCTCCATGTTGCTGAGGAGCTGGTAGCTGAGGCCCGAGAGCGGGGCTCCCATGACAACATCACAGTCATGGTGGTCTTTCTCAGGGACCCTCAAGAGCTGCTGGAAAACAGGATCCAGGAGGCAGGGGACTCCCAGGCAGACAGGAGAAGCCAAGACTCGCCCTTTGGCCTCTCAGAACTTGAGATCGACACTACACAGTGAAACTAGATGGTCTAGACCCCCCCCCCCCAGCTCCCCAAACCACCCCTTTTCACCCTTGTGACTCTCCCCTTCAGAGGCCTTAGGACCTGACAGGTAGTTGTGGGCAGGGAGTGCTCACTACACAGCACTTCCCCAGCACCCAAGTTACTCAGGGTGCTTGCTACAGCCTGTCCTAATGACCTCAGAACCACATCATTCAGCAGGTGGATCTCAGTAGAAAGCATAGGAAAACAAAATAAGAAAGACCTCACCAAAGAGCACAGTGGCCTGGGAAGTGGACCAGCTCTTGCCCACAACCTTCCATCAAGGTATAGGTGGGACTAGAGACCATAAGCATCTGGTAGAAACCTGACCAAAGACACAGGGGTGTACATGGATCACTCAGGTGCATCCATGTGGTTCAGGCAGATCCAGGAGGCCCAAGGAACCTTCAAGTATATGCCAGGATAGGTCCCAGCAGAGAGATTGTCCAGTCCAGTTTCTCATGGCTTCTTCATGGTAGCATGGCTGGCACTAAAGAGGGTTGACCGATAAGTCCAGCAGGTCCTGCTTGACCAAGCTGACTTCCCAAAGAGGAGAGAGTGGCTTCCTTAAGAAGGAAGCACACTGTCCCTGGCAGCCCTATGATATGTGGGAACTACTGGACCTCTGGGCCTCTCCTCTTCTCTGGGACATCTTGGGGAGATGAGGCTCTGAGCTCACAGTGACACCTGCATGTGTCTTTTGTTTGTGTCTTTGAATTTATTCCAGGGAAAAGTCTTAATTCAGAAGCAGTATTTCAGGTTCTATCTGTTTTTTGTTTGTTTGTTTTTTCAGTGCCAAGATGACCTATGGTGTCATATAATTTAAGCAGAGCTTAGCATTTATTCTATTCCTTAGAAAACTTAAATATTTACCTTTTTTTTTTTTTACTTTCTTGTGGAAACATTTTTTGCAGTATTACTGATTTTTTTTCATAAATCAGGATTGAAGCAGAAACTTTACCAGGTGGTGTTAATAAGCCACTTAAGTGCCTTAAACTGCTTTGGGAGAGAGGAAAACCACTGGCCCGCCATAGATTCTGACAGACCTGTTGAAGTTCTCACAAAAGCAGCATTTGTTGTGTTAGGAAGACATGACTTGGGCTAGAAACCTTTCTAGAAGTTTTCTTTTTTGTTTTTGTTTTGTGTGTGATGCTGTGCACCCCCAGGAGTCTCTCTACAGTGTTTAGCAGGAGCCATAGCTGTGATAAGCTAGGGTCTGGGCCCAGATTTCAAGGCTCTGGGTGTTTTCCAGGCAAGTCTAGCCAGGTGCTAGGCATTGAAACCATTACTATTTGATTGGGATGTTCCAGAAAGTCTGTGTAATTTCATTGATTTCATTTGGGAAAATGTTTAAGAGGTTCTGGCAAGCTCAAAGGCAGCAGTGTCTCCAGTGGCAGTCTGACATTGTCAGCACAGACCCTTATGTAGGTCTGTGGCTCGTGTCCTTCCCCGCTGGGCTCTGCCCTGTAGCCTGACCAGCCTTAAAAGACACTGGAAAGCTGGACACTGGTGGCTCCCATCCGTTATCCTAGCTACTCAGGAGGCTAAGATCTGAGGATTGTGGTTCAAAGCCAGCCTGGGCAGGAAAGTCTGTGAGACTATTATTTCCAGTTAATCACCAGAAAACTGGAAGTGGCACTGTGGCTCAAGTGGTATAGCGTTTGCCTTGAGCTAAAGAGCTCAGGGACAGCACCCAGGCCTAGAGTTCAAGCCCCACGACTGACCAAAAAAAAAAAAAGACACTGGAAATACTTAAAGGCCTCAAGGAACACATACAATCTGTGAATAGTTAGAAGGATAAGCAAGGAAGCCAGGCATTGAGGAGGAGGCTAGCAGGGCCAGAGATCAATGGGTGCCTTATTAGAGGTTTGGAGAAGGGGGAGAAGCTGAGTTCCCCATGTAGATGATCAAGCAGCCATCTGCAGACAGTGGGAGCCCCAGGAAGCCCTGCAGAGCTGTATGCCAAATGTCTGGGCTTTTTTCTCAGCTCACAAATGGAACAAGTACACAAGTTTTCCCATCCTGAGGCAAGTCCACTGTCCAGCAGGAAGGGAGGGAGCCATCCTTGGTAGGCAGACCACTAGATTCCAAGGAGTTGAGGCATACCAACTCTTTCCCTGTAGAGATGAAGTTTAGGTCTCACAGTCAATGCCCTCCTCAGGGTCTCCTGATAGCATCTTAAAACACATTCATAGCCAGGCACTGGCGGCTCACACCTGTAATCCTAGCTACTCAGGAGGCTGAGATCTGAGGATCATGACTCAAAGGCCAGCCTGGACAGAAAAGTCCAGTTAACCACCAGAAAATCAGGACTGGGGCTGGGACTAGAAGTGGTAGAGCAAAAAATTTCCAGGACAGCTCCTAGGTTGAGTTCAAGCCCCACAAATTGGGTGGGGGGCACAAAAAAAATGACATTTATCCAGAGAATGATTGGCCACCACCAACAACCAGGTGTTTTAGCCTATCTGAAGGCCCTGCTGCCTGTTAGGATGCCATCTGGCACAGGGTTGGGCAAGACACAGAAATGTGGCTCCACTCTTCATTATGGCTCCACCCTGCCCATGACAATGACCTTGACAGAGAAGTATTGGCTTCTGATGTTTTGGGTGGCGTTTTTTGTTGTTGTGGTGGTGGTGGCTTTTTTTATTCTTTGCTCTGCTAATCTTACTCTGTACATTGCTGTTGGAAATAGAGTTTCACTTCATGGAGATAGGAGATCTGGATCATACTGTTTGGGGTATAATTCCCCTAATAGAAGGCTCTGAATGCCTCCCCAGACTCCTGAGTAGGGTTGCTTCGGGATAGGGCTAAACCAGTCCTTTTAGAGGTCTGTGGCTAAGGAAATCTGTACTCTCTCTGTTGAGAACTAGTTTTGTCCTAGCTTCTGGACACAGAGGAGGGCCTTTCATCTTAGCCAGGCTGTGCCAAGTCACCAAGAACCTCCAGCTTCCAAGATTCCTGAGCCACCTCCTCTTCAGGCTGTGGTCCTAGGAGGGTCCCTAGCCAGGACCACTGGTCTCAGCTCTGCCACAAGCTCATTGCATGAGCTGAGCAAATCATTACACCTCTGTAGGGCCTCAGTTTCCCTTTTGTCTGGCACAAGATGTTACATGGCAGTTTGCAGAGGCTCTAACCTGGAGTTTTGGAGGTACGGGGGCTACTCGAGGTGAGCCTGGCACAGCCTGTGGAGAGGTCCCTTCCCCCCACTGCTAGCAGGGAGGGGTGATTAAGTATTATTAGTGTCTATTCTTAAAATTAAGTGGGTTGGAAAAGAATCAAGTTGCAGATGCCAGCACCTTATATGGAGTACAAAAGCTGGAATGGCTCAGACCCTGCTTTCACAGGTACAGCTGATTCCCAGCTGAAGCTTGCAAGGAAGGGGGAAGGGGATCTAGTATTTTAGTCAGAATCCAGGATAGGAAATGCGTGTGTTTTAATGGGCAATGTAGCCATTAAGTCTCAGGCCCCATAGGAGAAGCACAGGTTCTCCAAGGTCTGGAGTTAGCCTTGGACAAGCCCCTTGCCATTGACTGGTTTCCTGCCCTCTTGGGGGCCAGCATGCTTCCCCAGTACATGCCTCCTTTCTGCCATGGTGACTTTGGGTTTGGACACCCTGGCTACCTCAGCAGTATTCCCAGAGCTGTGAGGACAGCTCTACTCAAGCTACTTGGAAGCCAGGTCTGTCCGTAAAATAAGCTGTGTTTCTGGTTTGATCCTGCCTCCATAGCCCAAAGGGGCTGTCCCTGGAGTCCTGTGCTTTCACTAAAGCTCCACAGCTTTGCCAAATGTGCCAAGCTTTGCCATTCACATGCCGTGTGGGCCTTGCCAAGGGCTTGTCTGTGCATGCCTCAGTGGGCTTCCTGGGAGCCATGTTCCAAGACACAAGGAACAGCTCCCCTGGGCTTAGGGACAAGCCCTAAGGTGGAGGGGCCGCTGGGGTGGTCTCCCAGAACCCACTGTTACTTCAGTATCAATAAACCAATTTCTGAGTCTCATCTGGGTCCTTTATTCTTTTGCATCAACTCTCTTGGATGTCCAACTGCTGAGGTATTAGGAGACCATCTGCAAATCTTGTTGAGTGCTTGCCTGCCAGCTGGGCCTGGCCTTCACTCCAAATCCCTGAACCTAAAAGCAGTAGGAGGGTGCTAGGAGAAGGGTGATGTAGCATGACATAGAAGAGACCACAGGAATATCTGTAGTCCTCATTTTAGGAAACTATTATAGAGTCCAGGCATCTTAACACTAAATAAAACCCCCTCCTAGCTTATAGCCAGATGTGGGCCCATATTGTGGATGTAAACCTGAACACATTAAAATCAAAGCACTAAGTATTCCTTCCATTCCCATTCCGGTCTCCTGCCTGGTGCTCTACCCTGCTACATGCAAGGATGTGCTCACTATTATGCCCAGGATGAGCAGCCTGCGGAAACAGGTGCTTCTTGTATTGGACAAGGGCAAAAGCACTGGAGGCAGACTCAGCACACAGGGGAAGCTCAGTTTGCTACAGGACTTAGGAGAGAAAAGGTCCCAAAGTGAGGGTAATAGTATTTCACTGTTGGTGATTGAAATTGTCAGGGCAGCCAGGTAGCTTCACAGAGTCTGGTGGGGACCAGGCCAGGGATATGGAGGTGGGCAACCTTTTCTTGAGATGGCTTCAGATGGAAGGCAGGACTTCGATAGAAGGCAAGGCTCACCATTCCTGGCGAAAAGATCTGGGCCGTCAGGTTTCTTCGTGGCCAGAGGGACTATCCCCTTGAGGCTGCCTGGACAAGTATTGGACACTTGCCTTAGACCATCACAATTGATATTCTTTAAGGAAAACCTTGGACAGCCTACCCACCTACCACATTTTGTTCCAGATCTGTAACCTCCAACAGTGACCTCCAGCCCTCTAACCTCACCCACCTCAAGGTCAGACAGCAGCAACATGGGCTGCAATAGCCTGGGTGCCCAGGAGGGCTTGATCTCATGAAAAACTAGTGCAGTTACACACATGTACAGTCGTGAGGCTATGGCCCTTAGTATGCCTGATGTTCAAGACACTTCAGGGGTCAGTCCTATCGTTTCAAGTCCAAATGACTGAGAAGCCAGTCATGAGATGATCATCCAATCCTTTCAAAGACATTGGCCAACCTTCAGCCATTCTGTTTTCAGCAATTCAATAAGGGATGCTGAAGCAGCACACAAAACCAGCAACCATGTTCCCATTAAGGCAAGATGGAGTTTGGCCTAATCATGGAGATCCAATGTCCCTCCCAGTCCACCAGGGACTAAGCCTTGCCAAGTGGCACTTTTCAGGCCTCTAACTCCAGCTGATATATGGTCCCTTTCTCAAGCAAGGGCAAGAGAAAGCAAAGCAGGAGTCAACAGCCTGCAGGGAGACCTCTTCTTGTGTCTCTGGCCATGCTCAAGCCTCAAAGGACATGGAAAATAGCAAAGAAGCCTTCATGCAACACAGCTCCAAAAAACTGTTCTGAGATGCTCCCCAGAAAATGGGGGCAAAAATGTGTGCCTTGGGCTGAGAAGGTGGCTCAGTGGTAGAGTGCTTGCCTTGCATGTTTGACACCCTGGGTTCAATTCCTCAGCACCATATAAGCAGAAAAAGCCAGAAGTGGCACTGTGGCTCAAGTGGTAGAGCACTAGCCTTGAACTGAAGAGCTGAGGGACAGTGCCCAGGCCCAGGTTCAGGCCCCACAACTGACAAAAAAAAAAAAAAGGAAAGAGAGAGGGGAGGGAGGGAGGGAGGGAGGGAGGGAAGAAAGAGAGGTAAGAAAGAAAGTGTGCCTTCAGATTTAAGGAGACCAGCTCCTCTGAGCCAGTTCACCGAGGCCTCTTGTGCCTTTCCCACTCCCTAGTGCTGTACCACACTATAAACCTTGCCCTGCTCTTCTTTGCCTATGGGTGGCCTCTCTCCCCTTCTACCTCATCTCTCCTAAGCCCCTTCTATTCTAGACAATGCCTGCTACCCACAGCTGAAACCTCCAACCCTGCAGTCCATGCCGTGAGGAAGGCAGCTCTATCTCCATCTGTCTCAGAGAGGCCATCCTAGGGGAAGTGAAGAAATGAGCTCAGGAGATCTGCTGAGATGCAAGTTGTAGTCAGAGCCTGCTACCACGCTTCCCCCACTCCCTGCCACCCACACTTCCATCTGTCCTCCTCCTCCCCCCACCCACTCAGCTCCTCTGAAGCTCCTGGCAGATTCTCCTTTAAGTATATGCTGTTGTATTGTTACCTAATGACTTGTCTCATGCAACTGAATCTCCAGATGGTGATGAGCTCTTCCCTTCCCCCCAACTTTCATGGAGCCTGATTCTCACTCAGGGCCACAGAGAGGGGCTCAAGCTGCCCAATAGCTAGAGGGGGTTCACCCATGTCACTAGCCACCCCATCCTCATGGGGGAGGGAGAGGGACATGTGTTATGTTCTCTGCCAAAAGGGGGTCAAGCTAAGTCCAGCACAGAGAGCTGAGACCACAAAGTGTACTAGGGTAGTCAGAACTGGCATCATGCCCACCAAATTGGAGCTTCAGCCTTGAGAAACCAAACAACAGCCAAGTTCCCCAGGCTAAGGCTGGGGTGGGGCAGAGCCAGGGAAGAGAGAGGCAATAATTCCCACTAGGAAGTCTGATTGATGCCTACCCACCACTATAGCTGCCCTCAGAGTGCGCCACCCACATCTGGCTGCCCCCTTCTAGCCATGCTTACCCCTTCAGCGTCTCTTTGCCGGTCTGAACCATTCAAGGAAGGCCAAGGAGAGGGCTTCAACTAGAATCCTTGGCATACAAAGCCAACTTAGGTCCTGGGGTCAAACTTCAAGTCCTGGAGTTTAGGTGACTAAAGGCCAAAGAGTAGGCCCAGCACTCTAGAGTGCCAGCTATAAGGACTGTTCCACCCCAGTAGAAGGTCCTGAGAAGATACCAGCTCCACTACTGCAGAATGGCCCTACAACCCATCCAGGTAGACCCCTTCTTGGATCACTTTTTTTTTTTTTTGGTTAGTGATGGGACTTGAACTCAGGGCCTGGGCACTGTCCCTGGGCTTTTTCACTCGAGGCTAGCAGCACAGCTCCACGTCCAGTTCCCGGGTGGTTAATTCCAGATAAGAGTCTCATGGAGGGCAGGGAGGAGCTTGAGGGGAGGGAGGAGTTGGGGAGGTGGGGAGGGAAGGGATGGTAGGGGAAAAACAAAGGAGGTAACAATGCTCAATAGGAAACATACTCATTACCTTACTCATGTAACTGTAACCCCTCTGTACAGTATCTTTACAATAAAAAATATATACCAAAAAAAGAGTCTTGGGCTGGGAAGGTGACTCAGTGGTAGAGTGCTTGCCTTGCATGCTCGAGGCTCTGGGTTCGATTCCTCAGCACCACATAAGCAAAAAGAAAAAAGCCGGAAGTGGCGCTGTGGCTCAAGTGGTAGAGCACTAGCCTTGAGCTGAAGAGCTGAGGGACAGCGCCCAGGCCCAGAGTTCAGGCCCCACGACCGGACCCAAAAAAAAAAAAGGTGTCTCATGGGGCTGGGAAGGTGGCTCAGTGGTAGAGCGCTTGCCTTGCATGCCTGAGGCCCTGGGTTCAATTCCTCAGCACCACATAAGCAAAAAGAAAAAAGCCGGAAGTGGCGCTGTGGCTCAAGTGGTAGAGCTGAAGAGCTGAGGGACAGCGCTCAGGCCCAGAGTTCAGGCCCCACGACCGGACCAAAAAAAAATACCACACAAGTGGGTCCTCGTGGCTATAATTCTACCTACTCAGAAGGCTGAGATCTGAGAATTGCAGTTTGAAGTCAACCCTAGGCAGGCAAATCCTTGACACGCTTAACTCCAATTAGCCAGCAAAAAACCAGAAGTGGAGCTATGGCTCAAATGGTAGAGTGCCAGCTTTGAGTCAAAAAGCTAAGAGACAGGGCACAGGTCCTGAATTCAAGCCCTAGAACTGGCAACACACACACACACAAATGTGCAATCTAGTATCACCTGATATTACCTCAAAATATTATCAAACATTATCTAGACAATGAATTATTAGATGAATTTCTCTAGTAATACTGTGTTCTGGGTATAATGGCTGGCTCTGAAGTCATGCAGAGGCTGGTATAGGAGATCATGTAAGGGGAAGACTGACGTCAGTGTGTACTGCACTGTTGTCCATCCTTTCCCCCATGGAAACCATCAGACTTGTACATCTGGACAATGAAGTGAGAGTAAAATGGCATCTTTTTTCAATTTCTGTTTCCTTGATTCCCTGAGATGTTATCTGTGTCTGTTTTGTGTGTTGCTAATCTTGATGCTAGATACATTATAAGGAAAGGAGATGCATTTGGCTTCAAATTCTGGAGGTTCAAGAGAGTGGTGTTACATCTGGCAACAGTCCCTAACCACAATCACAACATGGCAAAGCAGCAGCAGAGGGAGAGGGCTGTGGGCTCACATTATAACAAACCTAGTCTTACAGTAATTAATCCAGTCATGCCATATCTAACCCATTCTCTGATACTTCACATTCATCAGCCCCAATAGTGGAGCCCCCTAAACTAATTATCTATCCCAAAGGCCCCTTTCAACTCAGTATTCTATTGGGGAATTAGCCTCAATTTGACTTTTGATGAGGACTTACCAACACTGAAATCATAGAAGAGGCTGAGCATCTTATGTGCATTGACCACTGAGTGGCTTTTGTTTAATACTAGGAATGGAGTTATTTCTAGTTCTGTTCTTACCTCTTAAAAAATCACATGGAGGAGCTGGGAAGGTGGCTTAGTGGTAGAGTGCTTGCTTTGCATGCATGAGGTCCTCAGCACATAAGCAGAAAATGCCGGAAGTGGTGCTGTGGCTCGAGTGGTAGAGTGCTGGCCTTGAGCTGCAGAGCTGAGGGACAGCGCCCAGGCCTAGAGTTCAGGCCCCACGACCTACCAAAACAAACAAACAAACAAAAAACAAAAACAAAAAAAAACACGATGGAGGGCCACATGCAGATTTCTGTAATCCTAGCTTTTTTTTTTTTTTTTTTTTTTGCCAGTCCAGGGGCTTGAACTCAGGACCTGGGCACTGTCCCTGAACTTCTTTTGTTCAAGACTACTTCTGGCTTTTTCTGTGTATGTGGTACTGAGGAATCAAACCCAGGGCTTCACGAATGCTAGGCAAGCACTCTACCACTAAGCCACCTTCCCAGCCCTTAATCCCAACTTCTTACAAGATGGCAGTAGGAATGACTTCATTCTAATGCTAGCTCAGACAAAAGTACCAAGACTATATCAGAAACAAAGAACTGGGCATCAGTGGTTCGTGACTGTAATACTAGCTACACAAGAGACAGTTTGAAGCCAGCCTGGGCAGGAAAGTCTGTGAGATTCATCAATTAACCATCAAAAAGCCAGAAATGGAGCTGTGGATCAACTGGTAGAATTCTATCCTTGAGTGAAAAGCCTTAGGAACAGCACACAGAACCAAGATGTGTGTATGTGCACATGCGCACATACACAAACTAAAAGCAAAAGGGTAAGTCAAGTGGCTGACAGTTTGCTTAGCGAAAGTTCAATCCTAGTACTGCAAAAAAAAAAAAAAAAGGTGGGGGAGGGGAGGGAAGGGGAAGGAGTTATAGAAATCTCTCTCATCCTAAGGGATTCTTTTTCCCAACTGAACAGTAGAGCTATGCAGTTTTGTAGTTTTTATGTAGCTATCAGCTATTGGACTATATAGTCTCTTCAGGCTGGGGATATGTTCATCTCTGTCTTTAGCCTAGAACAAAGAGTCTATATTGAATGTACTTGTGCTGGATGAATTGTGCGACTCACCAGATCAGTATGCAGAGTCCTACCAAGACAGCACAGCTTCCACTTGGCAGTAGGCTGTGTGGCAGGCAGGGGGACAGAAAGCAAAGGCCTGGTTCAAACTGCACTTGGGACCTTCACCTGGGAGGTGATCTTCACCTGTATTTTCTCATCTGTGAGGATGGTGACAGTCCCTTTGTAGGGTTAGGGTGAGGACTGAATTACATGTGGAAGTGGTGGCTATTTTTTTACTCCATCTCTGAAGTTCTAGGATGTATTCCACAGACCAAACATTAGGTATTGCACCTAAGGTTGCTATCTGCCAGTAAGATGCAGAAGTACCAAAACAGAGGCCTACAAGAAAGAAAAGATACATCCTATCAAGTCAGAATTCTGACTAAAAGGTCAACATGTGCCTTTGATTTTCTATTGTACCTGTAGTGGTAGTTTATTTTTTAATTTCCCTCTCAATATACTTTTTAATCATTTACTTGTTATTATAAAGATGTACAGAGGGATTACATAACTCAGGTAATGAGTACATTTCCATTTGTTACAGTGTCTTCTAACAAGTGTCTTTTTGTTTGACCAAGGCATAAATTTGGACACTACATTTTAATGTTGAGCATCTGAGAATTATTGTAATGTGTAGGGACAAGATCAAGATAAATTCATAGAAATTACAATCTTCCTCCCTTTTTTTTTTTTTTTTTGTCTCTCGTGGGGCTTGAACTCGGCCTGGGCGCTGTCCCTCAGCTCTTCAGCTCAAGGTGAGCGCTCTACCACTTGAGCTACAGCGCCACTTCCGGTTTTCTGATGGTTTATTGGAGATAGGAGTCTCACGGTCTCTCCTGCCCGGGCTGGCTTTGAACCGCGATCCTCAGATCTTAGCCTCCTTAGTAGCTAGGATTACAGGCGTGAGCCACCAGCGCCCGGCAATCTTCCTCCCTTTGCTCCCAATCTGCTGATGCCCTAACGTGTCACTGAAACACCTGAAATGACTTCTTGCTTTAAGCTAACTGCCTAACGTAACCCGTACCAATGACTTCCAGTGGGTGGGGACTCATTTCCTACTGCATCCTAGACAATGTCCTGCTGACTCTTTATATCCAAAATTCACTTCATCCTAAAGACTGGTGTCACCACCCACTACCCAAGTACTCAACAAAAAAACCTAGGAACTGCCTCTACCCACCTCCCCTGACCCTGCCCATTTAGCTTCTTCTTTCTGTTCCTCCAAATACTCTTAAAGGAGGTCTACATAATTTATTGTCCAAGTTATGACAGCTAGTAGAGTGAGCAAGGCATTATTAATGATTGACCTGGGACAACAGGCAAACACCAAGATAATCTGACCATGGGGCTGGGAAGTTGGCTCAGTGGTAGAGCGCTTGCCTTGCATGCCTGAGGCCCTGGTTCGATTCCTCAGCACCACGTAAGCAAAAAGAAAAAAGCTAGAAGTCGTGCTTTGGCTCAAGTGCTAGAGTGCTAGCCTTGAGCTGAAGAGCTGAGAGACAGAGCCCAGGTCCAGAGTTCAGGCCCTACAACCGGACCCGGAAAAAAAAAAGATAATCTGACCTGACAACACATGACCAGAGACCATCAGGCACTGATGTAGTAACCAAAAACACAATATGGCCTAAATGTCCACCAAATCTCATTCAAGTGTTTGAAAATGCTGTCCCTGAATAATTTCAGAAAATTTTAATAGAAAAAAATAAATTATGTAGGAAATCTACATAATTAGAAACGTTTTGAAATTTTGGAAAAATAGGCAAAAATTTAAAATAAATGATGTTAAATGACAAAAGCACATACTCTTAGCCTTGTTTTTTTTCAAATTTTTAATTTTTTGAGATACTCAAGAGATAGTTTTATGACAAAAAACACACAGGGAGAACAAGAACTATAACTGACAAACTTGGAGTGAGTGTGGCCTGGGAAAAAATGAGGGATGGGTGCCAGGAGCCCGTGGAGGCCTCCTGGAATCCTGGGTTTCATTCCAGGACCTCCCCTAACCCCAAGCACTCTGAGGGCCTTGTGGAACATCTAAAGAGGATACCCATAAGTTCAATTTAAGAAGAGGGACTTAAGAACCAGGGTAAAAGTACAAGGATGAACTCGGAAGGTTCAGACAGTGGCCTCGCCCTCGCCAGTAGTTTCCTCATCCTCCTCCAGCAAGCTGTAAGAGGCGTGGCTCTGGCAGGGTCGCTGAAGAGGATGAGCTAACAGCTTCGCCATGCAGTTGTGCAACTCCAGGGCCGGCCCAGCTAGAGGTACTTCGTATTTATAGCTGGTACCCTTGGTATCCAGGCTGCCCATGAAGGCGAACATGTCCTTCCAACTCATCTCCTCCTCCCTCTCGTCGGTGCCGTTGTGGATGTATACAACGTCGAAGAAGAAATATGGGCACTGGAACATTTTCTTCATGGGCTCCGTCAGGGCGAATTGAGGCTGGCAGGGCGGGCGGCTGTAGACAAGGATGGTGCGGACCACATAAGGAGGCGGAATGGTCTGCACATTCTCGGTGACAGGCAGCTCGGTCTTCTGCTGGATGAGGCTGAGGAGGCCTTCGAGATTGAATGTGGAGCAAGACGCCGTCTCCAGGTCGTAGAGGCAGCTGCAGAGCTCGCGGGGGTCAGAGGTCAGGCCGGACAGCCAGGCCGAGTCGTCGTTCACCACGACCAGCGCAAACTCGTGGCTCTTATCGATCTTATGTTTGGTGCGCACGAACATCTCTATCATTTTCTGAGAGACATTGAGGGCATTGGTCTTGGAGCCGTTGAATGACTCCAGCTTCGGTAGCGACATTTCCTCAGATAGGTCCAGGCAGATGATCACCTTTTCTGGACAGTTGACCCTTGGTGTACGAATTTGGACCTCGGGGGCTGGCGGGGGTACAGCCCAGGGCTTGGGGCCCGCTCCCGCTGGACTGGGGGTCCCATCCTCAGCACTGGCCGCCTCACCTTCACCCTCACTGCGGCTGCCGACACTGGCCTGCGCCCCGAGTCCCCGGTCCTCGGCGCCCTCAGGGTTGGAGCGCGTTCGGGGGCGTGGCTCGGCGGATTGCTCTTCCTCCTCTCCCTCTTCCTCCTCCTCTTCGGTATGAATGCTGGGCTCTGCCACTTCCATAGCTTCCGAGTGGCAGGACGGAGCAGGGAACGTGGAAGCCAAGAAACTCTGGTAACAGACCCGCAGTCAGAGTTGCTCTAGGAAGTCGCCATCTTTGGCCGGAAGTTGTACTGCGGTCGCAAGGCTTCCTGGGAAATGTAGTTCAGCGCGACCTCAAGACGCGCACGCGCAGAGTGATGAAGCCAGGAGACTATCGAGAGGGAGTTTGTTTGTTTGTTTGTGCTAGTCCCGGGTCTTGAACTCAGGACCTGGGCACAGTTGTGCTCAAAGCTAGCGCTCTACTACTTGAGCCACTGCTCCACTTCCAGCTTTTTTTTTGGGGGGGGGCGTTATTTGGAGATAAGAGTGGCATGGACTTTCCTGCCCGGGCTGGCTTCGAATTGCAGTTCTCAGAACTAAGCCTTCTGAGTAGCTAGGATTACAGGTACGAGCCATCAGTGTGCAGCAAGTTTTAAAGATACGTTTTTCAAATAAAGTGTATCCAAGTATACAAAGAAAAATACTTAATGTTTCAAATATATACATGTGTGTATATATACACATATGTTTGTGTGTTTCGTATGTATATATGTAAATTTCAAAAAATAAAATGGATTCTCATTCACAAATGTTTGCTGAGCCCCATTTAGATCACACAGAAAGAAGACCCTTCTTGGGTTTGAGCGGTATCATTAGGCGTTAAGGAGTAAGCAGGGAGCAGAGAGAACCAAGCAAGAACTTAGGAGGCTTGGTTGCTTGACCAGATCTGATCTGAAAGAGGGAGGCCATGGAACCTGGGGGCTTGAGAACTAAGAGACAATGGCACAGGGCGGCTAGAAGGAGGCATGGAACAGACCAAAGGGCTCATGTCAGTAGTTGGGGCTTTTGGGGTGAGTAGCATTAAGGACTCAGGATTTTGCACTTGATAGCAGATACTTTACAGATTAAGCCACACCTCCAGCTCTTTTTATTTTCCTTATTTTTCCTTAAATAAGGCTCAGGTGGGCCTAGACTGAAGTCTCCTATTTATACTTCCCAAGAAGCTGGATGACAGATGTGTGCCATCATGCACAGAACAGTTCTTTTACCTGTTGAGATGAGGACCTCAAAATGTCTTTGCCTAGCCGGGCCTTGAATCACAGTCCTCCAGATCTCAGCCTCTCAAGTAGCTAGGATTATAAACAATCACAACCAGCTATGTTTCAAGCTGCTAACAGATCTTTACTGAGGAATGGTTTAATAATTTTTTTTCAGAGCTCCCTTTGTTAACCAAGAATAAAAGGGGATTCTCAGACCAGGGAATCTAGGGATCAGAGGGAGGTTGACAAACTCCCTGAGGAAAAACCAAGAAGCCTAGAGCTGGGGTAGGGGTGCTGTGAGTCACAAGTGAAGTAGAACTGGCAACAGCATCTCATCTATTCACAAACATAACAAATGTCCATTTACATTGAATTTGGTGGATAAGACCTGCGATGGTTTACACAAGAAACTGACAGATCCTAAGAAGAGCAAGGATCTGGGCCATGGGTGAGTATTCAGTCATACGTGAGTTGAAGGCAGCATCTCATTGCTTAAAAAGGGAATTGGAACAACATTCTGGGCAAAGGGAACAGCAAATTGAGGGAACAGCTAGTGCTGAAGGGACAGCTTATTGCCCTCTGCTTTGCTGTGGCTCCTACACTACATTCCTTGCAACCTAGTTTTGGGATCTATATGTCTGAAGCTTGGATTTTTCCTGGAAGCTGCTCAGATTCAGAGAATGCCAAACTAGAGATGCTGAAAAGTCTTGGAAAGGAATTGTAAGGATTCCATGTATAGATACACCTGTAGATACATCTGAGATGGGACAAAGCCTAAGATCTAGCACAACTAATCTGCAGACTTTCTTGGAGGAGATGGAGACACTCTACCTCTTGATTTAGATATTTGTGACATATGTGTTCAAATTTATTAGATTGTCCACATAAGTACAGATCACTGTTTGTGAATTATACCTCCATAAAGCATAAAATGGTGCCAGATGTAGTTGGCAAATACCTGTAATCCCAGCACTTGGGAGGTGGGAGGTGAAAGGATTGTGAGTTCAAAGTCCAACTGGGCTCCATAGCAAGACCCTGTCTCAAAAAAAATGTTAAAAAAGAAAAAATTACAGTATGTTGAAAATGAACTATATAACTGTGTGTAGGGATGGGAGGGGGAAACTAGGAAAAAACCAAAACGGGGTGACATTGCCCCAAAAGAAATGAAATCCCTGTGTATATCACCTTTACAACACAATAAAAATTTTAATTAAAAAGCCACTCAGACCAGATGTCAGTGGCTCAGCTAGCTAATCAGAAGGCTGAAGATGACGATTTGAAGCCAGCATGGAAAGGAAAATTTATGAGACTTTTATCTCCAATTAATCACCAAAAAGCCATAAGTGGAGCAGTGGTAGAGTGCCAGCCTTGAGCAAAAAAGCTAAGGGAACAGTGTCCAGGCCTTCAGTTTGGAATCTGGAGTTCTCCTCATAGAGTCCCTGCAGCCACAGGTGAAGCTTTTTTTTTTTTTTTTGTCGGTCGTGGGGCTTGAACTCTGGGCCTGGGCGCTGTCCCTCAGCTCTTCAGCTCAAGGCGAGCGCTCTACCACTTGAGCTACAGTGCCACTTCCTGTTTTCTGGTGGTTTATTGGAGATAGGAGTCTCACGGTCTTTCTTGCCCGGGCTGGCTTTGAACTGCGATCCTCAGATCTCAGCCTCCTGAGTAGGTAGGATTACAGGCGTGAGCCACCAGCGCCCGCTTAAAGCGAACATTCCTGAGAATAGGCAGTAGGCCCATAATAGTGGTTAGAGTGAAGTCAGTAAGCAATGGTAGTTGTTAGGAGTGAAGTCATGGTTATTGGCAAGATAACTATACTGACTGCTGCCTTTTGTTTGCCCAGCCCAGGGCTGGAGAGGCTGAGACAAAGGCAATTGTCCTTGTGACTCCACAGTCATTGAAATCTCAAGTTTGTGGCTCCTAGGCATCAATCAGGCTATCTCCTTTGATAGATTCAGAAGTAAATGTTCCCACCTTTGGTTATGACCTGCTGTAGATAGAAAACAAGATGTCAGAGGTGTGTGTGTGTGTGTGTGTGTGTGTGTACTGCCCATTTGGCTGAGTAGATTCTTTTTTTTTTTTTGTCAGTCATAGGGCTTGAACTCAAGGCCTAGGTGCTGTCCCTAAGCTTTTTTTTCTCAAAGCTAGTGTTCTACAGTACCACTTCCAGTTTTCTGGTGGCTAATTAGAAATGAGTCTCACAGACGTTCCTCCTCAGGCTGGCTTTGAACCTAATCCTGAGATCTCAGCCTCCTGAGTCACTGGGATTACAGGCATGAGCACCCAGCTGGCTGAATGCAGATATAAACAGAACAAATCTCTTAGAAATCAAACTCGTATGTGTACACTAGCAGTTAGTCTTCAGCATGATTTTTTTTTTTTTGGGGGGGGGGGTCCGGTCATGGAGCCTGAACTCTGGGCCTAGGCACTATCCCTCTGCTCTTCAGCTCAAGGCTAGCGCTCTACCACTTGAGCCACAGCGCCACTTCTGGCTTTTTTTTCCTGCTTATGTGGTGCTGAGGAATCGAACCCAGGGCCTCATGCATGCAAGTCAAGCGCTCTAACACTGAGCCACCTTCCCAGCCCCAGAATGATTTTTTTAAATCTCACATCTTGGGATATGATTAGTTGGTCAGTTCAGAAGTAAATGTAGGGCTGGGAAGGTGGCTCAGTGGTAGAGCACTTGCCTTGCATGCCTGAGGCCTTGGGTTCGATTCCTCAGCACCACATAAGCAAAAAGAAAAAAGCCGGAAGTGGCGCTGTGGCTCAAGTGGTAGAGTGCTAGCCTTGAGTTGAAGAGCTGAGGAACAGTGCCCAGGCCCAGAGTTCAGGCCCCACGATCGGACCCAAAAAAAAAGAAGTAAATGTAGAACAAAACAGAGAGCATGCAGCAGGATGTGTGGTGTGTGGTGTGATAGACCAAGGGTTTTGAATGCTACAATGAGGGTATAGTCTCTGTTCTGTGGAAACAACAAACCTCCCTTGGCTCCATGTGCGGAGCAGGAAAACAGGAGTGTTCACACACTAGAAGAGCTCTCTGCGCCCTCTGTGGTCTGAGATGGTGTGTGTAACCTGTATTATCCAATGAACAATCAGCAGGTAAATAAGAATATCTAAGCTATTTACACTGATCTTCCCCACTTATTTGCACAAAACATACAAGACTCTTAGTGGAAGCCAGATGCTGGTGGCTCACACCTATTATCCTAGCTACTCAAAAGGCTAAGATCTGAGAACCTTGGTTCAAATACAGCCTGGGCAGGAAAGTCTATGAGATTCTTATCTCCAGTTACCCACCAAAATACTGAAAGTAGAGCTATGCCTCAAGTGGTAGCACACTAGCCTTGAGCAAAAATTCTCAGGGACAGTGCTCAAACCCTGAGTTCAAGCCCCAGGTCTAGCAAACACACACACACACACACACACACACACACACACACACACACACACACACACACACACACACACATAGAATGACATTGCCTATATTGTGGTATGGGGAACTGGGATGATAGAGGGCTCTTGGGTAAGAGATAAAAAGAATAAAAAGATGACAGGTTCAGGTGGAGATTTATGGTGAGAGATCATATAGTTGGGAGAGAGCAGGACACTTAGTTGTGAAGATGAGGAGCTACCTGGGTGGAGCGTGTCATGTAAGAAGAGTGAGACAGCCATCTTTGTTGTCTGTCCAATTTCTCTTCCTTTCTTCTTTTCTTTCTTTTTCCTTTTCTGTGCTGGTCCGAGGGCTTGAACTCAGGGCCTGGGTGCTGTTTCTTTTGCTCAAGGCTAGAGCTCTATCACTTGAGCCACAGCACCACTTTTGACTTTTTCTGAGTAGTTTTTGGAGAGAAGGATCTCAGAGACTTTTCTGCCTGGGCTGGTTGTGAACTGCAATCTTCATATCTCAGGTTCCTAGGTAGCTAGGATAACAGGTGTGAGCTACCAGCGCCCAGCTTTCTCTTTTCCTTTATAAATGTTGGAAAAGCCCTGATTTGGCTGAGGTGTGGACCTCTCACACATGTGATTAAGCAGATTTACCTTTTTTAGGTTACAAGTATAAATCTGATTGGTATAAGACATTATGGTGGTCATTTTTCTTGACATGAATAAAATGTGATAGGCATGTGATCCAGTATCCTAATGGTAGATGAGAGGAAGACTTCTGACCCCTTTTAACGGTCTTTTTTTTTTTTTTTTGCATTAGTCATTTTTGAGATAAGGTCTTTATGCCCTGGACTGCAATCCTCCTATTTATGTTTCCTAGCATCACAGAAATAAAAGGTGTGTGCCACCATATACAGTCATTGTGTCATCCCCATAGCTGGACTGACAGGTATAAACTACTGCACCCAACCACTGGTCAAGATGGAGTCTTGTAAACTTTTTTTTCTACCTTGGCTTCCCTCCAGACATGATTCCCCAATCTCTCAAGTAGCTAGAATTGATTACAGGCTTCAGCCACTGTGCCTATATGGTTTCTTAATATTAAGAATGAGGGGTCTGGGGAGGTGGCTCTGTGGTAGAGTGCTTGCCTTGCATGCATGAGGTCCTGGGTTCGATTCCTCAGCACCACAGAAGCAGAAAAAGCCGGAAGTGGCGCTGTGGCTCAAGTGGTAGAGCACTAGCCTTGAGCTGAAGAGCTGAGGGACAGCGTCCAGGCTCAGAGTTCAGGCCCCACGACTGGAAAAAAACATATTAAGAATGAGGAAGTGGTACTATGACTCAAATGGTAGAGTGCTAGTTTTGAGCTGAAGAGCTGAGGGACAGTGCCCAGGCCCAGAGTTCAAACCCCACAACTGACCAAAAGAAAAAGTATTAGGCTGGGAATGTGGCTCGGTGATAGAGTGCTTGCTTGGTATGCACGAAGCCCCAGATTGGATTCCCCAGTACCACATAACAGAAAAGGCTGGAAGTGGTGCTGTGGCTCAAGTGGTAGAGTGCTAGCCTTGAGCAAAAAGAAGCTCAGGAACAGTGCCCAGGCCCTTAGTTCAAGCACCAGGACTAGCAAAAAAAAAAAAAAAAGAGAGAGAGAGAGTACACCCTCCTCAAATAGATGATCCTTGTCTGTCTTTGAATTATGTGTACCATGTGTTCTGAACTGTTGTAACAACTTCATAGTAGCCTGAGGAAAAGGAGAAAAGATTAATTTTGGCTCACAGTTTTCCGTCCATGGTTTATTAGCCCTGTTATTGTGGGCCTGTGTTAAGGTAGAACATCAGGGTTGAAATGGTATTGTGGATAAGAACTGATTACCTTATGGTAGCAAGGAAGTAGGGCCCAAGACAAATGCAGTCCTCAAGAACATGCCTGGAGTTTACCTACTTTCTTCAACTAGGCCTTACATCTAAAAGATTTTGGTTTTGTTTTTTAACCACTTCTCAAGAATGCCACCAAATTCTTAATCCATCAGTGGATTAACCAATTGATTAAAGTGAGTAACCTTATAATCTAATCACCTCTCCAAGGGTTGATACACCCATTGGGAATCAAGTCTTCAATAGATGAGCTTTTTTTTTTTTTTTTGAAAACTTCATATCCAAACCCTAACAGTAGAGTTAGATGAGGTCATGAGGATGGGTCTTCCTATGATGGGACTAGGGACTTTATAAGAAAAGGAAGAGAGATATGAGTTGTCAGGCTTCCCCTCAGCCCATGCCATTTGATACCTTTTACCCTGTTGTGATGCCACAGGAAGGCCCTCATCAAGTGTGATCCCTTGGCTAATACAGTGCCAGTGCACAGAGGGGAGCAGAATCTTAAAAACAATAAAGAAGCAGAGCTAGCCCCTCACCTATGCTAGATGAGACAGTCTTTCCTGTTTATACCAATTTGAAAAGGCCAGGACTAGAATGATATAATTGAGCACCTAAGACAAAATATTTAAGCAAGTGTTCATTGCCAGATGCTAACACCTACATTTGCAAGACTCTGAGATTGAGTAGGGTCTCCTTAACTGTTGTACCCAAGGTACTTCATTTGCCTTACACTAGTCCATTCCTTGTTTGTTCCAGGACTTTCTTTTTTTTGGGGGGGGGGTCCAGTCGTGGGGCCTGAACTCTGGCCCCACTCTGAACCCTGGGCGCTGTCCTTCAGCTCTTCAGCTCAAGGCTAGCGCTCTACCACTTGAGCCACAGTGCCACTCCCGGCTCTTTTTTCTTTTTGCTTATGTGGTGCTGAGGAATCGAACCCAGGGCCTCAAGCATGCAAGGCAAGCACTCTACCACTGAGCCACCTTCCCAGCCCCTGTTCCAGGACTTTCTAAACTGACAGCTGAGAGCTTCTAATTGTCAAGAGAAGGAGAAATGAACTTAAGAAATGGACAGAAAGGCACTGGGAAGGTGGCTCAGTGGTAGAGTGCTTGCTTTGCATGCATGAGGCCCTGGGTTCTATTCTTCAGCACCGCATAAGCAGAAAAAGCTGGAAGTGGGACTGAGGCTCAAGTGGTAGAGCCCTGGTCTACAGCTGAAGAGCTAGGGGACAGCGCCCAGGCCCAGAGTTCAGGCCCCACAACTGACAAAAAAAAAAAAGCAATGGACAGAAAGAGGACCCAGAAAGAGAAGTAGCGATAAACTGTTCTGAGGCCAGGTACTGCTGGCTCACACCTGTAATCCTAGCAATTGAAGAAGGCTGAGATCTGAAGATCACAGTTCAAAATCAGCCCTAGAAGGAAAGTCCATGAGTTTCTTACCAATTAGCCAACAAAAACTCAGAAGCTGTGGCTCAAGCACTATCCTTGAGCAAAAGAGATCAGGAACAGTGCCTAGGCTCTGAGTTCAAGCCCCAGGTTTGGTACACACACACACACACACACACACACACACACACACACACACTCACACACGAACTGCTCTCTTTGGGCCACAACAACTTTATATAATAATGGGATAAGAGACCTAATATCAAAAGAATTAACCTCCAGATTTGCAAGAGTACTTGTCTTATTTTCATAATTTTTCTTGATTGTGTTACTATGTTTACATTCGCCCCCTCCCTAACCAAAACATTCCCCCTCAACCATTTAGTAGAATGTTTTAATTCTAAAGTACTTAGTAGCATGTTCGTTGATTTTAATTTTTATTTATACATTTGTTAACTTGTGTTGTGACCAGAGATTTTGACCTGTGCATTTTCTGCTTATTTGGATTGATTACTTAATGTGAAGTCAGGCACCAGTGTCTCATGCCTGTAATCTTAGTTACTCAGGAGGCTGAGATCTGAGGATCATGATTTGAAACCAGCCCGGACAGAAATGGCCATATGTTTCTTATCTCCAAGTTACCACCAGAAAACTGGAAGTGGCACTGTGGCACAAGTGGCAGAATGTTAGCCTTCAGCAAAAATGCTCAGGGACAGAGCCCAGGCACTGAGGCTGAGCCCCATGACCCCCCCCCCCCCCCGCCAAAAAAAAAAAAAAACAAGCAAAGCCACCTTTACATGTCCAGTTAAGTACCCATTTTTGTAAATGTCACAGAGACATTCAAGGTGGTGGTGATATATTTTATCTAGGTGTAGAACTCAGCTTTAAAAAAAATATGATGCTGAATATTGAACCCAGGGCCCTGCACATGGTAGGCAAGAGCTCTACTGATGAGCTACATCCCCAGACCCCAGCATGTTTTTGTGTCTTAATAATTGTTTGTGTGTATATATATGTGTTTGTATATGTGCATGCCAGTCCTGGGACTTGAACTCAGGGCCTGGGCAATATTCCTAAGCTTTTGTGCTCAAGGCTAGTGCTCTACCACTTTGAGCCACAGCAGCATTTCCAGCTTTTTGGTAGTTAATTGGAGATAAGAGTCACGGACATTGCTGGCCAGGCTGGCTTCAGACCACAATCCTCAATACATCATCCTGAGTAGCTAGGATTATATGAGTGAGCTACTGGTGCCCAGTGGATCTCATTTTTGCCTGGGGTGGGCCTACAACTCAGGCTACTACCTTTTCCTTTTTTGGGGGGGGGGGTCCGGTTGTGGGGTCTGAACTCTGGGCCTGGGCGCTGTCCCTCAGCTCTTCAGCTCAAGGCTAGCGCTCTACCACTTGAGCCACAGCACCACTTCCAGCTTTTTTCTTTTTGCTTATGTGGTACTGAGGAATCGAACCCAGGGCCTCATGAATGCAAGGCAAGCACTCTACCACTGAGCCACCTTCCTAGCCCTACCTTTGCCTTCTGAATAGCTGGGATTACAGGTCTAAGCCATCACAATCAACTTGTTTTTGAGACAAACTCTTTTACTTAAGTTTTTATTTTTTTGTTATTATAAAGGTAATATACAGAGTTAAATAAGTCATGGAAAGAGTACATTTCTTTTTGGACAATGTCACCCTTCTTAATTTGTTTTTGCCCAAGCTGGCCTCAAAATTTAATCTATCTATGTCTCCTTTGTAAGTGGGATTACATGTTTAAAACACCAGGTCATTTCACAATGCCTCTGTGTGTGTGTGTGTGTGTGTGTGTGTGTGTGTGTGTGTGTGTGTGTGTGTGTGTGTTTGCGGGCGTGTGTCCACATGCACAGAGGTGTGTGTATGTAACCATAGCTTGAAGTCAGAGGCTCAAGCTCTCACTTGGATTTTTTGCTCAAGGCTCATGTTCTACTACTTGAGCATGACAACAGTCTGGCATTGGCTGATTAATTGGAGATAGGAGTCGTAAATTTTTCTTTCCAAAGCTGGCTTTTAACCTCAAACCTCTAGATCTTATCCTAGAGAACTGAGTAGCTAGGATTATTGGCATGAGCCACCAGCACTTGGTTTACTAATTAAGCTACTACACTTCTAGCACTCACAAGGTGCCCCCCTCCTTTGTTTTTCTTGGTCGTGAGGCCACAACTCTGGGCCTGGGCACTGTCCCTCAGCTCTTCAGCTCAAGGCTAGCACTCTACCACTTTGAGCCACAGCGCCCCTTCCAGCTTTTTCTGTTTATTTGGTGTTGGGGAATCAAACTCAGGACCTCATGCATGCAAGGCAAAGCACTCTACCATTCCCAGCCCCTCACAAGACCCTTTAAGCAACAGAATATACTCAGACTTTATCTTTTGATGTGACCTGAGATTTGCATATTTTATACAGGAATTTAAACTAATTAATTTAAGCAAATAAGACAACTTGTTATATCTAGTATAATCTTTTCTAGTTTTCTGGTGCCATTTCTCTTCCATTTGCAATTGTAAATGCGATGAAAATTGTAATGGAAAGATTTAATATGCTTCCTGGTACAAGATTCTTCAATTTTGCTCAGCAAATTGCATTTTTCCTTTTATTCTCTGTAATAATAAGACACACATGGACCTTTTTAAACTGCAAGTTTTAATGAAATTACACTATTTTAATAGTTTTATTCCAGATGCTGGTGGCTCACACTTGTAATCCTAGTTACTCAGGAAGCTGAACTCTGAGGATCATAGTTCAAAGCTAGCCCAGGCAGGAAAGTCTGTGATACTCTTACCTCCAATTAACCTACAGAAAATTGGAAGTGGAGCTGTGGCTAAAAGTGGTAGAGCATGAACCTTTAGTAAAAGAGCTCAGGGATGGAGCCCAGGCTCTGAGTTCAAGCCCCAGAACCAACAATAAAAAGTTTTAATCCTCTTTTTATTTAAAACAAAGGCTTAGTGTCTTGCCTTTTTCTATTCTTTTTTTTCTTCCTTATTGTTCACTAAGATTAAAAACCCCCAGTGTTAAAAAAATCCTCTTTCTCATTTCTTCTTTTGCACTTTACTTGTTACCATAGTAACAAGAACTATTTCAACTTATCAGTATCAAACAGTCTCTACTAAGTGGTGTTTTTATTCAGTTATCTTTTAAATCTGCAGCTAGTTTCAAGGCTTGTCGCCAGTTTTTTTCTTGCATGTTGTCATTCATGAGTTTGTGATTCATGTCTCAGTAATTTATTGAATAATTCTGAGCAATTTTTGCAGGAAAGAGGAGTTAATTGGGTAATGTATTAGTCATAACTCTGTGGTTTCAAATTACAGAAACGAGCTTAAATTGACTCAAGTTAAAAAAGGAGAGTATCTTGGTTTTACTGTTCTGTAAGTCCAGGCTCAACTGAATACAATCTCATATTCCAGTATCAGGATATCATTTCCATCTCTCAGCTCTGCTTCCCTATGTTTTATCTTCATTCTCAAAGGGCATTTTTCACATTATGACAAATAGGGGTCCTAGATTCATATTCATTTTCCTGGCTCCAGAGCAAGAAGGAACACCACTCTTCCTACAGTTTTCTGCAAAGTCTAAGCTGAGTGTTATTGGCCTGGCTAAGATCACACATCCATCCTTCCAGCAAATACTGGTGATTCTGATGGGGGGAGCCTTGGGTTACTCTTAGAACTTAGGAGTGCGGCCAGCTCTTCAAGCCACATGAGTTTGCAGATTCAACAGTTCACCAAAGAAAACTTGGGTAATTGCTACCAAAAGGAGTCAACATTGCGGGGGGCTGGGAAGGTGGCTCAGTGGTAGAGTGCTTGCCTTGCATGCCTGAGGCCCTGGGTTCGATTTCTCAGCACCACATAAGGCAAAAAGGAAAAAAGCCGGAAGTGGCGCTGTGGCCCAAGTGGTAGAGCGTGAGTCTTGAGCTGAAGAGCTGAGGGACAGGCGCCCAGGCCCAGAGTTCAGACCCCCACGACTGGACTCAAAAAAAAAAAAAAATGTCAACATTGATGATGGATAGGCAAAAATGAAAAACATCCAGTGTTTTCTAAGATTTTGCACATCCTGTGGATTGTCACTAATCTGGACAATCTACCAGAATAAGGAGCATGGTCAGGGCAGCCAGCTATTGAGCCAATTTAGGGTCAGTTATATATGTATGTATGTATATATTTTTTTGGGGGGGGGGGTCCGGTCGTGGGGCCTGAACTCTGGGTCTGGGGCGCTGTCCCTCAGCTCTTCAGCTCAAGGCTAGTGCTCTACCACTTGAGCCACAGCGCCACTTCCGGCTTTTTTCCTTTTTGCCTTATGTGGTGCTGAGGAAATCAAACCCAGGGCCTCAGGCATGCAAGGCAAGCACTCTACCACTGAGCCACCTTCCCAGCCCCTATTTACTTATTTATTTATGTCAGTAGTGGGACTTGAACTCAGGACCTGGATGCTGTCTCTGAGCTCTTTTGCTCAAGGCTAACACTCTACCCTACCATTTTGAGCCACAGCACTTCTGTGGGTTTTTTTTTTTTTTGAGTAGTTAATTGGAGATAAGAGTCTCACAGGGACTTTTCTGCCCAACCTAGCTTTGAACTGTGATCCTCAGAGCTCAGCCTTCTGAGCACCGAGAATTAAAGCTGTGAGCCACCAGCATCCAGCTGGGTCTTCTATTTAGATAGTAACTTAATATGGTCTCCTTATGTCCCAGAGATTACTTCTCAGCTTTGTGCTTCCAGAAACTTGTTAATGTGACTAGATGATTGCTCCTTGGGGGTCTGGCTCACACTAACTTGACTCATCAGATCCTGATAAGATTAAACTCCATCTTAAAAGGAATAGTAATTGCTACAGACTCCTGAATAGGGACATCCACTGGCCAGGTCACTTTTGCTGTCAGGAAACCACATATGAAACCAAATCCTAATTATAAGGTTGCCTTGGTGTCCATGGATCCAGACAGAAGGAGTACTTTAGGAGGAAAAAAATAGTGATGCATTATGCCATGACAATGTGAAGCTTGTGTGTGTGTGTGTGTGTGTATGTGTGTGTGTGTGTGTTAATTTTTGGAAGAATAATCACTTTATTTGACTTTGCTCATAAACAATGATATCACAATAGGAGGCCCCATAAGCATCTGTTCAGCCTCAAGTTCTAAACCATCTCAATGACCTTCTGTGCAACAAGAACAGGCCTCTTTTATTGCAATTCTAAAACAAGGAATTGCTTTAGAGGTTGAACTGATGGCTTTATACACTTATGCTATCACTTACATTTTTAGGCCTAAGTAACTTGGCCAGAGAATCAATTTTTCATTCCTTCAAAATGAATTTCTTGATTAGACAAATCCATTTGCAAGTCTGAACAATTTCAGGACTTTACTGAGATCCTCACAAAGCTTAACACCACTCTGGCTCTGGGCACACTCCAAAAACTGTCTCATCTCATAGAATCAAGTGCCAAAGTGCTGCTGTGGCTGCATTGGCCAGGTTCCCTGAGGCTCCTGGTAGATGATGTAAGGCCTTGAGAGTTCAGCATTACATCTTGCACTGAAGCTCCCAGTGGATGGCATGATCCAGTATATGCCAATCAGCAGCGACTACAGTCATGTTGCTGCAGAAGCTCCCATCTGAGTCCAACAGCCTTGATTGTCAGAATGCAGCAGCAAGTGAGTGCAATTCACTTCTAGAGCTAGTTTGGGCACAGCTTTCATCTGAGGTGACCAAGTGGCCCAGAGAAAGCACAGCTTTGGTTTCTATAAAACATTGGAAGCGCAGTTGGTAGCTCACACCCTGTGGTGCTAGATAGTTAGGAGGCTGAGATTTGAGAGTTACAGTTCAAAGCCAGCCTGGGCAAGACAGTCCACTAAACTATTACCTCCAATCAACCTCCAAAAAAGCCAGAAGTAACTTGAGCTGTGGCTCAAGTG